CCACCCAATACGATACCATAATCATCGGCTCCGGCCAAGGCGGCACCCCTCTCGCTCGAGCCCTCGCGCTCGCGAACCATAAAACGGCCCTCATTGAGCGGGAGCATGTCGGCGGATGCTGTGTGAATGATGGCTGCACGCCGACCAAGACGATGATCGCGTCCGGGAGGGTCGCGTATCTTGCTGGGAGGGGTGGGGAGTATGGTGTCCAGATGGCGAATACGCCTGGTTCCGCTGAGAGGGATAATGGTAATGAAGTGGTGATCGATATGAAAACGATCAGACAACGGAAGAGGGATATTGTGGATTCGTTCCGAACGGGGGGTGAAAAGAGGCTTCGGGATGCCGGGGTGGATGTGATTATGGGGGAGGCGAGCTTTGTGGATGCGAAGACAATGGTGATTATGGATGGGAGGAATGGAAATGAGAGAGTTGTGAGGGGGGACAGGATTGTTATAAATACGGGTTGTCGGCCTGGGAAGGTCATACTTGATGGATTGGAGAGGGTTCCGAATGAAAGGGTGTTGGATTCTACGTCTATTATGGAGCTGGGGGAGGTGCCACGGCATTTGGTGGTTGTTGGAGGTGGGTATATTGGGGTTGAGTTTGGGCAGTTGTTCAGGAGGCTTGGGGCTAGGGTTACGGTTTTGCAGAGGGGAAAACAGTTGCTTCCTAGGGAGGATAAGGAGTTGGCGGATATGTTGTTGGAGATATTCCGGGACGATGGGATTAAAGTCATGTTGGAGACCACGCCGGTTGAAATTGAGAATGCCTCAGAGGATGTGTTTAATGTCGCAGTTGAGACGAGACAGGGGAGGGAGGCTGTCAAAGGGGCTACGCACATTCTCTTTGCAAGTGGAAGGGTGCCGAATACCGAGCGTTTAAACGCTGCTGCCGCGGGCGTGAAGATGGATAAGAGAGGCTATGTCATCACAAATGAGTTCTTGGAGACTTCTTCGCCATCAATCTACGCCATGGGAGACGTCAAAGGTCCGCCGTCGTTTACACATATCTCATACGATGATTTCCGAGTACTCAGGCCTACATTGTTGGGGTCCACATCTGCAGATGAGCGGCTCTCGATTAGAGATCGAATCGTGCCGTATGTCGCCTATACAGACCCTCAGTTCGGTCATGTCGGGCTGCATGAGCATGAAGCAAGGGAAAGATTCCCGGGTCGGAAGATCCTGACTGCGCAGATGCCAATGAGCTATGTGGCTAGGGCGTTGGAAACGGAAGAGACGAGAGGTGCCATGAAGGCTGTGGTTGACGGGGAGACTGGACAGATCTTGGGCTTTACATGTTTAGGCGTTGAGGGCGGCGAAATAATGAGTATTGTGCAGACTGCCATGATGGGAAATCTGCATTATCAGAAGTTGCAAGATGCTGTGTTCGCCCATCCAACTTTTGCGGAAAGCTTGAATAATCTTTGGGGTTTTCTGAAATGAGGGCTTTGCTTTGGGAATGTTGATCAACGAAATGTGAATCACCTGTGTCCAATTCTCCACATATGGTGCGAGTAATTACACATACCAGTTTGTTGCATAATCAAGCAGTCCCTTTCGTATATATACGGGCTTACTGTGGATTCCTCAGTCAAGCCAGCGCATCATTGATCTTGTGATGTATTTTTGACTCCTTGTTTGGGGTCGAAAACGGGTGGCTTCGGATCCATCTGACTCACGACAGCCTCGCCCGAGATTACCCGACATTTGGATATCTTGATCAAACCAACTATTATAAGTCCTGTTTTCATTTAAATACTCGGGTTCTTCGAGTGCCACATATGAGCCGAGTAGCATACAGAATCTTGCATCTTCAAATTCAAAACAGACTTCCCCTATTTGCCTCCATATAGCTTTGGCTACCCGGTGCGCTATATCAGCTAAGAACGATAGAGCCTTCTCACCACTATTTTCTACAACAAATCTATCAAACCTTCTTCTTATTCTTCTCATGGCAAACTTCATCCGACATCGACCCTTCCTAACAGGGGCGCTCACCATAGTGACTGTCAGCAGCGCGGTCGCATATCTCACCAAGCGACGACTCAACCAGTCATGCCCCACAATTGCAATCACGGAAATACCAAAGGCAAGCGCATGTCGCAACCTAATTGAAACACCATGTGAAGCAAATACACCGACACCATGGGGCGTCACAAAATCGACACTGCTATCGTCATGGTCAGGCGGGGATAAGACCTACTGGGTCCCATCCTTTGTAGCAGTTCAGGCTGAGGTACCTGTGTCGCAACTTTCGCAATACGGGCTATTCAGTCGTGACGGTGTCGACCAAAAAGACGACGCGCATAGCTTGTCGAAGAATCTCGTTGCTGCATTCATAGATGCGCGCGCGACAGGTTTGGAAACGTCGGTATTGGACAGATATGTTCCGCCTTTATCCTTTACCCCTTCTTCTCGTTTATTCGGACGCCCAAGCGAGATGGGAGCATTTATGCTTGGGACTTGGGATGCTGAGAGTGGCATAAATGTTCGCCCATCGGACTTGCCTTCTGATGCTTCAAAGCCGGTTACTGAATTTGGTTCTAATGAAGAAGCTGTTAGAAATGGGAGCGCTGTGGATACAGCTGGTGCTGTGATGTACTGGATGTTTCCAAAAGCATTGGTCGAAGGAGTGGACAAGGCTGCATCATATGGCTTGCCGTGGCGGTTGATGGACGGTGGTTTTCAGGAGTTCATTGTTGAAAGGGTTTCGGATGAGAAGGCGAGGGTGACCTATGTTACTATTGAGTGCACAAATTTGCATCCTCTTGGCCAGCAACAAAGAGACTTTAAGATGCTGCCGTGGCTACTTTATGAGGCGCATGTTCTTTATGCACAAATACTGTGGTCGAAGACTTTGAGACGGTTGCAGAGATCGCAGACGACTGTATAAATATTTGAGACAAGCCAGATAATGATACCTCTCCGCTTATTCCTAGACTTTTCTATCTGTTGCTCTTGTAGGTAAATACCGGACAATCTCCAAGTCGCGAAGTAACATAGACAACTCTTTTTTGCGCTTATCGTCTCTTATTCTTCGGCGAAAAAGATTTCTTTTTTAGCCCACTCCAGATTTCTCCACGCAAATTCAGTCCCTTTAATTCAACCATCCTTGCAAAATCATTATCCTTCTCCATCTGCTTAAGATCAATACCCAGCGCACTTGCCATGAGTGGAGCAAGATCGTGTGCCGCACAGACTCGAAAGTCGTCACTCTGAACACGCTTCTTGTTCCGCCGTTTCAGTCGCTCATTCAGACCTTCCACTAGCGTTTCTGAGAAAGTCTTTCCGTTGGCATCAATAATAGTCTGCTTAATCTTTTCGGCTTCTTCTATGGTGAAGTATGGTTCCCCGATATAAGATGGGTCTGTGACTTTATCCAGACGCTTCTTGGACGAAGTGTTACCGAAATTCTTCAGGTCGAAGATGAGAACGTGGATCCGGTACCACAGTGTAGGAGATACGGCTGAGCCTTTGAGGTCTGGAAGGGTGACCAGTGGTGGTGGTGAGAGTGGGTTGGGTTTGTCTTGGGCGTCCGTTATATCGAAATGTTTTGGTGGAGTCGCCATAGTGCAGTTACGGAGCTTGAGTGTACTTGAAAGAGGCCGGAATCGTAATACGTAGTACGTGAAGGTATAGAAGGCCTCGCAGAGATGCAAAGTGGTATGACTCAGGTTCTGTCATATTTGCGTTGCCTTTTCGTCGCATTATGTCACTTGTACGAGATCTTTGCTTCTCGCAACAAGTCATATTTCGACAGGCAAACTGAAGTTTGATGACAAAGCTATATTCGCTTTTTTACTATGTCGCTTTCATATCGACAAGTCAGCTTTTTCCGAACTTAGACTACTTCAAACTTTGATTTTGTTTGAATAAATTTTATCAGTGGCTTTTGCCACTTCTCCTGTTCAGTACCAAGTCGAATAAATAACTCAACACAATGCTGAACGTCAAGCTCCTCATCATATCTGTCTTGTTTCGCATATCAAATGGCTGATTGTCTGGATGATATCGATTTTCCGATGCTTCGCCCCAATCAGGTCACTCTGACCGATGTCTCGGAGATAGTGACGAGTAGAGGCTCGGCTATTAGTTCCACCGACACTCGTGAGCTGCGCTTATCATGAAGACAATGACTGACAAATCCTCTATTTTCGGTCGGATCGGTGCACATCATTTCCATTTAGATAACCCACATAATTCTTAATCCTCAGTCCCGTAAACACCCATGGTTCTACAATACTACCGTAAAATCAGACCACGCAAGCAGTGGAGACGACGCTTCAACTTATTGATGAATAAGAAACTCTCGTACCTGCATTCCATCCGGCTCCTGACCTTCCGAAACGCCTAGCGCCCACTTAAGGTAATCCTTCTACTCCCCACTACCGTCATATCTTGCTCATCTGGCCATCAATCAAGGAGTGAAGATTGCGGAGGCTAAGCTTGTTTGAGATTGGCTGTGCTTGGCTTTGATTCCGCATCCTCTTGGCGTTGCTTGGCATGGCGGAGATAGTTTCCCTTCTTCCATCTCCTGGGCCGATTTGGCTACTATAAAGGTGCAGAACATCATGGCCACAGTTACAACATCCAGGCACAGTCTTCAAATTGTCTCTTCTTTCAACTCGAGACCACAATGTCCGCCGCCCTGTTTCTCGGCCTCCTAGGCCTCACAGCCCCCCTGGCTGCCGCAACCGCGAGCACCCCAGGCCTCGAGCTGGCCTACTCCCTCGAGCGCGCTACCCAAGGCATCAGTATCTCCTCTGATGGGCGCAAATTTCTCTCGCAGCGGTACTCGACCACTCTGCCCCCTCAAATTGTCGAGCTCCTAGACGATAACTCCACGGTCCTTTACCCAAACGCTGCTTGGAATTCCTACAACTCCAGTGACCCTACCTCTGACCCACGCAAGACCTTCGTCAGCATTGACGGCGCCCGCATGGGTCCCGACGGTCGCTACTGGATTGTCGACGGCGGCTCCACAGGAGTGAACGGCTCCACCAAGCTCGTTGGCGTGAACCTCACCACCGATGCCGTTGACAAGCTTTACTACCTCGACGCCATGAAAGCTTCCGACAGCGGCATTGACGACGTCCGCTTTAATGCTGCTGGTGATGTTGCCTACATGAGTGACACTGCCGGTGCCCTCCTTGTTATGAACATGACCACCGGCACGGGTGTGCGCGTGCTCTCCACCGACTCTTCCGCTCAACCCTGGTTCCCTATGATGTACAACGGTACCCTGGTCCCCGGGTACGGTGCCGCAGGCAGCACCCTCTCCGTTGGACTCGATCAAATCGAAGTCTCTCCCGACGGTGTCTACCTGTACTACCAACCTTGCAATGGAGGTCTGTATCGCATCAAGACAGCGTATGTTGATGCGTCTCTGAAGAACGCGACGCTCGCATCGACGCTGGGAGATTACGCGGAGCCGTTTGCCTTGACTCCCAGCACCGGTGGTAGTACTATTGACGGGGATGGGAACATCTATGTTAGTGATACGAACTTGCTGGCTATCTGGAAGGTTACGCCTGAGGGACGCGCGACAATACTTATCCAGGATGAGAAGCTGCTTTGGACGGATCTGATGTGGGTCACCGCTGATAAGAAGCTTTGGTTGCCTGCTTCGCAGATGAGGCCTGGTGGTGATGGGTTGATGGCTGATGGGCCGAACTATATCTTTACTTACCCGATTGATGCGGGGCCGTCGCCTATTGATCATGCTTAAAGGTCCTTGTGGCTGGTGGTTATGGATGAAGTGATGGCAGTGTATAGTACTATGTTGACAGATTGGAAATGTATATTGTGTGGTCCTTCATCGACATGAGAAGCTCTGACTCAGTTGATCATTAGTCAAGAAGTGATGCGCTGAATTGGTGAGTTTATTCAATCAGTACGGGGGATGATTTTCTTAAAGACGTAAGTTAGAGGGCCACCTCAGCCTTGCCAGCGGCTACCGGGCACCCCGACTATCAGAGATATCCCAGCCTCTGCATCCAATGAAAGCCTTTCACATCCCGCCTAGTGCAGCCTTGCAGATGGACCAAAGAGGGCTGGACAATTTTCTAGCGCTTACCGCATAGTTGATGGAGTTGACGGTATTCGAACAAGAAGTCTCGTATTTATCATGAGCCTCATGCACCACAGGTCTACGACTGAAGGAGAAATGACGACGTTCGAAGGCGCAGAAGTTCAACGAGCAATTACAGACGACATAAGAGTAAGTTCTCCCCAAGACGGATGTAATTAGTTAGAAGTAATGCTAATACGGCGTTGTAGATAGATCGCAAACATGTTTTGCCCGAGAGTCTCAACGCCTATGGTTTACCTTAGAAGTAGGATAAGGTATGTAGTAACTTCAAAATCTCTCATGGTAGTTCTATATTTTGATTTATATATAATTCTCCTAGATTGATTACGACTATATAATTATCAATAAAGCCATGTTCAATCACTTCGAAGAGGATCTACTAGCACACACGCGACAGCTTAGAAACGAGAGATATATATTGCAGCTTAACAGCCATCTGACGGATCTTAAGGTTAAAGACCGAAAAAGATACAGACGCTCCGGGCCTTTGCATCAGATCAAAAGACTTTTGAGAGCCATCGGTCCTAGACACAAAATCAAAGCTTATCATACCTCTCTTGGTTATGTGCCGGGGACAGGTTATGGAGGGGCTGGAGGGGCTGGATGTGGGGGAATGGGAGGAATGGAGGAAGAAAATGTCGACCGCACTTCACAAGTTCAATATTCGGAAGAGGAATGCCCCGCTCCCCTCCTTGATGCTCGTCATTACGAAAAGGAGGAGGTTGGTTTCCATGCCAGTTCCGTGTCCAAGGACCACGGGGAGCAGTCGAATCTTAGCGATGAGATACATCCTGCAGTCCCTGTTGGGATTTCGCTTCGAGCAAACCGCTCTCCTTCCGTTTCTTCGGTCGTCGCTCCTTCTCCTGGCCCTCCGACGCAGGATGGACGCCGCCCAGGCCCTGCCGAGTTCAAGAATTCTCGTGAAAATCGGCCCTTGTGGCTCGTTGAGCGCTTTGCTTGCAAGTCGGAGGTTCACTCCGATGAGTCCCTTCCCTCTTTGCCTTCAAGCACGACTGATGTAAGAGAACCAAGTGAAAGGGAAGATGACATGGAAGGCATAGTGAGCGAGCTTTTGGATAGATATACGGCTGCGTGATACTCCTGTTTACCCGTCACGGCCAGTTAAATTAATCTAATTCGAAATCATTCTCTTTCATCTGGTAGAAATGGATTAGTAAAGCTCGCAACGCAGACATTCCAAGATTTGGGGAATGACAACAAAGGTCGGAGTGGCGATGGAAAGGAAGTAAAAGCATGGTTCGTGAAAAACGGTCGATGATCTCAGAAAAGCAAATACCCCTGCTCGGCATAGAAAACCAACATCCGATCCCGAATAGGAAGGCCCGGGAATTCCGACCGCAAGGCAAAACAGCCTGTCTATCACAGATCATGCATGCAAATATTGTGGAATAATCTGGCTGCCTGTTCAAAGACATAGTTCTGTAAATGAATTGAATATGACGACAAAGTGGAGTTCTATGCTGGCAGTGTCTGGGATCCATCACTTGGTAGTCGAGATGAGGGAATTTCCACTCGTCGACAATGTATACCGACGGGGGAGACTTCACGCCTCACTTCTCCAGTACTGATATATCTCTACTTCTAATATATGTCAGTCATTTGAGCCAAGCAAAATACAAGCAAACAAGGTTCTCAGGAACGCATATGAACATAGCTACGAACACCTCACGTACGTCTAGGACGACAGCCACCCGCAAATCCTGTCCCCACTGGTTTATACTATAGTGCTTACAAGATATATGTACCTGATCCTTCCCGAGCACCGAAGATCGACTCGGCCCCCTGGAAAGGATGGCGTAGCGTAGCATAGCTAGCTTAGTTGATCCTGCGGCCCGAGCATCCCCGGCGATAGCTCATTTTCGGGTCGAAGGATGGATGGCATTGCTGCTGCAGGCTCGGCCAACAAACTCCGTCATCAAGGTTATAGGCCTTGCTTACCATCCACCAAGCGCTAAAAGGAGGTAATCGATCCTACGTCGCTTGGTTGCTAAGATGACGTGGGTGAGTGTATATGTGGCAGTCTTATGCGTTGGCAGTCTGACCCGAGTATCCGACTGGCTGTTCATGTAGACAGTGTGTTCATAGGAGATGGGAAACATCAGATATAGGATGGTAAGTTCAATGACGCCAGTGTCCGTGCTATAAGTTGCTAGATTTGAGTTTGGGAGAGGATCGGCAGGGCTTAGCAGCTTGACTTTTTATTGGAGGATAGACAAGGCCTTTCATATCGGTGGATTCTACCATTGTCACAGTGCATCCCTGTGAGGGTAACACTGCATCTGCAGTTTGGTCTTTTAACGACCACAGCCGGATGAAACGGCACGAGCGCAGACCACCCCCTTGCCTGCTAATTCTAGGAAATGTAGCGATCGTTGACGCGGCGTTGTGCACAGGCCAATTAGCATAACTCATACCATGTGACAAGTTTATACACGTACCCCCGATGCACCCTTGCTGTTATTCCAGACCCCCATCTGTGCCCAGGCTATAGCCGGTGAAAGAAAGCGGCCGGTTAGTTATGCAAAACCTTGATGTCTCGGTGCAATGTCATAACGCTAATATTTATCCTGCTATTCGCTCCGAGGGAGTTGGCGATCGACATGACCCCTCCTTTCAAAGCCTCGATGTGCCGCAACAGAACTCCACTCTGCAGTTTCCCCGCTCGGCCGGTATGGCTCGAATCACGCCTACTTTGTAGAACACACATCAAGGCCTTGAAGATAGCACGTCGTGACTGTTCCTCATCGGGACATCGGAGGTCTAGGGCCGAGCACCACTTGCATCGGAGTGATGTATGGGGGATGGGCCGAGGTCTTTTCCTGCTAATAGCTTCATGCAGCTTGGCTGGCAGCGGGTCGTGTGCCGGCTTGGTAAAGCATTGGCTGAGCTTGTACAGCTTTGCCTCGACATAATCAGGCCGGCTGTTGCAACGTCAGGCGACTCCTTCTGAGTACAGGAGATATGATAAATACCATCTGGGGCCCCGTCACAGCGGTGTGCATTCGATACCAGCCAACGCTTTCCTTCACAGTTTGGTTGTCGGTTATTCCTATTTTCAGACCTCAGCATGATCCACGAAAATCTTCATGAGGCCCTACAGGGGCGTTACCTAATACTAACAGCTGGCTTAGTGAGTGCAATCCTTCCAGACGTCAGGGGTTGGTGGTTGCTAACGCGTGCCTCTGATGATCGCAGTTATTCTTCTCCTTGGTAGGAAAATGTTTATACGAGCTGTACATCAACCCTTTGTGTAAGATCGCCGGTCCAAAGCTGGCGGCAGTTACCCGTCTGGTGTATATGTATCACAACCTCATGGGAGACGAGCATACATGGATGAGAAACCTTCATCTGGTTTACGGAGACACTGTCCGGATCTCACCCGATCAAGTCAGCTACTCGTCCGCCGAAGCATGGAGAGATATCTACGGCCATGCTAGTGCAACCAAAAAGTCTACCGAGAAGGACAAACGATTCTTCGGCACCACACTGAATGGCACCCCAGATGTCATTCGCGCCCCAGCCGCCGATCATTCACGCTTTCGTCGCAACTTTTCGCATGCCTTCTCGGACAAGGCCTTGCGCGAGCAGCAGCCGCTCATCGCTCATTATGCGGACATGCTCATCGACAAGCTCCGAGAAATTGTTCAAGCAGATCCCAAGGCAAGGATTGAGATGGTCATGATGTACAATTTGACGACATTCGACATCATGGGTGACTTGACATTCGGGGACCCACTGAATCTGCTGAAAGGTACGGGCAATGTAGCATGGGTGACATCCATCTTCTCCAGTGTGAAGATAAACTCACTCCGACGTATCGCGCGGTACTATCCATGGTGTTCTTATTTCTTAAACTCCCTCCTCCCTCGGTCGTTGAAACAACGGCAAGCGTCTCATTACCAGTCATGCAAGGACAGGGTAGATTGGCGGGTTGACCAGAGTCTGGATCGGCCTGATATTTGGGGTTTGGTCATGGCGCAGAAAGAGTCCCTGCGCTTGAGCCGCGAAGAGATGTACGCCAACTCCCAATTATTCATGGTAGCTGGGACGGAAACCACCGCGACTGCATTGAGCGGCCTTACGTATCAATTGTTGTTGAATCCCGACAAATTAGAAAAGATCACCAACGAGGTGCGCGACGCCTTCGAGCAGAGTTCGGACATCGATATGCTGCGGTTAGCCCAGCTGAAGTACCTGAACATGTGTATCGACGAGGGCCTTCGAATGTATCCCCCTGTCCCTACTGGGATGCCTCGTCTCACTCCCAAGGAGGGTATGGAAATCTGCGGCGAATATATTCCTGGCGATGTGAGTGATGTTTACTCAGCGTACCACCTTTTCTTTTTGCAAGTAGTACCTGAAACTGATGTGTGTCTTCAGACGGCTGTCTCTGTACATCACTGGGCGACATATCGCAACCCGCGAAACTTCACCCGGCCAGACGAGTTTCTTCCGGAGCGATGGGGCAATGACCCGCAGTTTGCTAGTGATAACAAGGCTGCCTGTCAGCCTTTCTCTTTCGGTCCTCGCAACTGTCTGGGGAAAAAGTAAGTTCCCCTAATTTGGGTGTGTGTCAATGCTCTAGGAAGCATGTCTGACGTCTGAAATAGTCTCGCCTACCATGAGATGCGACTCATCCTAGCCAAGGTCCTATACCACTATGATCTAAGACTGGCACCTGAATCAGTAGGCTGGGAGAAGCAAAATACGTGGACGCTATGGCAAAAGAACCGATTGATGGTCCAACTGACCCCGCGAGCTTAAATGGAAGTCATTGATGCACTTCTGAGCGTCTAGGGAAATTGTGTATAGGGTTAGATAGGAGTTGTCAGTTTCCAGAGCATATGGACTTAAACTGTTATGGCGACAGTTGATAGTGGTTGTTCTTTCTTTTCTCAAAGTTCAATGATGATGATGATGATGATTCCCCCAGTCGTCCTTGTCTACAAAGTATTCAAACAATCTTCACAGTAGGTGCCGCAGATACAGCGCGCTACGGTACTTGACCGGATAGTCAAATTATCTGCGTAGTTGCAGCGAGTTACAAACAGGAGTCCGACAGTCCCCGCAAAGACGAGGGTCAGAGGCACAAACTGCAACATTGCGGATGGCAACACGACTTCCCGAAGCGGAAAGGCACTGGCGGTAAGCAAATCACGCATGACGTCATGTGGCACTGTGGCAGCGATTGGGGGGCGACGTGTCCAGCGCAATCGAGTTCCGACCGCCAGAAAACCGCGATGCATCGTGGGGATTCCCCGGCTTGCGCATGCTAGATGCACGATGGTTTCATGCTTCATTATGACATGCGCGGTCGCTTGGATATGACGTCTGAACAGGCTTTTGAGCCTGGATGGTTCCCACGGTCGCATAATACAGAATTCCCGCTTACTGATCCAATGTGACGAAGCAATGCTCTAACAGGGTTAAGACACGGGATCCTGCGAGAATCGTGCGTTGTCGGCTGATCATACTGATCACTCTTCCTCCAAACCACTTACTCTCCAGCGAGAGCAGCGAGTGTCGCTGTTGATGTTATGCTACCTAGCCTGGCATCGTTTGAATAACAGAGGAGGTTGCACAGAAGAGGCGGCAGTGTGGTATTCGGTGATGAATGCCTGGAAGTGTCGTGGATGGCATCTAGGCTTCGTTTCTGATCTTTGTATAAACATCGTTAACATTCGCAGAAATATTTAACCGAAAATCGGAGCGACAATTTCCCATCAGCCGGTAAATATTCCCAGCTATGTGATTCGACCTTGGGGTTTCACAAGGCAGGGTGGTTAGCCTGTTAGCCTGTTCCTGCCGCATGAAGGACGCTGGGTCAGAGCTCCGGGCTTTGCGCTGCAGAACCTGACGAGAGCTCCATGCAGGTTTCCCCCAAACTACCAGCAGCTTTTACAGCAAAGAGGTAGCTCGAATAATCGAGTAGGTGTGTTGTAGTCAGTCTCAGCCTGCAGAAGGCTAGTCCATGACCTGCCACGTCCGTGCTCTGTAAGAAACAGCCTGCAGGGCGAGAGACCCTCCCAACATTGCCGGTGATCCCTGGCCAGAACACCCTGAACCGCCACCAAGTTATGATCCTTGTTGAGACGCTTCACTGCTAGTCCATGCGCAGTGAGTCTGTCGCAAGTGCAGCTCAACATGGCCCACCCTTTCCACCGATTTCTTTGACTCTGCAGCATCGACGACTTTCCCCCATGAATCCAATCTATTCTGCCAAGGTAACCCATTTTGAAGACTTGTGCGTCCGGCTCCACTGCCCTGTTGTGCGGCGGAGGTCAAGGAAAGTGGGCCTGGTTGGGGAAGGGCATTGTTATGCTGATAGGCTTAATGTGCAGCGACGAAGCGTGACAGGATTCCGACGTTTCAGCTAGTACCGGGGAGAATTTTTCGATGGGTGACAGAGACTGGCACGATCTCAACGAGGGCAAGGTCAGTGACAGGACGTCGATAATGAGAAATGAAGGGGACGGGGGAATTTGCTGTCACGCCAATTGCGATCGCCTATATTGCCGGGATGGGTAGGATTTCCCTTCAGCGGGTGGATGATTGGCTACAGGCTCATCTCTTTCATCCCGGTGACGTTCGGCAACGTACACCGAAACCCAGGCCTGTCCTGGCAACAAGATCGAAGTACGGAGGAAATACTCCAGCTTACCTGATGGTGATCTAGGCCTCTGATGCCGCCAGATAATAAGATGACTTGTGATCCGGAGAGTGAAGTGAGGGTCACGCCTGCCTAGAACGGTCGGTTCTGCCTAAGCTACATGAGTGCAGGCATGACAGCTGCACTAGACCAGGGTAATACCAGGTCTGGGTGCGCTCGGAGATGCCAACAATGCAGGAAAGCTGTTGCGGTTAGTGGAATTCAAGCGGTGGAATCTTCTCGACAGCACCAAAGCTGGGTGATGCAACCCAGACGAAGACGGGCCGCTTCCGAGTGGCCTAGTCTGACACCTGGTGATGAAGGTTGGACCTCCCATTTCTCCGAGATGGCGAGGTGGACTCAGAATGTTTTGGCCCGCAATCGGCGTTATTATTCGATAATCGCGGACGCTAGGGTAGGGGGCCGCGATGGCTCTCTCCCTCCTAGCCGATAGTAGGGGATGTGGATTGTGATGGAGGGGGGGGGAAAGAAGGGGTGAGAAGGGAGAGAGAGGGGGGAAAAAAAGAGGTGATTGAACTCAGAAGCAAACATCCATGCAAAACGGGAAGGATGGGCGTGATCGTGGCCTCACATGATCGGCTAGTTACTGAATTTAGAAGGTTGATGGCTGAGGTGTCGGTGGTTTGCTGCTGTATCTCGGCTGGACTGGTTTTGATTTCGAATCCCCATCGACCATGTCTGTTACCCTTTCCCACCGCCAAGGATATCTACCTCTCCCCTGAGACATTTGTGGCACATCTGATTGGGCTTCGGAATTGCTCGCGTGGGAGTCAGATTTCCCATCGGTGCCCGAGCTCTGGTGGCGTATCGCTACTGTGTATCTGCTGGCCTAGTCCCTTGTACATACAGGTAATAGAGGGCTGCTACGACGCACTTGCTGGCATGAGGGCCCGATCACAACCAATGAGTGAGCTAGTACTGGGCATTCTTACTATGGTTAGGTCCATTCCCCGTCACGAAACCTTGCGACCTGAAATGCGGACAACCAACCCTGCCTGCGACGCGGGTGACGATTTGTTACCGGCCGGTAAAACCATGCACAAGATTGCGCAAAGCCAAAAAGTGAGCCTATTTACTTGACTCTTACCTCTTACCTCTTACCTATTCCATGATACTACTTAGTCCCCGCTTATCACGGACGCATGCAAAGTCTTGGGTCCGAGGAATTCGTAGGGAGTGTAGCGTGTCTCTTCCCCTTCCTTCCCGTCATTCCACCCGTGCCCATGCTTAGTAGTTTGTCTCGGTCTCAGCCCGTCCAGTGTGGTTCGAGGATGATGTTTGCTGGACGACCCAAGCCTTTATCCCGGGCTCTGGTGGAGATCGGGCTCCTTCCTCCCTTCATGTGTGTCTTTCCCGACTGGGTTAATATCACACTCCCTCTGTGAGGGGAGTGGTGGAAGAGGGCAGTGTACTCTAGTCGACGATATCAACTAATAAGCGCTGCACGACGATCTGGAATCTCGCATTGCCACCGAATGACCCGGTCAAACGAGGCGTGCACTCTTGAGATGAGATGGCGTAGCGCATACCCAAAGCAGCCCTTGTGATTGGACGTATTCTAGTCTGGAAGAAGGCTTGAGGCGAATATGGAGTCTGAGAGGGGATCTGAAGTTGCATGGTTGAGCGGTGTATTGGGCGACATTAACTGGAAAACAGTTCCGTGAGCCCAACCAGTTTCTGTCTGTTGATGTCAAGCAGAGGCAGGAATGAACTCATAGTTACATTTGAGGATCTTCGGATAGGCTACGCTTGCTGCGATCGCAAGGCCCGCGGCGCGTCAGGTGATTCGCCCGGAAACCCGCCGGGAGAGGGGTTGCCGACCAGGTTCCACCGCAGCCATGCAGCCTCCATGGCTGGTCGACAAAACTGAATGGCCGGCTGTTACTTCCCCTCGCCAAAAGTCTCGATAATTGGGTCAACTGGTGACTTTCTGCAGGCGCGATCAGTAGCGTGCCGCTTTTTGCCACTGCCGATGGACAGCCTCCACACCCCTGGTTGATTGACTGGGCCGCAGACTCCATGTGTTCATGGCGAAGGGGAGGGACAATGGAAAAAGAGAGTTAAGACCCGACCTGACTTCGGGTACTAGACCCGTACAGTATTGAGGCAACTTAAGGCAACATCAGGTACGCATACTTGTGTGTCTGGATACACTAAAGTCAAAGTACTTATTGTATCTTGGTCTTCTTTGGTATTATTGCGGGCCCAACAAGGTACACCCGCCCAATTGACTGTGTAGCAAACTAGCAATAGTATACTACGGAGTAGTACTCCACAATATCTAATGGTAACTACCAAGCTGGGAATTGCCCTTCATGAACGAAGCCAAAGTATGGTACAGGGGTCCCGAAGATCCCAGCGGCGCGGCCAGCTAACCTCAAAACGGCAATTGAGACAGGAGGAGCTTGCGTTTCCCAGGCCTTGGAAGGGGAAGAAGAATTTCGCTTGCTTCATGATGAGATTCCTATGCAGGTTAGCTCCGGGAGCAAGAGTCTGGCAGGAGGAGGATTTGCCAGTTGGGTTCTACCGGATCCGACACTTGGACGGCCGAAGATATTTACTGCCTACTACAGACTACAATACTAACTCTTACCTCGAAGTTCCCTATTGACATTAGCGCCCCCGGTAGTGATTGGGCGGATAGCAGTGCCACCAGCGACAGGCCGGGCCAAGACTGGGGCTGCCCGCAGGCTTATCCTCTTTGGGACTGGTGGTTCCCGATCCTTTTTTCTTTTCCATACGGTTGGAAGTTACTGATTCTTTACTGACTGAACTGACGGGCTGCCTTCCACTCTCGTCCTCTCATGTCTCTCTCTCGGCTCCCTCCCCGGCCGGAAGCCGTGAAGTCTCGATGGGCCCGCGGAAATCTGTCGCAGCCTCTGCTGCTTTCCAGAAACAACAAAGTCTGTCTTACACCCTCTCATCCTCACTGCTGACTGGCTGTCGCGTTTTAAGCTTCCTCCCCTCTGGGTCTCTGAGAGTCTGGGTGCTGTTCTGTGTATTTCCTCTATTTTCCTCCCTCCACCTCTGTGCATTTCCCCTTTTGGTTTGATTTGTTTTATATTCGAATTTTCTTGTCCCTTTGCAGTTCCTAAATGGGTAATTTCGGGGATTCCCTATTTTCTTCGTACCCTCTTTCGCCCACTTCGTTTCAATGCCGTATTCTTTTCACACTCGGGTTTTAGTCGTTGGATTTTATTTTATTATTTTCCGAATTTCCAATCTCGGATTGATATTTATATTTTTTTATTTTTATTTTTATCTTTCCACTTGGATACCGCTGCAGCCACAGAATTAGGCCCGGAAAAGCAAATCCCTTAACCACTGGGCCTCCTGCTCCATATATAAAATTCAACCTTTAAAGCAAGTACCAACGCTCATTGTGACTACTACTGACATCTCTTACTGAATACACTTTCAATTGACCATCATATCGTTTGGGTCTCTTGCCTTCTTTCCACTCCTCGGGGATTCAGTGTCGGCCCTTTAATCTCCCTTATTTCTACCATAACAGACGATTAGACGGCAACCGGGGGGTGGGCAATACTTAGTTAGCCAATTTCATCGACCCGTTCATTAGCCAATTTCATCGACCCGTTCATTCCCACAACACTATTGCCATCTCCTCCCGCCAACCGAACCCCACCCCATTGATTGTTGACTCTCTGTATCCGTTCCCTCGGGTCGCCTTTTCATCTCTTCACCTCTCATTCAATTTCCCTCCTCAGGGCGACTTCCTCTTGTGTGGTCGTCTTGGTGCTTCCCATCACTGTCATATATGTCCGACTCGCAATCCTCCTCCTCCCGCTTCCTGGCACCCGCTCCTGGTCAGCCCCCGACTGCCAAGGTGGCGGACAATGTAGTTCAGGGTCGTAAGCACAAGACCACCGCCTGCAAGGCGTGCAAACAGAAGAAGCTCAAGGTGGGATTTCTTTATTAAGCCCGTTGTCACTGGTATCTTCGTACCATCACATCAATCCCTGTTCGTCGGCTGACCCCCTCAAGTGCAGAGGTGATCCACCATGTCAGCATTGCGTGGCAAACGGCATTCCATGCCTGGTCGACGAGATGGCCGACATGCGCCGCAAATACGCCATGAAGCGGAAACTAGACCGGCTCGAACAGGCGGAGGAGACGCTGCTGCGACTGATTGACGCGCTCCGGGAGAGTGAGAGCAAACGTCTCGCCCAGCTCTTGAATCTCATCCGAAGTAATGCCTCCTTCGAGGAACTTCAAATCTTCCTGGAGCAACAATTCACCGGGCGCGAAATTGAACTGTCCCCGGAACTGCGTGAGATCCAGAGCCAGATCTCCCGTCCCTCTGACGATGATGAGGAGTCGCAACCGTCCTCTCAACCCCGATCCTCCCGCCGTGTCCTGGACGTCCGCCGTCTCGCCGATAACCCCGTTCACCAAGTTCCTGCAAAGCCATGGACAACTGTCACCGATGACGATGACCTGGTGTCCCACCTCGTGTCGCTGTGGCTGACCTGGACCTACCCCTTCTTCCACTGGCTGGATAAAGATGCTTTTCTGCGGGACATGCGGGCCGGCAATCTCGAGTGCCGGTTCTGTTCGCGCTTCTTGGTGAATGCTATTCTTTCCGAGGCTTGTGTAGGTGTACCTGACCCTTTTGGATCAATGCCATTTACCGCAGGACTGACTGACTGGGTGCTTATTTAGTACTACTCTGACTACGCCGAAGTATTCACCGTTCCCCACGACCCGCTCACCCGGGGCGATCATTTCTACGAAGAAGCCCGTCGGCTCCTGGAAGAGGAGGAGGGAGGAGCGACAATACCAACGATCCAAGGCTTATTGGTTCTATTTATCCGGTAGGTGCTTGAAGCCTCATGCAATGTAGGCCATGCTAATAGTATTGGGCTTGCAGGATGGTTCTGATGGGAAAAGACCGCTTGGGGTGGATGTACCTGGATCTGGCTATCCGGGGGGCGGAGGAGTATGCGGAAAGCCACCCTCCTGGGATAGCTGGTTGGGAGGCAGACGGCGCAGCCGAGGGGGTGGTGAATAGGACACTCTGGGGCGCTTTCAATATTGCTTCGTAAGTGCTACCTTCTGGGTACCAGGAGCAACTACTAATTGGGATTGGTGACAGGACGGCAACAGTGTCGCTGATGAAGCATATCAACGTCAACCCCCCGCAGCGTCCACGCATCCCCGTCACCCACAGCGATCCGGACGATCTATGGTACCCGTACCCGCGAGAGGTGGACGCAGTCCGCGGGCATCACAACTGTGTTTTCGATCGATGGTGCGACTTTTGCTGCATTATGATGCAGATCAGCCAGGGACTTCATGATCCCGAGCACCTTGTGACGCCATCGCAGATGGTCGGATTTATCGACGGCATCTACAAACAGCTCCAGGAGTGGTACGCGCATTTGCCACCGTGCATGAACGCGGATGTGGCGACCGTCCCCCACGTTTTGAGTATCCAGTAAGTGCTTTTGCCCCCTCCCTTCACAAGATGCCTCTGTGCGACTCGGTGTGCTGATTCGCCCCACCCGTTAGTATGTTTTACCACACCACCGTCATGCAGATTTTTGGGTTTCTCCGATCCAACCGCGAAGTGGCCCTGGATGTATCTACGGCCGCACATGCACAGCAACTCTGCCTCTCGTCGGCTCGCCGGGTGGCAGAGCTGCTGCGAGTTCATCGCGACAAGTGGGGTATCGACCGGATGGCGCCGTCGACCATCCAGTGGTGCAGCATTGGCATGTTCACCCTCATGGAGGCGCTGGACTCTACGGACAACCGCAACGCCTTCGTTGAGCTGTGCATTATCGCCCGGGCGTTCTCGCGACGTTTCCCTTTGGCCAAGGGTATCCTACGAATGATTCAGCTGTCCGCGACGCAAACAGAGGTGGCCCTCCCCGAGGAGACCGACGCGCTGTTTACCGACTTCGAGACGCTGGGCTGGAAGCAGCGCGACGCCAAGGAGTTCAGCAGCTTCTATCCGCATTTCAGCTCCGTTGTGCAGCAGGGACCGGCGCGCCAGGGAGACGTGGATATGGACCAATTTCTGGCGAAATGGGATGGGCTGAGTCTCTCGCAGACAAACCAGGATTCGGCCGCGTCGGAGTCCGATCTGAAGCGAGGCAGTTCGGCTGACTGATGATGGCATCGCCCAGCCACCCATTTTCCTTTCTTTCATATCTTGACAAAGCCGTGACGAAGTAATGAACCATTACCACTAATGCTAGATCTTTATTTGTTACCTGATTCCCTGTGTACATTTTCCCCTTCTGGATAGTCACTATTCCAGTATACCTTCCCTCCCTCATGGCTCGGGATTCGGTGTCTGCCTGGCCTATCCACAGCCGGTGTGGAACTTGGCTCCGGTGGAATGTCTTGGAAGTGTGGAATAATAGCGATCGACATGTGACGTGTCTCCGTTGCCTGGCGGTCGGAAATTTCTTCCGCCTTCAATGAGCAACTAGAAATTAGCGGTCGGCATCTTTTTCCGGTGGGGACTGCCTTCTCTACTGTGTATCGACCTACCCTGTATTTTCCTTGTTATGCTATACTCCGCAGCCAGCCCTGCCTTGCTTTGCCCGAGATGTTCCACTTCATCAATCCCACGTTGTCCGTGCGTTTGCGCTCACTAATGTAGGTCAGTGCGCTGCCGCTGTGAGAGCTCCCATCCTCCCTAGCAACTGGGACAGGCATTGGTGTTCTGGCACAAAGGCCATCTCCTACTCCTCCTCCCTATTCTTGAGGGTGGAATTAGGTGATCAAATACTCATGATAAACGCCCGGCTTCACACCGATCAATGCTGGCTTCGTTGTGGTGATGGAGGAATAGCCGAGGGTCAAGCAGAGAACGACAAGCACCACCACACCAGTCCAGCGTCTATTGGATTGCTTGGCAATGCATTGCAACTTTTACCCACTTCTACTCTCGTGAATTTCTGAGAGAAATTAACTCCACCATGATGGAGTGGTCTGATGCGCCGTGAGGTGTACCACACAATATTTCTTCCACTCCCTTCCCCTTCCACAGCGTCCACCTGAGGATCGTCTGCAAGGCGGTCGGAAGCGATTCGCCAATCATACCGAGCAGCGTCGACGATCAGCCTGCGGGCCAATTTCTACGATCCGTTGGAGCTGGCCATCTCCACCGATGCTGTTTTTCTGCCAGGAATTGGTTTCCGTGATGCTTCATCTCCTACGTCATTGTGTCGGACAGGCGGATACTTCGGGATCTGATTTGAATCCAGCTTGCATGAGAACTGATACAATTGGTGTCGCGGTGTTTGAATTGAAGTGTAACCCACTTGCAATTTTGCGCGCGGGATTTTCTCGTTGGGAATGGCCTATCATGATCCAAAATTGAACTGGATCGTTTATTTTGTACAAAGGAGTGCTATCGGTGAATGGGTCGCATTGTCATATCACCGTCCTGGTTTTAGGCTTCATTTTATGGGTCTGTTAGGGGCTTCGGGTGTGAAAATGACCCTCACCTCCACAATCATCTGATCTGAATTCCGAAGCCGGTGTTTTCTCTAGTCATATGCCTCCACTCGAGTGATGCACCTGTAATACGGAAACATTGTCAGTTTTCGGTAGTATATATACATTTATATATATCCCATGCCCCTTGGGAAATGAACCTTGCTGCCCACTACTTTTTACCATCCGATTTTATTGGTCAATCTACTATGTAATGCTGTAGGTAGCACTGCATAATCAATACTAGGCATCATGAAACAACGTATACCACTGTTCACTTCGCAAGGATGTCCATGATCCTACTAAACTCACCAGTTGACCAATTCTGTTGGGGCAAAACAGTAGATGGTGGCCAGCACCTGTCAACAAACCTTATTGTGCGCACGGAGCACAGTCCTCCGTCAGCATTCTCTCTCTGCTCCGTATGCTGCTCTTGCCTCAGCAGGAACAGAGAGCCACAATACTAAGTAAAGTAGTATTCAGCATCATAAATCAACATCCAAGGAAGCAAACAATAAGCATCAATCCAGTCATCTGAATCGATAATCCTCCATCTCGAATCCTGATGTTGCACTCATCCGTCACAATCCCCCAATGCCGGACAGACAGACAGAGACAACGGCATTGAAATACCCGAAAGCTTAAAAATTAAACCCACGCGGGCCAAACAATCTAATCAACCAAACCCACCATGGCCAGGATCTACGCGTCTTTTCATCCCGCCATCGAAATTTTCACTCACCACCTCTGCATCCCCCAGCTGCATAGTCGCCCTCTGGAATCATGATTCAGGCCGAATCGCAGACAATAGCTGCGTCTGCGACTGCTCCCACGGATAAAGATGTCGCCTGGGCCATAGTCAGTGAAGAAGCGGGGGAGATTGACCCCGCCGTGGAGAAGAGGGTGGTGCGCAAGATTGATGCTTTTTTCATGCCTGCTATGTTAATTGGTTCGTTATATTTATCTTCTTCATTTGCGTGTTTGGTGTTTGTTTTTCGTGCGAGGTGATCGTTGGAATTGGATAAATTGGCATATTGTTGACTTATAACATTGTAGGATATGGATTTGTTTACTGGGATAAGGTTCGTCATGAGCACGCTCCAACTTGATATGTCTTCAACCTATTGACTAGAAGCTACTATTTGTAGGCCATTCTTGGCAGCGCATCACTGTTCGGCATGACAACCGATTTGCAACTGCAGGTCATGGATTACTCCACATCGCCTGCCACCAAAGATACCTCCCGTCTCAGCTGGGCCACCTCCATCTTCTACTTTGGTATGATGGCCGGGTTGTACCCCATGACCTTTGTGCTGCAGCGGTTTCGTATCCAGCACGTCTTGGGGCCGGTCGTCATGCTGTGGGCCATTACCTGTGCTGCTACGGCGGGAGTCACCTCGTGGCGGGGGTTGTTTGTGCAGCGGTTTTTTCTGGGTATTTTCCCTGCTCTACATTTACATGACATAGTTGACTGATTATATAGGCTTCGTGGAGAGTGTCATCCCTACCGGCTTCATGACTGTCGTCAGTGGTTACTATACCCAAGACGAGCAGAGTCTGCGCCAGGCCTGGTGGTTCTCCGGTACCGGGTGGTTCACCATTATCGGAAGTGCGCTCAACTATGCGTTTGGACAGATCGATTCTGGCAGCCTTAGGCCTTGGCAGTATATCTACATTTTCGCCGGTGTGCTGACTTTTCTATTCGGGATCTGGTGCTGTGCCATGCCCAATTCGCCCGTCGAGGCGTGGTTTCTGACCCATGAGGAAAGAGTAGTGGCCGTGGAGCGCCTGCGTCGGGGACAGACTGGTGTGCGCTGCCAGGTGATCAAGAAAGATCAAATTGTGGAGGCATTCCTGGACATCAAATTGTATTTGATTGCTATTATGATGGCTGCAGCGTGAGTAATCCCGCAAACCCGACAAGCATTGCTAAAATCTAATGCATCCTAGGTATACTATTAACGGCGCCATTTCCGGATTCGGCCCCCTGATCGTGTCAACCTTTGGCTACAACACCCTCGACTCCATTCTGTTCCAATTCCCAGTGGGTGGGGTCTGCGTCATCTTCATCCCCCTCTGCGGTTACATCGGCATGCGCGTTCCTAACACGCGCATTCCCATGCTCATCGCCTGCTGTCTCCCCGTCATCGCCGGCTGCGTGATGATCTGGAAGTCCGACTGGGGATACCACCCGGCAGTTCCAGTTGCCGGATACGCCATCACCGGCTTCTTCGGACCTGTTGTCAGCCTTATCATCACCCTCGGTGCCAGCAACGTAGCCGGTGCGACCAAGAAAACCGTCATGGCGGCCACCGTGTTTGTCGCCTACACTGTGGGTAACATCATCGGGCCGCAGCTGGTGAACAGCAAGACCGTCGACCAGCACTACCCGGAGCTGTGGGAGGGCATGGTGATCTGCTACTGCATCACCATCGCGGCCGCGGTAGCGCTATACGTTCTCTTGTGGCGGGAGAACCGGCGTCGCGATGCCATGGATCTGGACGAGAGCCAGCGCGACAAGCTGGCGTTCCAAGATCTGACGGACAAGCAGAACCCGTTCTTCCGCTACGTGCTGTAGCGCTGCACCACCCTTGTATAATATCAATCATCCTCATCAGATAGACTAGTAGAATATTCCACTCCATCATCCGCTGTAACAACCACCCACATGACTTTTTGCGCAATCTTCGCCTCTCTCTTCCTTACCCGCTGAAAGGTCCGCTCACTCTGCTGCAACCGCTTCGTCACTCCCTTCTCGCGCTCCCTACCCAACTTCTCCATCTTGCGTTGCAGCTGCTTCAACCCCTTCTCCAGATCATCCTGCACAATCCCCCGTCCCAGGAGTGACTCTCCCAACGGGCCAGACAACCTCTCCACAGCTCTCCCCTTAACTGCCATCATCTCCGCTTCCACCTCCTCCATCTTCACAAGCAACTCCTTCTCCGCAACCTCCGCCTCCCCAATACCCCGAACAGCACGTCTATGTCTGCGCACAAGCACCCGATTCTGCCTTTGCGTAAACCACTCCTCTTGTTTCCATGCCACCTTCCGCACCCAATCTCCCCCTCCCCCATTCCCTACTGCCATATCATCCACAAACACCACCGGCGCCACATACTCCCTAAGCGCATCCATCCTTCTCCTCACCGGATCAAACCCGCCCCCACCCTCACTCTTACTACTTCCCTGCTCAAAATCATAATCAAACACCTCTCCTAACCCCAACCTATCCCCCTCCACCCCCAAAACACGAAGTAACCCCTCCGTCCCCAAAACCCTCACCCTCAACCCCACAGGCCCAAACACCGTCTCATTCGCTTCCCTCAGAAACATCTTCGTCCGGAGCTTCGAGACAGTAATCGTCCCCAGTTCGGCAGCAACTTGCATCCCTAGTGCCGCGAGCTGTGCCTCGAGCGAGGGAATGAAGCCGAGGATGTTGGAGGTGGCGCTGAGGGCTTGGAGGTAGGGGTTTGCCAGCCAGACGTGGTTTAGGTGGTTGAGGAAGGTGAGGAATGTCGGGGTTGGAAGGAGGGGGGAGAGGGTAGGGGAGTGGGCGAGGTGGAAGGGGCGGTAGGAGGGGCCGTGAATTGTGGTTGAGGTTTCTGGGGGGTTGTTAGTGGGTGGTGGTGAAGGGGATGGGGGAGGGGGGGAAGCGTACGCGGGATGACGATTGGTTTGGGGAGGATGATGGATGTTGTTGTTTTGGAGGGGTTGGGTTGAAGTGGTGGTCGAGGGGGGAGGGGAGGGGGTGATGCTGTTTCTAGTTTGAGGTGTGTCATGATGTAGGATTTTAGTTGAATGGTTGAGGATAGATGGACAATCAAGTGAAAGAAAAAGAGAGGTAGATATATTATAAAGACAAGATGGATGCCTGATCACCAGCAAGGATACTACATAGCTAGCAAGTATACGATGCGGGCTAAGATTGGCCCTGGCGTATATTGACCTTACACTGATTGGTCAATCCCTGATGTGCCCGTAAGGCAGACACATAAGCTTATAGAATTAGCAATTACTATTGTTATCAACACCACCAGTACCATCACAACCATTCATCTGACACATCATATACCCCCTACGCAAGGGGATTGCTCACTCACGAACTAAATCGCCCCGGCAGTCGCCTCAACATCATCCTTCCCACCCGCCGTGGCCGGCGTCGCTGTCGCCGAAGTAGCCATGCCCTGTCTGCGCAACCCAGCTACAGTGATACTCTCCCCTTGCAAGAGATACATGTACCAGTAGTACGTTCCTACAAAAAGCCCACCCCCGACAATATTCCCCAACAACGTCGGGATAATCCCCTTCCACACGTACAACCCCACCGTAATGTCCGGCGCATCCAGCCAGATAGCCAGCGGAATGAAGGTCATGTTCGCGACGACGTGATCGAATCCCAGCGATACGAACGCGAAGATCGGCCACCAGATGCCCATGATCTTAGACGCGAGGTCACGACCCTGTAGACCGAAGAAACAGGCGAGACAAACGAGCCAGTTGCATCCGATGCCGCGGAGGAAGATTTGTTGGAAGTGCGGAGTGACTTGCTTTTTGGTGGCGAAGGAGATGACTTCGCTTTTGTAGGGGTCTGTGGAGAAAACTTCGCCGTCTGTGCAATTGTTAGGATTTTAGGTTAGGGTGTGGGTGTGGAGAAGGGGGGAGAGAATACAGCCGAAGATAATCGCCACGACAAATAGCGATCCACATAGGTTTCCCCAAAATGTGATGAACCAGTGGAGGAGCATCTTCCACCAGGGGAGTTGGCGCTGTAGGGCTGCGACCGTTGTGAACTGGGTATATTAGTACTACATTATCCACAGTTGGAGTGGAGTAAAGGGGAGGGGGGTATACCATAAATGACCCTGTGCACAAATCCGCCCCGGTTAAGATAATCATGCACAATCCATACGGAAAGACCAGCGCGCTAATGGTGCGAATCAACCCCGGCGCATTCTCCTGGAACCAGGTACTTGTGTTTGTGCTGAGGGCGGTTCCGCACGCCAAGGCAAGTAGACATCCTGCGGAGACGGAGCTGAGGAAGACTTTGTCGAGGCGGGTATTGCCTTTGGCAATGCCTGCTCAGGCGACGAGGTTGATTACTTCGGTGGGGGTGTATGCGTCTATACTGAGAGACATGTTGAGGGTATCTATAGATGTGCAGTGGGTGAGCGGGCGTGTAGTAGGGGCGAGTGAAGACAAGACAGCCCTATATACAGCACTGTAGCCCTGTGGAGGGAAGAAAACAAACACCCAGAACCAATCACATAGCTGGTATACTTCTTATCGGATCGACATTCGAATCCTCAGATTCAGGCTGAATAGAGTTCAGCCCCAGCATGTCGAGGGTCCCGCTGGGGTTCTTGCCAAGACGGGCCCGGACGAGTCACAGCTTCGCATCTTATCAGGACTGAGACGGGCATGTCGACATCTCCGCGGTGATCTCAGCTGCCAATCAAGGGGTGAATATTGTTGTGACTAGCCGAGAGGGTGTAGTGTGGTTATTGGCTAGTTGATTGGTGTCTATGGTGGATGAATCCAGGATATCCCTGCATCCCCGATGAACTTATCATCTCAATTGCCGGGGAACATCTGTTCATTGACCGAGTGGGGATCATCATGCCTGCGAGTGACTCCATCAATGACACTATTGTGTTGATCTATCATGGCCATTGTTCTCGTGGCTACTTGTTGGGGGATGCTTATCGCGGAGAAGCTTCGTTGAGCGGGACTGAAGTCGATGGTGGTGATTTAGAGTTCGATAAGCGGATTGTTTGGTCTGGGTTGACAGGATAGGGCTTTCATGTCAGTGTGATAGGAAGATGATCGTCAGTTGTTGGGCTAAAGCCGACTGGTGAGTTCTGTCATGACACAATTTGAAATTAGGATTCAGTGACTAGATGTGACTGACGGCACTTATCATTATCAGCGATAGCGGTGTTTACAGGATCCAATTTGATCATCTGGATAGGAAGTGAGCCCAAAGGTATTATGTACACATCATGATGGTATACAGGGGACTCAGCTGACCCGAGAGGCGAAGCAACTTGACAGAGCTGACTTATCCTACGTTGCGTGAAGTCAATGAGATTCACGCGGCTGGCAGTCAATAAGTCCAATAACCTTCCTCCCTGGCTGCACCAAGCATCGCGACAATATGCATGCAACTGAAATCTCACATTATGGTATCTAAAGTCTCTATATACTCTAAGTCTATGTATGTCTATTTACTCACTTCTGCTCTGCGGCCTGCGACATGCCCGGCTCCCCATCCGCCGGCACCATCGGCTCATCCTTGACGGGCCTCTCCTTTTCCACCACCTCCGACTTGCGCTTCGCGTTTTCCTGCAACTTCCGCATATAGCGATCCGACTCGGCAGAATACTTGCAATGCGTCCGGATCATCGCACCATACTTGTAAAACAAAAACGGCGCAGGCATACACAACAGCGAGAGAAACGCCGGGATCGACGGCGCCCAATGAATGCCCACCCCGTCATACATATACGGCGCAATGATGGGGAAAACCGCACCAAAGATCGACCGCAGCACCGTATTCGCCGCCAACACAGACGCCGCATAGATGGTGTACGAATCAATAAGATAATAATAACGCCGAGGTAAATCAAAATAACCCCGAACCCGAACGGCGCGGTAGCAATGATGCTGACGATCCAATGGATGGAGGGATAATCCGTCCACGCGAACCAGAACTGGCTGATCGGGATCGCCAACGCCCCTGGCATGCACTGGATAAGTCTGGTCTCCGGCGGCGCAAACCCTCCATGTTTTTCCTGCACCTTGATGTAATGCAGATTGGCGGGGATGGTGCACGCACACCCCAGTATCATCCCTACCGCAATTCCCAGGAAGGCCAACCCGCCCACACCGGGATTCCACCCGCGCACATCCTCATACACAATCGGGAACGCAGCGAAGAACATGTACAGCGTCCCATACACAATAGCAATGTATAGTGCGAACAGTAGCACAATCGGCTCACGGAACAGCAACACCCATGGCCGAGACATCGTCGTCTTCAACAACCTCGGCAAGGAAACCGTCCCCTTATCTAGCTCAACCTTACTCCGATAGACCCGTCCCGTCAGCTGCGAGAGCCTGTCCGCGCGGAGTCGCAGCAGCCGCGGCGCATACGTCTCAGGGATAGATATTGCCATGAGCAGCCAGATAAACCCAGCCAACGCAGCCAGGAACCCCTCCACCCAGCGCCATCCAGCGCGCATGCCCAGGAATCCACCGATGATGGGTCCGATCGCGGGGCCGAGGAACGGCGCAGCGGCGTACAAACTCAGTGCTAGACCGCGCTGACGTGCCGCGAACATATCGGAGATGGTACCGCCTGCGTTCGTGAAAGGAGCGGAACCAAACGCGCCGGCGAAGAACCGCAGAATGCACAGCGTCCAGATGTTCTGGGCGCCGGCGCAGCCGGCTGAGAAAGCGGCCATGCCCATGCAGCTGAAGAAGAAGGGGAGTTGGCGGCCGAAGACTTCGCTGAAGGGGGCCCAGAGGAGGGGACCGACGGCGAAGCCGAGAACGAAGAGAGAAAGACCGATTGTCGCGACTTCATCACTGACATTGAAGTAGGCGGTGATTTCGCTGACACTGCCGCTGTATACAGAGGAGGTGAGGGAGACAGTCAGCGTGCAGGAGGCTACTATGAGAGTGATGGCGACTTTGCGGCCCAGGCCGAAGAGCATCGGGTTGCGGTTGTCGTTCGGGATCCAAGACACCACATACGGGTCGTCTTCGGTCCCGTTGCCGGGGAAGTCGTATTCCAGGACTTCTTGTGTGATGGCTGCTTGGTCGGTGAGGAGGCGCCAGAAGGGGATTTTGGACCGGTATACCCCTGGTGGGAGGGGTCCTTTTGTGAGGGTGTCCTCCATTTGGTAGATGGCTTAATGTGAATCTTTTCTATTACTTTAATATGGTGAAGCTTTTTGAAGCGTGTTTCTCATGAGGTATAGGGCCTGGCGCAGCCAGGAATATTAAAAGGGTATCAACAACGAACGACAGTGCACATGGCAAGCCAGTGAGCAAAATAACACCGATAAGCAGAATGAATGCGGCCGACCACTCATTTATCACTAAAATTCTATCGCCTGCGCTGAAACCACAGACTAAAGAAATGACGCTAAAAAAACGGAGCATTCCGTGTGGCATCCCGACCCACTCTGCTGTTGGAACTCCGAGTTGCCACTCACCAAAAAAACCTGACAAAACATGCTTTTAGCCATGAATTTATCAATAAGAAGGACTCCGTGCCGTATACTGCAAAAGACATTCCATACTACATACGAGCCTGGCATTATCTGATACCCAGTTTTGCTTGTGTTGCGTCCATGTTCAAAATCCCGGGAGTGGTGAGATCGGATATCGGCACGCCTGGGTCTCGGGAGGCTTGGACCCAACCTCGGTTGGAGGCCAGCGCAAGCAATTTATGCTGGTGCTAATGTAATGAATAAGCTCGGTTAAGCACTGGCGTGGCTCAGATTCAGGATACTCGCGACGAGTTCGATTCTGTCCATATGTATGTATGTCTGCCTGACTGCATTATATTTGCTTTTCGTATCTCGGGTACACGGCTCGATTTTCTGCAGCATTGCTCTCATGCGGACCCTTTTGACCAATCATTGCTCCGCTATTTGTGTAATTTCCCCGACTTGCAATGACAAACTACCTATGCTTACACTTATTATGACTGTGTTTATCGCTCATTATATACATCTAATCATCTACTATGCCCCAGTTCCTTGTAGTCTACGTTTCTTATTGTCGCTCTGATGTATCATTTTAGGGCATCGAGAACACGTGGCGAATCGCCGAAACTCAAAATAATACGATCACATTCATGAGATATCTATATTAAGCAGTACACAATAATTCTAATCAATGCTAAACGACATGTCAGCTGTCATGGTTTCCTTCACAGGTTTGTACTCACTCACCGTTACATCCTCCCAAGACTCCCAGCCCCGTCCCTTAACTTGCTTGAGGTCTTCTTCTGTGATCTCTTTCCCAGCCGAGAAGTACCCAGAGTGAATCTTTGCGTCGATCTCTACCCGCGAATCTTCCGGAATCATATCTAACCCAGTTAGCCACAAACCTTCTGATCGGCAAGAGCAAGCCAACTCACCATCCGGAATAGGAACCCGTTCATAGATCGGTATCCCCTGCTCGACAATCGCATCATGCTTCATATTCGACATGGACAGCATGCGATCGATCTTTGTAATGCCCAACCAATGCAGAATATCCGGCATCAACGCCTGAAACCGCATCTACAACAGCATTAGCATCACCCACTCCACCACTAACACCTCCCCTATCAGAAGAAAGAATACTCACATCCTTAGTCCCAGCAATATTCTCCGTCCTCTGAAAATACTTATCCGCGGTATCTCCACCCCTCTTCCTCGAATTATACACCAAATACTTAACCACCTCACCCAGGGCCCGCCCCTCCTTGCGGAAATAAATCACCACTCCACTCCCACCTCCCTGCGCCTCCTTAATCGCCTCCTCAATACCAAAGGTAAGATACGGCCGACACGTACAGATATCCGACTGAAACACATCCGACCCATTACACTCATCGTGAATGCGCAGCGCCAGCCGCATCTCCGGATCAGATACCCGTTCGGGAGACCCAAAGATATAAACCGTCAGTCCGCCAATCGGCGGAAGGAACACCTTCATATCAGGTCTCGTAATCAACTCGGGATAACTGCCCCCCGTATGTTCGAACAACGCCCGTCGGAGATCCTTCTCCGATACGCCGAATCGATCAGCCACACCGGGGAGATACCACACCGGTTCCACGGCTACTTTGGTAACCTTGACGTCTCCGCCTGAATTGAGAACGATGTTCCCATCGATAGGGACTCTTCCCCGCGCAATCGCATCCGTGATCTCGGAGACACGCATCGTCGCTCGCGTCACAGCGATGGTTGGCCGTACGTCTATCCCCTCTTCTAGATACTTCCCGTAGTGTTTGACGATATCGTGTCCGAATGGGTCCATTGAGACGATCTTGCTCTTGTCGCCCCATGCATCTTGGTAAGGAAAGTTGAATGTCGGCTGCGTGTTGAGGAAGTTTGGGCGGAAGTCGGGCTCGAGGTCCCCTGAGGCGATGGCGAGCGCGGTGTAGAATGAGTAGCTGCCGCCGTGGGCGCCGATCGCGTTGCGCTTGCTGAGGGTGTTTTTGCTGCGGGAGACGATGACGGGACCGCGGGTTTCGGGTGTGGAGGAACCCCAAGTTAGGGGGATGGGGTTGGCGACGCTTTGGGAGGGGTAGGTTGTTAGCTGTGGTGGAGTTAGTTATTCAATTAAATTGGTTGGAGTTGGGGTGGGAGGAGAGGAGGGGAAGCGTACGACGATGCGGTTGCTGTAGGAGTCCACTTTGGAGGGGGGTTCTTGTGTTGCTGTTGGCATGGTGGGTGTGTGGTGTGGAGGAAACGATGAGGGAGTTAGTTGAAGAGAATGGTGTACGAGACGTGATGATTGAGAGTTGTTGAAGGGGAGCGATGGGTTTATATGTCGACCTGTGCTCAAAGGTTCTCTCGCATAAATGAAGTTCTGAGATGATTGAACGATAGGGTGTTTCCGCTTTCTGACTATCTGGGGACAGCTGGGCAGAGCTATCAGCATCCCCACGATGGAGTAGCTCAGATAGCTCAGATACGATTGATCTCTCGATGATAGACCCTGGCTGCCGCCGATAGCCAATCAGAGGGCCCGATAAGCGATGGCTGAGACTTATCTTGTCTAATCTTATCTCTGGCGCTATCTGCATCTCCCACAACACTATGGCTTGTATATTGCCAGAGTCAGAATTAATATTGTACAGCTAGTTAGCTGGGAAAGTTCAGTAATGTTTTGATGTATTCAAAGCGAAGGTGGAGTGTTTCTGAGGGATATCTGAAATCTATGCAGTACAGGAGCTACAATACCAGCATATAGTAAGAGAACAGCACTCTTATTGTACTATCGGCCTAGCATCTAGAATAAAGTACCATCTCCAGAATTCAAAATCGGACTCGACTTTGTCTCAGGCCTGTTCTTCGCCGCCAGCTCCCTGCCCGCCTTCCATGATCCCGCCTCCAACATCTGCGGCAATGACAACTGGATATCCCCGAACTTCCCGCTCTGCAATATCCGTTCATGTAGCTTATCAAGCAAAGCAACAGTCATGGCCCGCCACTCTACGATTTCGCCGTCTCCGACTGCAAAACACGGAAGGTTTCCTCCAGACGTGCGTAGTCCCCGCTCCTGTGCCTCAGGCTTAAGCGTCAACACGCCCATATCTATGAACAAGCCACCGTTGCGATACTCCGGAAGTCCGGTTCCTAGCTCTGCGTTCTGCCACTCCAGGGAGAGAAGTCGCTCAAATGGGACTTTGAGGGAGTATGCAAGCCATTGTGTCAGCTTGTGGAAGGGTTGAATACCGTCTGTAGCCGAGGATAGTGAGTGCTCTGCAAGCACGGCGAGTGGCCAGGCGTCGCCGATAGGGTAACCGTTCACTTTGGTGCGGTCGGATGGCCAGATGGGGATGAGGGTTTTCTGTAGGACGTCCCAAAGAACCGAGTAGTCTAGGGACCCTTTGCTCGTCGCCAGGAGGTAGTCTACAAATTAGATTAGTTGCTGGGTAATCAATTGCGTCGACTGTTAACTGACCTGCGATTTGCCCAGGACGGCCGGACGGCCCAAAAATCTCCGGGAGATTTCTCAGCGACTCGCCCAGTTTCTGGAGGATCTGGACCCGAGCAGAAGCTCCAAGAAGTGGGTTGCTGGAATCATCGACTTGAAAGCCGCGAAGGAGTTTGTCCACGCTAAGAGTTCGCAGAGCCTCTCCTGTTCATAGTGAGTAACGCCTTCTGCCTGTCAACGGCGTAAACAGCACGTACCATGCACAACATCCTTCCTTTCCGAGTCCTTGTTGGCAAAGTCACCATTCAAGAACATATACAGCGATGCGACCGCGATACCCTCACTGCGGTTGAACATGGCCCCGGTCTCTTTCTCCACATAACGCCAAGTGTCTCCCGCACCGGCATCGAGAAGAACGGAGACAAAGAATAGATCCAACTGACTTCTAACTTTCTCTTTATCATCATATCCAGATGCATCCCATCGCTCGATCAGTTTCTGGATTCGAGGCACTCCGCCTACGTCGAAGTGCTGCCAGCGGCCGTGGGGAGGGATTTGGTCGTAGCGGTCCGGGCCGAAGTCGCGCTGATCGATGGTCAGTGGTTTTTCGTGGACATATATGAGGGTATATACCTGGATTATGCCTGCAACGTAGTCGACAGTCGCATCGAGCCGCTCAGGGTGGTAGTCGTAGTGGTGCAGCTTTCCTTGTTCAGCGAGGCAGAAGACAATGTTAGCTCTCTCGCGTACGGCTTCTAAACGAAGCAAGTGTCGGGTGCTGGAATCCATCGTGCTTTCTTGGTATGAAGATATTTCAAGCTGAGAATATGCGATAGAAGGTCTTTCTTCGATACAAAGAGAAGACAGATGTGTTGTCTACTAAGAATGTTACACTGAATGAGGGGATGAGCACAACAAAGCGGGGAAGGCGCTTATCGCCTCGGCTGATACGGTATCTTATCTGATACCAGCGACGATAACCGCCTTGTGAAGATGCGAACAACAACAGTATGAGATCGGAGGATGCCACGGTAATCATATCGTTCTATATCTTGCCAGGGCCAATGTATTTATAGCCGAACATCATCCACTACATTCCAGCTTAAGCGTACATTCCCATTCATTTCTCTTCTCAATACCGCAATACCAACCCACTGTATCCATCATGACCGTCGCACTACCCGCCAATGTTGACCAACCGAAAAATGACACTTTCACATCCCTTCTCTCACAACTCAGGGATCGATCTCTCAAGCCCTCCAAAGTGCGCAGCCTAGTGCGCGACATGACAGCAACTATAACAAAGAGCCTCCACATCGACGCACCCAAGGACGAAACGATAGCTATCATCGTGGTGCTCCGCTCTGGTCTAGCCATGTTCGATGGCTTCGTGGACAATGTTCCTGAAGATGTATCTACGACCGTCTATCACATGGGCATATTCAGAGATCAAGCATCATTGCAGCCGGTTGAGTATTACAATAAGTTACCCGTGAAGCCGGCGCATATCAAGCAGGCCTATATTCTGGATCCCTTGATTGCCACGGGTGGTACGGCCGCGGCAGTCATCAGCATATTGAAGTAAGTTCCCAAGATATTGTGATCTTTAGGAGATTACTAATTTGATTATGTCAGGGATTGGGGAATTGAGAAGGTTACATTCCTTTCTGTGTTGTCTACTCCGGTTGGCTTGGAGCATGCAGCTGCCGTGTGGCCCGAGGGTAGCCGGTTTGTGGTGGGTGCGGTTGATCCTGAGGTAGATGCGAAGGGGTATGTTCAGCCTGGGGTTGGGGATATTGGGGATAGGCTTTATGGGACTGCATTCGATTAGATTGTATTCATAATAGAAATGTATAAGATCATTAAGACTTACCTTCGTAACTTGTGTTTGGCGATATGAAGTACTTTCTGTGCACTTCTCTCACCTTTGTATCCTTGAAATTAGTTGATCATGTGGTTCCAGCTTTGGATGGTTGGCATTCCAGACATCTGTGGACATCGAGAGATCCTAGTCCATATCCTAGGTCAAATACTCAAAGTCACGAAACGATTCAGAAAGGTAGTCTTGTACGCAGCATCATACACTCAGGCACCGCTCAGAAAATTCAATATTATCGACGCAAAGCAGCCATCCTTTATATAACAAAAAGAGTACTTACAAATCCCTGGAACCCATAGACCCAGCCAATCACCTGTACATCCCAACAAGACAGTCTATACCCTAAAACTAACCCAACATCATTCCTAATGAGTCGTTCCATAGTACCTGTCACCGAAGTCTCCCAGACCAGGGCTAATGTAGCTATAGCATAGTCAGCAACCGACCAATCCCAAATGACATGATTAGCACACTTACTTCTGAGCAGTCAACTCCGCATCAACCGCCGCAGCAACAACCTTCAGACCCGGAAACTTTCCAGAGATAACATCTAGTCCCTTCTGCGACGACACCACATTAACAAGCACAATAGATTCCTCAGGAACGCCATTGCTCGTCAGGTTCTCCACAGCCTTGATCACAGATCCGCCGGTCGCGAGCATGGGTTCCAGGAGCAGGACGACTAGGTCAATGTTAGTGCGTTTTCCTTTCCTGCTAACCAACAAATCATTTGCTAAGGGACGAAACATACTATCATCCGTAATTCCCGCCGGCAGCTTCGAGTAATAAATCTTGGCGATGCTCGTTTCCTCATCGCGCTGGATGAGCAGCTTACCGAAACTAAGCGGTCCACTGCACATTTCTGTTAGGACGCCTGAAGACTTCTTCAGGTACGAAAGGGAAACACTCACGTCCAAGTATCCCGCAGCGCCTGCTCCATGCAAGCTCCAGCACGGAGGATACTGACACCGCAGACACCCTTCGTGAACCGGATTCCGGTGTAGGGCTTGTTGATGGGTGTAGTAACAGTGTATTCTTCAGCGGGGACGTGGCCCAATGCTATACATTCACTTAAGCCGTCGTTCCAAACATTAATAGATGCTTGAATTTAAGGTAATACGTACCGGACGTAATCAACCGGCGCACAACCTTCTCCACAGCGGCGGAGAAATCCCGATCATTGGTATTCACGTCCCGGATGATGGTCATTAGATTAAGTAGCGACCGGTCTTGTTCCAGGACGGTGATACGGTCCATTTTGGCGGTCCAGGCTGCGCTAGGAGATTCCATGGTGTGGATTTAACTTTGGACTAATTTTTTTTTTCGATTGGCCGGACGTGGGCGGAGTGATAGTCGAGGTGTTGTGAGGAATTGGAGATGGGATGGATGATTTGGGCCACTCCGTGGATAGGACTGGATATATGGTATAGATTGAACAAGTTTGGGCTTAGTCTCGACCGGCGCTGTTTTAGTCGCGTGCTTTACGCCTATCGAGTGAAGAAAGGCGGAGTGAAAATTCGGAAGGAAAAAAAGCGCGGGGTTTTGCGGTGCTGAAGGGCGATAAGATAAGCGGGGTGAGGATCTAATCTAATCTTATCTTTGTTGCGTATTTGGCTGGGACAGGAGTTGTATCGGTCGCTATTGTCGAGGAAGAATAATATAAGTGCTAGATGCGTCTGTAATAGAAGGGCATAAACCTTTGTTCCATACTTTGATAAGTGCAGTGGAAATGGCTAAGATAGGACACCCCTCACGCGCTGACTGGAGTGAGGAAATATATCATGGGGATACTATCAAAATAGTATGCTCGAGTTAGTAGGAGAATGGAGGATATGATCTCTTCAACTGTACCAAGCTCTATCCAATGAGGCGAAAGCATGTATACGGTTCTCATGTATCACACAATATCCTCGGTGCAATCGGAGAAGGTTGGATGATGAGCAGAAATCTCAGGTAACTAACATGCAGCTTTTCAGCACCCTGTGATGATTGTTTATTTCCACGCATCATTTCAATATTCTGACATGTGTCTTTCCGACAGAGTCGGAAAAACAAATGTCACTGTTGAAATGACGATGCGTTGGAAAGGCGAGCAGTCTTCATAGGCCGATTTTTCCCATGCGTGATACCATTCCTACACTGTGATAAATGATAGTTCTGCCTATATGTCTGGTCTAAGGGTATAAACAGGTGAATCTCATATATAGATAGTAGACACATGTATGAGGCTAAAGGCTTCAGCCAATTACTTTGTACATAAAACGCAGACAAGGTGTGCAACTATACCCAACACAGCATCGCCTGTGCGCTTATCAAGCGATTTACGTAGCAGCTCGCTTATCAGTGAACACGCGCACAGGCCAAGCAGCAACCCCAAGTCTGATAAGACAGCGAGTATCTACCAGATCGCCAGATAATCATCGCCACCAGAGCTCGATAATCTCTATCTTGTGATTAGATAGATAGTCCCCCATACAATAAAATGCCACGAGCATCAAGCGCTTCCTCGGGTCGGTCTAGGTTCACGCCCTTCCCCGCAGCCTCGCCCGCTTCTAGTGATGGTACCACGGTGTCGGGGCGTGTGCGCCGGCGGATTTCAGATGTAGGTTGCTTTCCTCCAATTATCCGATAATCCGCTTATGATATTGTTGAGATAAGACCCGTCGTGACGCACTAAGTTCCCGATCCAGTCGTGCTGGAACTGTACCGGTTGAAGAAAGTGATGGATCCGACCGGGATGAACCCTTGCCGCGGTCGCAGGCTGGGCCGACTATCACGCATCTGTTTATTAACAATGAATCAGTTATGTCTAGATCGCAGAATTGGACGAATGTTTTGGATCCGGTATTTGGGTTGATCAACCTCAGATTATTGCGATTGGTGCTAAAGCGAAGGACAGGTTTCACAACGTCTACTTTGCAGGGTCCCGGGGAGTACTCTTCAGGAAGTAAAGCGGGCTGTTGATGCTGCTGAAGATGCCCAGCCTGGATGGGCTGCTCTGGGGTTCCAGGTGAGGCGTGAACATCTGTTGCGGCTGGTGGATGTATTGAGACAGATGTCTCCTGAGATTGTAAGCTGCCGGGACAGCTGACAGGCAAAGGAGTGGAACTGACGATCCTAGGTGACCTGCCTGTCTCGAGAAGTTGGAAAGACATTAGCCGATGCAGACGCGGAGGTTTTCCGTGGTCTGGACTGCATACATGCCGCATGTTCGATCGGGCCTGAAATGGCTGGCATGTTTTTAGGAGGCGATGCAACATTGCTGCAAACTTTCTACGAGCCAGTTGTGAGTCTAGTGCCGGTGAACTAACAGATGTGCTACTAACAGACAGTGGCAGGGCGTCTGTGTCTCAATCACTCCATTCAGCTTTCCCTTCATGATTCCCCTGTGGTCGCTTCCGTACGCGCTTATCACTGGCAACACCGTCATCCTAAAACCATCCGAGAAAACACCAACTACGTCTTCGTTACTAGCGCAGGCATTCATCAAAACTGGCTTCCCTCCCGGGGTCTTCAATGTGCTCCACGGCGGCCCATCCACAGTGCAGATGCTTGTGACCCAGCCGACGGTTCAAGCGGTGAGTTTCGTTGGGTCCGAGTCAGCAGCTAGGCAGGTGCATGACCTGGCAAGGGCCGCAGGAAAGCGAATACAAGCCGAGTGTGGTGGTAAGAATCATGGGGTCGTCTTGGAGGATGCTAATATGTCCTCGACGCTTTTTGCGATCGCTGGAAGTGCCTTCGGGGCCGCCGGTCAGCGTTGTATGGCCTTGAGCGTAGCGGTGTTTGTAGGTGCGACGAGAGACTGGATTCCTAGGCTGGTGGAGCTGGCACAGTCGATGGTAGTAGGATGTGGAGGTGATCAGGAATCTAAGATTGGGCCGTTGATTGACAAAACAGCCAAAGAAAAAGTCAGCGAGATGATCCAGCGAGCAGTTGAGGAGAGAGCAACCGTTCTTTTGGACGGTCGAGATATTGAGGTCCCCGGCTATCCGGATGGCAACTTCATGGGCCCAACCATTCTCGGGGATGTGCAGACTTACATGGAATGCTATCAGGCGGAAATATTTGGGCCTTTGCTCATCTGCATGGAGGTGGACACTCTTGAGGAAGCGATCGATCTGATAAACCAAAATAAGTGTCAGTCTCCCGCAACCCGGGCTTTAAGGGGATGGATTGCTGACCTGATCGCAGATGGTAACGGATGCTCTATTTTCACCACCAGCGGCAAGCATGCAAATACGTTCCAACGCTGTGTCAATGTTGGACAGATTGGTGTCAACATCCCGTTGATCGGTATGGCTGTCCCCATTTCCGTAGCGCAACCAACCCCTGACAGTACAACAGCGCCGTATGGAACCGCGGTCCGAACGAGCAACAAAGATTCTTTCCTGGGTGGTGAGTGCCCAGACATCTCCGGTGAAAGGAAAGCTGACCTCTGCAGATCGACATTCCCCTGGGAAGACATATTGGCCATTCTTCACGACCACAAAAACGGTGTCATCCCGATGGGATCAGTGAAAATCTAGGAGTGTTATCGGTGTGCAGCAGACGCAGGGTATCGGTCGGGGATATGCGGTATGAGTTGCGTAGCGCTGTTAGGTCGAACAAAATGCGAGCGCAACGCTTCTTCATTCTGTCTCCTAATGAAGTTTTCAAGGGCGTATTGGATGCATTGCGCTCGTGGTAGAGGAGTAACAACGTGGATGAGTCGAGGCGCGGACTATGCTACTTGTCGAGGCCGGCTGCGGTTCCGACCGGGAGTCAAATTCAACACTGTTGGATAATGAGCCCTGAAAATAATATCTTGTGTGGAGGTCGCAGACACAATCTCCACCTTCTTTGGAAGTAAAACTGTACTAGAAAGAGTATGAACTTCCTAACTAGTCTCCTTGCCCAAAACAAAAGCATTCTATCATATATGAAGCGCATCGGATCATATCAAAGCCGCGCGACCTCTGCTACATAAAGCTCATCCAGCTGCTGGCCAACGAGACTTGGAGTAAATGCTTGGTGTCGCGAGACAGCCTATCTGGTAGTATCATCTAACAAGCACTAAACTCGTGCTCGGCTCTACATCTGGCTGCTATCTGTGATGCACTTCCCCGCTGGGAGCTTAGGCTCTAGTCGGTGCCCGGACCACCCGCTGTGATAGCTCACGAGAAATGATAGCCTTGCTGCAACACACCTGGATAGGTTAAGCTAGGCCCGATCCGACCCGATCATAGCTCCTTTGAGCTAGTATTAGGTGTCAAATGACCCGACGATGGAAACTCTAAAAGGGTTAGCCGTATCAGTGCGAATAATTGGAAGATTGTAAGCTCGATGGAAAAGTCATCGCTGCTGCCAATTGAGCGGACAGCCCCTTCGTGATCCATGCCCGTGGCTGTCAAGAAATTTGTGGGCCGACTGCCGCCATTGCTCGCCAGGTGCCTGAGAGAGCTCAACTATGGAATATCCCTGACAGAACCTAATTGCAATGGAGAAGTCGGATTTGCTGTGACGACGAGTGGAGATGTTGCCTGATCCCAGTGCATCCGCTACGGACGGGATGTGGACCCTGTTTGAAGATCGCTAGATAGTACCAACTGCCCGGAGAATACGACCGCTAGTCCTCATTCGCTGCCCTCAATGTCAATTGATCTTATCTGGAGTCGTTTATTTTAATCTCTGGATTATTCGGCTTTGATTCTTGATCCGTTAGCCTGGTCCCGTAGCCCACAAACATCTGCTAATCTAAAAAGCCCTTTCCCGTCCATTAAAGTTCAATGGCGTTTCCAGGAAGACGAGTCAATTAGCAATCATCTCTCTCACCCGGCATTGCTCGGATCACAGCCACAATAACGAAGGAAGCATCCAGCTACTTTAATAAGCTCTTTTGCTTGACGTCAGCGTAAGCCGGCCCAATAGTCAAAGCCGAGCACCCGCGCCCGAGTGAGTCAGGTCCACGTCATCAGTCAGCATACAACATACACCACACCACCAGGTACCTATAAAGTATAGAAGATGAGACAGGGTCCCCCCCCCCCCCTCCCCCTCTTCCTAAGGCATTAATTTATCATCATAATCTTCTTCTATAATCAACTAGTCATGCCCACTCTCAGCCAGGTCCGTCAGTCCAACACGGCCCTGGGCGCTCAGCGCCAAAAGATGGTCGCCGTTTTCGTGGGAGGCACCAGCGGCATAGGAGAAGCAACAGCCAAGCAGATGGCGCTCGCTGTGAAACAACCAACCATCCACCTGGTTGGCCGGAATCCTGCATCCGGTTCCAGAGTCCTAGAGGAGCTCCGGGCTTCCAATCCAAGCGGATCATATAACTTCATTCAATCGGATGTCTCACTTCTGCGCAGCGTCGACAAAGCCTGTGAGGAAATTACGGACAAGGAAAAGCAAATTGATCTCCTCTTCATGTCCACCGGTCACCTATCTCTCTCCAAGAACGGTACGTAGCTGAAACAGCCTCATCCTGGTCAGTCGGAACGGCTTCAAACGCCACTGCGCCAACCCCAACACCCCTATACCTTACTAGTGCTGACAGGGGGATCCGCACACAGAAACCGACGAGGGACTAGACGACAACCATGCCCTTCGTTACTACTCCCGCATGCGCTTCGTGCAGAGTCTCATGCCACTGCTCAGTGCCTCTTCCGGTCCAGCCAGGGTCGTATCCATCCTAGCGGGCGGCCAGGAAGGCACCATGGAGGAAGACAATTTCGACCTGAGGAAATCTTGGAGTTTTACGAAAGGAAACACATACGCCGCCACCTTAAACTCGCTAGCGATAGAGCATCTAGCCACCGCCCATCCGACCGTAAGCTTTCTACACGTCTTCCCGGGTATTGTACGGACTCCATTGATGAACGCCTCCTTCGGAAATTACGGCGGCGCCATCCTAAGCTTTCTTTCTCGTCCGATTTCAATGTCCCCGGAGGAGAGTGGCGAGCGTAATTTGTTTCTCTCGACGTCGGCAGCCTATCCACCAGCCACGCCGAAAGATCCATCCCAGCTGGGGGTTCCCTTGGTCAAAGGGGTGGACACGGCGTCTGCATCAACTGGCAAAGTCGGCGGAGGTTCATATATTCTTAAATACGATGGGAGTAATGCAACCCGGGAGAAATTGATGGCTGATTATCGAGCCAGGAGTTTCCCTGGTAAGGTTTGGGACCATACACTGGAGACATTCAAGCGGGTGCTGCGGTCAGACTGATGATGACGTCTTTCATGGGGTTTTTTTTGTTGTTTTTTGTTTTTCTTCCTTCCCTCTATACCTTCCCTAATGTTGTATCGTCATGGACGGTATTAATTTTACATCACCAACCTTGCCGTCGGACAAGCCACCTCTCGTGTTCATAAGCTCATCTATCCGATTTCGACATTCGTACTTTGTCCCTTAAGCTGAGTTCAAAACTTGAACCTGATGATGGAAATAGTAGCAAAGGATCACCCGGTTGAGTATGCCGTCCCGGGAGGGTAACAAATACGCCGACAAAATAAAAGCTGAAAGGAGGATAAAAATAGCAATCGGAGCCGAACTATAACTAGATGATTGAATGAATAATCGAACAAGGGTCTACAGATGAAGATCAATATTTGCCACTAATGAGAGGGGAACGAGGCCCACTGGATGATTTCAATCGAAGCATTCTCTCTTACTGATACCTAATTACTAAGAGCAGGTGAAGTCAGCCGAAAAATACATAAAGTCAAGTTAGTGTTGGAATATCGTAAGATACGTGTACAAAGGCAAATATACAATGATAATAATACGCTGACAAGCAAAAGAAAAGGTAAAATGGCAGGGCAGGTGAACGAAGAGAAGAGAAAGGGGAAAAGCAAAGGAACAACTCAACAGCAACAGCCGCAGAATCATCCTCGACAAACAAAGATGAGTGGGAAAATATAAAGAGAAGGAATTATTGCATGGTATGGAGTGAAAGCTATAAAGAAAAGCAAAGGGCAAAGACAGAGAAACCGGCTCGTGGAATTGGGATTGGTAAGAAAAGGGCATTCCTGGAATACTATGGATGCTCTAACTCTAATGGAACAGCTGGAGCCATTAATCGAAAACCGTTGCTAGAAGAGATTGACAATTTTCACTTGATAGACTGGAATAACGTTGCAAGACATATACAATAAAATATCCAATTCCAATCTAGAATAGAGGTGTCAAGGACAAGACTTTGGTCCTTGGTTCAGTCGTCCCCTGTAGACTTTGAATAGCTGCCCCCATCGTTCTCATCCTCCTCATCATCATCCTCCTCCTCCCAGAACGAAGGGTACTTCTCACAGGCGTTTTGACAGATAAAACGGCCACCACACGAGCAAGCCCGAGGGCCGTCTTTGGCGAAAACAATTTGAGCGAAATGAATCGCGGGATAGAGAATGGTGTCGCCCTCCTCAACCTCGGGGACCTCTTTATCCAGTCGCTTTCGTAAAACCTCTTCTCCGTCATTCCGATGAGAATATCGGACTTCACCTCGGAGTGTCTGCAACCTAACGATATCGTCCGAGGTTACCAGATAGCGACCTGAGACGAGAGGAAGGCTCAGTAGCACTGGATCAGGCCATTCATCGGGATAAATTTCATCGGAACACCCTCGTTTCCGGACTCTCGTTCTGCGATGCAAGAAGGGCCCACACCGCCTCACATCAAGTTCAAACTCAAATTCGGTGTCTAGAGTCCCCAGGTAAACGGTTACCTCAAGTGCGGACCGGTATATTTCGACGAGCCCTGCGTATCGTTGTGCAACACCATCTGGTTTGGTGGTCTCCTTCAAAATCAACTGCAATGCTTTACACTTCGTGAGCATACCCGTAGCAAGTTGATGAGCGAGCGAATCCTGTGCCTCGCCAGTTCGGTATGCAATAAGCCAGTCCTTTGTATGTTTCGGGTGGACCTGATTTAGGAGCTGGATTGTTGTTTTCCGCCAGTCAGATGCTCTGACTGGGTCAACTGCGGCATAGACAGAAAGCTTTAGCCCCCCAGACAATGAAATTCCACCATGAAGAGCTGCGGTAGTTTGCGGCACTTACCTTTGGCTAGCTTCTTCCAAAGTCCCCAAAGCTCCTGCCCAAATGCTGGTGGGTCCATGCTTGACTGGCCACCGGTGTTCTCTCTACTGCCCTCAATGTAGACAAATGGATTGACGATCACATCCTCAAACAGGTGCTTCATTAACACCGCTTCTGGTAGCTGAAACCAAAAGTTATGACGGCCAGACTTGCCAAGTCTCGCCTCAATTGATTTCCAGTCCTTGTACAAGCAAAAGTCACCAAGGCTGTCCAGGATGATCTGTAGGTCGCCTGCAGACAATCTATCCCTAAGCTTTCCTTCTCCATAGCAGTGACTGTCTATCCAGTCTAGCACCAACATATCCAGATCTAAAAACAATCCCCTCGTAGTCTCAAAGGCTTCCTGCCATTCACCGTTCTGGGTCAAAGATCGTGGACATGTCCAAACGATGGGTTGTCCAGGGCGTCTTTCTTCCGGTAACTTCGGCAGCCCATGCTCATCAAGAGCCACTTCAGGTTGCTCAGCCTCTGTAGATGCTTTAACATTCAGTGATGTTGTAGGTTCAGAAGCTGGGATACTGTCAATCTTGGCTTCCGTTGATGCCTGGACCCCTGGTGATGCGCTAGGCTCGGAATCTGAGCATGTGTCAATTTTGGCTTCGGTTGATGTCTGGATCTCTGGTGACGCTGTAGGTTCAGAAGTTGAGCTAGCGTTAAGCTTATCCTCTGTCGATCCTTGGACCTCAGGTGATGCCTTAAGTTCCAAAGCTGACTTATAGTCTGTACTTTGAGGGACCTCCGGCTTGATCGCATTCATCCCGGTCGCACCTTGTTTGTCTTGAACTCTGGGAGAGCGCCTTTTCTGTAAAATACATGAAAAACATTAGCGTTTGTCAGAAGCTCCTCCGCCACCGTGTAATCAGTCTTTATCGCTGATGTCCCACACTGTCTACCTGGTGTAGAGAGGGCCCACTGTCGCAGTTACATTCATTGTGCAGAAGTTCCCGGACGCTCGGAGGAGGGAAGAAAGGGAAGCATGCAATGCTCGGTTGTCTCTTACCTGAGGATACTGGCTAGTATCTTTTGCTTTTCTTTTGCCCATGGTGGATCCCGCTGTAAATCAGCTTACTGAATGGTGTCGACTGTCTATGCAAGTGCCACAATTCCGAAAGTTGTTTTGGGGGAGATATGATGTTACGAAGATGAAAGCTCTTCTTCACTATTTATGTACAGTGGCCAGTGCAGTAATCTTACGCAGGACATCGATTGGTTTCCAATGCTCGGGATAATGCGGATGGCACATACGCATTTGGTCTTGACCCTGACCCAAATCAAGAGGTATGGGATAAGATGAATGAAGTTAGATTTAGAGAAAGGATAAAAATAGGCTGGGAATGGGTATCATTATTTTGGGTCATAAGGATTTAAACCTTGGGACCACAGAAGGTTGAAAGCCATCATCAGGGGGAAGGTGGCAACCGTATCCCGCCAACTACCTTTACTCTCAATAGTCAGGTGAGTAGCATAGGGGTCCAGGCCCGTAATTTGGGCGCATGTCTCTCTTTTGCGTCAATATACAGCTACTCCTCTGTCTCACTTATGGCGTCGGCTCAATCTAGGTCTCGTCAGAGTAGAACGAGCACTAGTATATCATGTCAAATTTCTCTGCTTGTTGCTGACTCTGCTCCATATCCAGCACCCCCTTGTGTCTTCATTGTGCCTTTGTCTTTCTATCTACCCGTTCCATCTAGTGCAAACCAACATAATCCTTGACCAAGGATCACCCTGACCACAGCCAACCAACCATGGAAGAACGTATTCGGAAGATAGTCGTAGCTGTGGATTGCGGAACGACACATTCGGGTAAGAGCCCTTGAAAGTCGGCAGCTGCGCGAGCATAGCTCGACTGTAGGCATTGATTAATTTGAGCAGGCGTCGCCTGGAAGCACCCCGAATCCGAGAACAACGTGCATTTTGTCGACAAATGGCCCGGGGGCACTCCAACGGACATGCCAACCCGGGTACCGACCCGAATTGCCTACCACGATGACAATCCCTCCCTTGACAAAGACAAGGCATGGGGCTACGAGGTAGGCTCAGGTCATGTAGCAGCTTCCTGGACAAAGCTGCTATTGGAGCCTGGGGTTGAGAACAAAATCATCCTGCATAGCGACAACGATGGTTGGGTAAACTCGGTGGGCATTTTTGCCCGGCCTGGAGGCAGAGATCCGAGCCGTATCGTTCAAGACTTCCTGGAATTGCTCAGGAAGCACGCGGAAGCTCAGATCAAGAAAAGGTGCACAGATCTTCACCATGCCATATTGCCCTTTGCCTATGTTTTCACCGTCCCGGCCACGTGGTCGGAGACAGCCATCACCGCTCTGAAGCAAGCTGCTAGCAGAGCAGGGTGTCACGGAGTTGATGGCGAGGAAGATCCTCTTATCGTTTCCGAGCCAGAAGCCGCGCTCACGACCATGATTGGTGACCCTACTATTGGCATTAGGGTATGTCTTTCATGCCGTTATCTTTCCCCACCTCCGAAGGTACTGGAAATATTGACGCTGGAATCAGGCAGGAGATGGAGTTGTTATTTGCGACTGTGGAGGAGGTACCTTAGTGAGTCCGCTTTCAGTGCTCACACCATATGCTGGGTTTTCGGCTTACCACTTCAGGACATTGGTGTATATTTGGTACATAAGAAAGCAATTGGAGCCTATACGACTGTACGGACCCATACAGGTACGTTTCTTTCATGTTTTTAGGGATACGAGCAACTTCTCAAAACAAGCAGACTTCCAGGGCGGCAGCACGGAAATTGATCGGAGGTTCTATGCTGTGGTTTCGAAAGATCACATTAAGGGGTTCGGCGAGTTGAGGTGCTACGAAACTTCACCGACAAGCATACTCATGAGAAGTTTCGAGAAGGCCAAGCGTAGATTCCAAGGCACAGTCGACGCAAGCCTTCAAAATCTAGCTTACAGAAGGAGAGGGAATAAATGTTCCTTCCAGTTCACAAGGTCCGTTTAGTTTCGTCATACGTTGTGTTGACGACAGTATCTAATAAAGCAGCAACAGTGTCGACATGCTGAGACTTCAGTCCCCGGTGATCACCAAGATCTGCTTTGTCTTGGAAAACAATATATCCCAAGGGCATCGAGACTCCGGAGGGCCGATCGTGAAGGTGAGTGAATATCTCATCGTCATCTTTTTGCACAAATGCTGACAACCACTCAGCACATTTACCTTTCCGGCGCAATGGCGCGGTCAATTTACCTACGTAGCGCCATTGAAAGACTTTTCGCGAAGTCGCAAATAGAGATCCACCATCCGAGATTTTCGTAAATCTTCACCTCCCAATTTTCTTTTGCAAAGGGATGATACTGAAAGGTTTAGGCAAAATGTGGTCGCCGGGGGTGCCGCCCTTTGGGCGTACAACCGCCTCCGCTTGGTGGAACTTCTACACCATCATTACGGGATTGAGACCCCTGCTCCTCCTGACGGTGCCATGGAACTTGACGGCAATGATCCCCCTGTTACCTGGGTCCTCAGGAGGGTAAGCCCATTGATAGTGCACATTTATGCGAATGCCGGCTGACAGAGTGACGATATGTCCACAGAATATGCCATATCCATTGGGTGAACCAATTGGTGCATCGCAAAGCACTGTATTCCCCTGTCGAGTGTCACAAGATTTTCCCTTCTCAGTCATCAAAATATATGACTCGGATCAGGACGTTCTGCCAGAAACCGCTAATCCGGAAGACGGTCCGTATCACCTTGCAACTTTCACAATCTTGTGTCCCATGTGAAGAAACTTCTGGCCAATAATTAGGTGTACGGAACATCGGCCGTTTGTTCTGCGACTTTAGGAAAGCCCTGGCAACGAGTAAAGTGAAAGTTGGCGAGATTGTTCAGATCGATGTTCGCTTCATTGTTGAAAATAGTAGAATACATGTGAAGGCAGAATCTCCTGGCGCCCTCTTTGGAGAAACAAAGGTCGAGTGTTTCTACTGACGGAAAGGGGGCTGGTTATGCTTGCTGCAGGACATGGCATCAATCAGGATGTTTGGACAGTCCTCACCATTTCGGGCGAATAATGATTATTTGACGACTAGGTTCTTTGCTCCTATCTTTGTTATGTTGAAAAGTTTGTGCTCTATTCCCGCCACTTCTTTGTTGCTTGTTGTCATTTCCTTTGTATGGAACCGATGGTGGATGGCATTTCTCTCTTCAACTCTCGTGACTTTGAACTTTTCGGGGTTTTCCTTATCTCCAATGTTTAATATGATCTGCTCTACCCAGAATGGAATTGGTACCTTGCGTGTTCGCTTATTCAAGATGGATACAACACAAATCACAAATACCCCGGGCTCACATTGGCTGCAGGGAGATGTAAAGGATGAAGTATTCAGTTCGGCTGGTAAGGTATTTTTTGTCAAGACAAAGGGTCAAGAATATATGGATTTGATCTATCTGATCTCAAGAAGATGGTTGGTGGTTGGAAGAGGTGGTGGTCGGAGACCACGCAGGAAGAAAAGGCGAAGGATCAGCTGACAGCTGCCTGGCTGCAATGAATCTCTCAACATATTTCATTACTAGAGTGCAGTTGCAGCATCATGGAGAGGGTTTACGGGTGCTGCTGTACAGGTTTCACTCGAATACATCACCGCTTTGTAGTTTGCGTGACTGTAAATAAATACATGCTAGATCCCTGCACTCACATAGCACGCTCCCATGGGAATTTTGTTTTCTATGCCACTTTTCTCATTTCTCTCTATCTCTAGAGTATTACTAGACCCTGTGAGCGTATGCGTCTATGATCAACGGTGAGTCATCTGCAATATGACCTTTGAGTTAACGAGTAACCATTGAGTCTGACTGATTTTATAAAAATTATTTTGACCACGGAAGAGTTTTAGTAACTGCATTATAATGAAGCAGGACCAAGGAAACACCGGATCGGTAATATATTGCAACACACAGATAAGGCTTTCGGGTGGATAATCTGCTTAGTGGTAAGAATGAAGACCACTATCTGAACAACAAAAAATTAGAGCTCGTTGGGAACAAAGCTGGCAATGAAGAGGTGGGGAAACAAAAAAGGGGCGGAAAAAAGACATCTCCCCGACTGGGAGTCGAACCCAGGTCTCCCGCGCTTGTTCCCTAGTGGGATTGACAAGCGGAAATCATGACCGTTAGACCATCGAGGATTAGTTGTTGAAGTGGGTCAACGTTTGTTGACTTATGTAAGATAGTCAAAGACCAAACCTGAAGAACAAAAAGTGGACTCGCCGGGAATCGAACCCGGGACCTCTCCAATGCGAATGGAGCGTCATACCCCTAAACCACAAGCCCATCTTATTGGTAGAGTTTGAATAGCTTTGTTAGATAAGGCAGCAGGCTCATTCCGTTCATATTGTTGGATCAGAATTGAATCGGGCATTACTTATCTTTCTGATCCAAAAGTCGAATGCTACGCCATTCTAGAATTAATGCCGGGTTCTCGTAGGTGTTTGNTTTTTTTTTTTTTTTTTTTTTTTTTTTTTTTTTTTTTTTTTTTTTTTTTTTCATTTCGTGCGATGTCGCTATTCCAGCACTTGCTGGTCCTCGGGATCCGGAGAAAGAAGCGGGGAAATGCAATGTAACGTACTAACCTGCCCAGGTGGTGATCGAGCTCATTCGCACTCGTCTCGAACCTGTTCATGTTCCTTTCACCAGATACCGTAAATTTAAACTATCGAGGCCTTAAATTGGGCAAGAGCTTTAGCTCTACATATGTATGGTTACATTCCCCCCTACTACGGCCTCCTCTCTCGCCCTTCGTCTTGTATTTTGAGAGCCACCTGCACTGCACATCTTATTTGGCTCAGAGATATTCTCACGACCTTACCTTCGTTGACATATCCAACACGTCTCTTGTCTCATAGTCAAGTTCTGATATCAGCTACTATTTGTGTTTTGAAATTGCTTTACATGAACGCACAGGTGAAACCTCACCCGCGATATATAAATCCGGCGTCATGTACCGATTCCCACCTCGTATCGCTCGTCGGACCCCACAACTACTCACCCCTGCATCATTACAAACCCCAATCGGGAAATACTACTACCATGATCGCAAGCAATCATCCCACCCACATACCATAAAGCCATCAAAGACCGAACTAGCAAATAACCAACTCGCGCCACAAACCCTCGAAACAGCCATCCACTCCCTCTTCCACGACGGTCTAATCATAATCGAAAACGCCATCCCTCACGACCTGCTCGACCAGCTAAACACAAAAATGATCCAAGACGCCTACACCCTGCAAGCCAGAAACGAAAACAGCCCTTACAACTACAACCCAGGAAACATCCAGCAAGACCCACCCCCAACAAGAGAATACTTCTCCAAAGATATCTTCCTAAGTACGTGATTGTCCCCCCAAGCCACGGTTTCCACCACCACTCAAGTACTAAAATAATCGACCACAGACCCCCTCGCCATTCAAATCACCTCAACAGCCCTAGGCCCCCGTCCTAAATGGACCTTCTGCTCAGGTAACACCGCCATGCCACCAACCAGTACCTGTCCCCCCACCTCGCAGCCCGTACACACTGACGCGGATTTCGATCATCCCTCGCATCCATTCGCCTACGTTATCAACGTCCCTCTGGTTACTATGACGCCTGAGAACGGATCCACGGAAATTTGGCTCGGCACGCACGCGGACTCAGGTCTGCATCTGCAAGAGGGGGCGCATGGTGCGGATCGAGCTAGTGGACGGATTAAGGTGCAGGAGTTGGAGAAACGTCGTGCTGTGAGAATGCCCTGTCAGTCTGTTGTGCCGAAGGGGTCATTGGTAATTCGGGATTTGAGGCTTTGGCATGCGGGCATGGGGAATTGGACGGGGAATGTGAGGGTCATGTTGGCCATGAGTGAGTAGTCCTCTTTTCTTTTTGGTTTGGTGGTTGTGGTAGGTTGGTGTTGAGTAACGTTGTCGTGTAGTTCATTTTGCGCCGTGGTATCGGAATAGAATGAGATTGGAACTCGCGGAGGAGTTGAGGCCCATGGTTGAGAGGGAGACTGGGTTGGAGATTCCGGTTGATTGGGTGTCCGAGAAGGAGGCGTTGGCGCGGTACTTGAATCGGGGCTTCGGAAATGAGTATGATTTTAGCCAGGAGCCGTAGAAGTAAGAACTGGTTTGGGATAGAAAGATATTGTCGCAGGTGGTATAATACATAGCGTGGCTGAGTTACACAAAAGTGCAAGTATGGCGCGTTTATGGACTACACTGAGAGAACCCATCATCACCAATAACTTATACTGCTATCTCCTAGGCTACTATCATAAATGTTACCCTGAAATAGGATCCCCCGCTCCAACGCTGCCACTAAAAGCACTTGCCACTAGGTACCATGGGTTGGACGAACAGGCACCTCCCTCACGACGCTTGACCTTCACGGGAGGACTCCAACCAGTGCTATGCATACCCTTATCCGCGATAGAAACGATCCAACTTCAAGATCATATACTCCTCCCAATGACTAGTTGCTCCAATTTGGATTTGGGATTGCGCGGCCCCGTGCTCGTGTTGTCCAACCGAAGCTGCCTTAGGAGGTAGCACTTCAGCCTTAGTTCTCACTGAACCAGTAGTCGTCAGAACCCTTCCCCTGGAATCAATAGCTTCCGCAGACACAGCATGAATCACACGACCTGGAAGCGACAGCGCAGTCTCAAATCCAGTTCGCTTCGCATCACCCAAGAACTCGCGCGAGCCGTACTCGTCAACCACGCTATAAAACCGCCAGAACTTCGTCTCAGTGTCACCGTTCCAGGAGACATACAGGGTTGTACCTTCATCGTTCTGCAATGATACGATGGCCGGCGTCTCATTAGGGAGTCCGGTCCAATTATACCGGAAAGCACGGTAATTCTCGACGCCCTCGCCCAGAAAGCCCGAGTCCATGTAGGCGTGTAGGATCGGAGTGCCGTCAGGGCGAAATTCAGTCAATGCACCTTCTGAGCCCCAGTTCACGAGGACGTTGCCGTTGGGTAGCAATTGGGTGCCTCCTTGAGACTTGGACAATAGACCATCGGGTGGCTGGAAGGCTTGGACAATGGTTGCTTTCCAGGTAGCAGTGTTGACTTTGATAATCTTGCCTTGTGAAAATGGGTGGGTGTGGACTTCGTGGCCGCGACCGTTCTCGGTGCCGTGGGCGGAGTTGTCATACAAGGATATGACCTCGGAGTCACCGTCTTTGGAAACAAACCGAGCGTGATGTTGGAAGCAGAACTTGACGTTGGGTCCTAGTTCGAAGTCTGACTTGACTCCTCCCAGGCGCCAGATGATCTCACCGGTGCTGCCGTTGATTTTGTGCACGGCGCAGGCATCGCGGGCTGAGATCAGGTAGTTACCGTCCGTGTCTTTGTCAACGGAGTTGATATGGAAGTAGTCCCAAGCATCTGAAGAATTATAGCCTGCCCCAGCCTGGCCAGGATTTATGGGGAGGATTGCCTCTGTGAGAGTTTAGTTGGTTGCATGCGGGTGCTGTGGAAAAGGAAGACCCACCGTCGGGAAGGACATGATCCAAGCTGGACCACTCAAACAGAACATCACCAGTTGCAATGTCAAGCTCTGCCGATACAGTTAGCTTTATACTTCTCATGTGAATGAAATCCTTACCTTGGATAATAGCATCCACGATCCACTGTTGCTCCGCACTGGCTCCCCAGGGAGTGAGGTCCATTGGCACAGGCTGGTAAATCTGTATCAATGCCGTCTCCTCATTGATGACGTGAAACTCATGCTTGTCCATAATCTTATGGTTACCAGCACGCAGCTCACGAATGGTCTCGTAGTGCTGATCCAGGATTGTGACATGACCGTGACCATGCCCATAAGCCGGGTTATGATCACCCTCGAAGCAGAAGAGGACGTCCTTGCCCTTCCATCGGGCTTTCTGAAAGTTCGTAGCCCAGATGGAGTAGTAGGAGTAGCCAGACCAGACCAACTCACCATCATCCCGAAAGATGTAAGGAGAAGCCTGGCGAGGGCCGTGCATCTCTCCGGGGCCATCTGCGATACCAGCAAAAGGAGCAACAAAGAGGTATCCCTTCTCCACATCCGCGGCTGCAGGGATAGTAATGTTCAACTTGGGCGGTGCCAAGTCGGGGCGCGATTTAAACTGCCAGTCAGCTGCCACCAAAGGAAGCAGCATTGCAGTGGCTGCAATAAGCCAGGGTGAGCGCATGATGCGTGCTCAGAGCACATTGATCAGTCTCAGATCTTCTCAGCATCTTCAAGGATGGGTACATTAACCTTAGGTGAAGTCGATGCACTGTATTATGAATTCCCGGAATTCAGGTTGAAGTAAGTCTATATCTGCCGCAGACAGTGAGATGGTAAAAAAGTGCGGAAGAGGGGAGTTGAGATGGAACTTTATACGCCTCTCGAAAAGGCCAAGCCCTCTCTCGCAAGCGGCAGTGATTCTTGCGTGCTTGTCAAACCCCGCAGCGGGTTGACATGTTCCAATGAACTGCCCGCATCTAATTGATGAGCATTGTGTGCGCACTCTGATGATCTTGCTTTCTATGCTTCCGTCGCGACTGTAGCTCATATAAGTCAATTTGGTTGAGGCCTTTTACTCTCGCATTCCCCCGAGTCAGCGTATCGCTCATCCTAAAGTCCCTTAGGCGACCTTTTTTTTAATAGCGGTTTTACGAAGAGTATAATAAAGGAAAGCACTGGTGTTAGTAATTTCGGGTCGGTCAGGCAATCAAGTAAGCGAACGGCGATTTCGAGATAAAAGGGAAGGCTTGGTGCTGATCCATCCACCTTCTCGGATGCAGTTCCGCAGGGGGACGTAACTTTACTTCTAAACTCACCGGAATATCGAAGCTGACCGGCAGTATTCTACCAGACCATGACCGGTATTTCTCACCTGTTTTATTAGCCTCTTTGCACCTGCTACCGGGGTCTCCTCGGCTACTAGGACAGCCGCTAGAGTCAAGTAGAAGCGCCATTTCCTCGGGCGAGGAACCCCGCGCTCGGGGAAAGGCAACCCGCAAAACCGAAGCCATAAATGAATATAAGGCCTGCGAGTATTTGTCGAAAGTGATTGAATGGACGAAAGTGTTGAGTATCGTCGCAAGAATGATATATATCCAAACTACACCGAGCCCACGGCTGCGTACGTGATAGGCCAAATCTTCACGAGCAGGCCATCAGGAGTAAGTACTTTGAGAGCTGCATTAGCACGTAATGTATAGCCTTCTGAAACTGGAAGCAGCTCTGGCATTTGATTGATGGTGAGAATGTATTCAAGAAAAGAAAAGAATGAGAACGAGCGACGCACGTCCAATGTCATGGGTGGCACCATTCGCTTCCAGGTCACAACAGATCTGGGCGAACTTCTCGAACTAGCTAAGAGTTGATCAGAATCTCTCCCTTTGCAGATAGCTCGACTGTGTATGTAGTAATGCCCAAGGGGCGTGGGGACCGACTAATCTTGCAAAAATAGGGGATACTGGGTGTCATCGTCGTATTTGGCCCTTCTACACCAATGTGGAGGGTTGGGATAGGGGAAAGGAGCTGCAGTTTCGAATAATTCTATGCTGCTATGTACAAGATGTTTCTATGCCGCTCTCGCATCGTGATGCTGTCACGAATTGTACTTCGCACGCGGGCCGCAAGATCCGCAATCTCAGCAATTCTCTGTCATCTCTAGAAATTTTGATACATAGTGCTCACGCGGAAGTGGTAGGTATTACTGTGGTACTCGATTTGTTTATTGTAAACAGGTTGTGTGGCCAGAGGCTTTCTGCCCAGGTCATATCAGGGGGAGCAGTGGTGGCAGGATTGATATGCCAGCCTTGCCATTCCTGCAGGGCGATTCACCCCACAATGGACTCCTTACTAACCAGAGTCTAGCAACCCGGCCAGATACGCCTCCAACAGAGTGATCGATCAACAAATTATCGTGGCTTGCCAATTAGATAACAGAATTTGGGGCTTCAATAGCTGAACGTAACCAAAATCATCACTGAAAAGTCTTTAAGCAAAGCTTGTTAAGTTGTAGTTCTCTTAGTACGTCGCATCGCGGCTGAAGGTACTCCCGTTGTGTGCACAATCCATCCGCCGTCCGGTGTGATTCTTGATATGTTCGACCATGTTTTGCTCCTCGCTCCAGGAGGAGGGACCGTATACTTTGGCGATACGGGTGAAAAGTCCTCAGAAGTTGTCGAGTATTTCGGTTGTTACGGTGCCATTATTGGAAGCAGCATAAACCCCGCCGAATTCATCCTCTCTACTGTCACGTCCACGAACGAAAGCTCGCTGGACTGGCCGACTATATGGCGAGTCTCCCCTGAATACCAAGCTCTGGGAGCAACCAATCCGCAGCTAAAGTCCACTATCACCAGCAGGGAGATCAATCTTATTCCTTCGCAGCCTTCGGAATCCTTCTCGCAGACCAGATACGCTCTATCCCTCTGGGTTCAGACCATCACAGCAACCAAGCGCAACTGGGTCTCTGTCTGGCGGGACGGGATGTACACCAGTAAAATGGCCAAGTCCCTCTTTGTCTCCATTTTCATAGCCTTCAGTTTCTTCCACGCCGGGTCCACCCTCCAAGGTCTACAAAACCAGATGATCGCCCTGCTCCTTCTTTCCTGGATTATATCTACGTCCTGCGCCGATCTCCAGGACATCTGGTTCCGCAAGTGGGCCACTTTTACGGCCCGAGACGAATGCGACGGCACATTGCTCGTGCTTTCTTATTCGGTGGGCGATGAGTATCTAGACACGCTGGATTATTTGTATGGGCAGCGCTGGAGTGTTTGTGGGCTTTTGCTGTACGAACTTTGTGTTGGTTTATGCGGTGGTTACGTGCGTGAGGGTTCAGTTAAGAGGTGGGTTGAGATTGGATATGTTTGAATATGTGATACGATGTGAAATAGAATGGTAGACGTCCGAAGCGAAAGAGAGAGAAACTGAAAAAAAAAAAAAAAAAAAAAAAAAAAAAAAACCAATAATATTATAATAATAATACAACAGAGAAATAACCCCCTTGACGATTCGCAAGTAACAAATACCCAAATGCTCGATTGTATCTCCTAAATCTGGTGATTGAACTGGTAAACCTGGAATCCACGCCGGTAATGCACACTTGCTGCGCCACGTGGGGCAATGGTAGCCTAGTCCTGCGAGGCGATGAGCACAATTTCAGGCGACAAGGGTCGGCTCGCTAGCTTTTGGCCTGGGGGCCGGCTGGCCTGGGGCACATTGAACGGTGCGTGGGGGATGTGCCAATATGATGGACTAGATTCTAATGGCGTGCTCCACCCGATGATATGTTATTGGGCAAATTGGCTCAGGCCGGCTCAACGCGCGGAACCGACCCGGCCTACGGAATTGGAGTTTGTTTTTAGCATGAAGTATTCGCTAGAGCTGTGGAGATTCTGGAATACTGTGAGCTGCCCGGATATTGCTTCAGAAAGTAGAATGTTGGGGGCCAGTGCCCAACAGCTTTATCAGGTGTTCAGCTGCGTACAAGGCATTTTCCAGTTGAAGCGAACTAAACCCAAAGATAGAAAGCTATTTTCGTTTATCAAAGACCGCTCTATGACTTTTTGAAGCGAATTGTGCCACTTGATCATCTATAATTGCAATCGTATCACTTCCCTACATAGCGAGCCACCACGTTATTCACAATCTCAGACACCTCCTTCGCTCTACTAAAATCAACCGAATGGCCGGAGTCCAACTCAAAATCCTCAACCTCAGCCCCCTCTTTTCTCATCATATCCACCATCCACCTCTGATAGTCAACAGGAACCGTCATATCTCTAGTTGACAAGACATATGTCACAGGGATATCCCTCCAAGCAGCCCGGTTCGCAGTAATAGGTTGGTACATGCACTTGCCATTCCACCGCTGGAGGGTCCCCAGATACCAATCCACCTCGGAATCAGCCTCCTCCGGACCAGGCGTAACAAGTAGTCCCTTAGGATCGCGGTCCACGCACGTCCCATCTTCGGCGAAATCAAATGCCATGGGCATCAACGACGCGTGACCGAACTGGTCCACGATGTCAAACATGCTTCGTCCTTCGGTAATGGTGAAGGCGGACAGGGAGACAAGATGCACTACTCCGCCTGGTAGACCTTGCTTGCTGCGGTTTGTGATTGCCAGGTCCGAAAGACCGTTGGTAGCTACTTGGCCGCTGTAGGAATGTGTGATCACAATGACATTCTTGCCGGCGTCGGCGAGGTTCTGAGTGTATTCGCGGAAGACAGCTGTGTCGGTTTCTAGATCGGCTGTTGGAGGCCGTGCACCGTTCATTGAGTGTAGCGCGGGGACGTGGACTTCATGGCCAGATGACTTGAGGAGGTTTGTGAGCTTGTCGTATGAGTTTGGGGTGTGCCAGCCTCCTGGGATGAGGAGGATCACGGGCTTGGAGGTAGACATGGCTATTGTGTGATAGGTAGGAAATTGGGGATGAGATGAAGTGTGATTAGAAAAAGCAGAAGGGCTGAGAGTGTTTGGGGAAATACTTATACTCGCGTCCACAAGGGTGGGGTAGCGTTTGGAAAGACAAAGAGAGAATGGGAAGGCAAGGCTGTGAGCTGTTAGTTAGACTATATCGATCTTCCAGTCAAAGCTACGCTTAGTGGTGAGCTAGTAGTAGCCTAGACATCTTAGTGCTTACCATGGCATGGTGGCCGTTCAAGGGTTGGATAATTCCACGCACGGGGTCACAACCGTGTTTAAGTCCAAGAAATTGGAAACTGGTTGTTTATGCCTTGCCTATTGCATACAGAAAGCATCCTATGTGCGCCAGTGATCGAATTGGGCTGGCCATTCTCAGGGGAGGTGCACCAATCCCATTTTAGCGCCCAACAACACCGCGGAGTACTCAAAGTGAGATCCAACGCGCCTTACTTCAATTACGTCTCGGAATAGTTTGACCAGGTTCAAAGCCATGCTACGAGCGAGAAGCGCTGTGAATGACGGACTGCAAATTACAGCATGTCGTACTAGGCCTGATAATATCCAGAACAAAGACGCCGTTTCTACTTGAAACATCTGTTCATAACTACACCTTTCTCCCTCTTCCAAAACGATCAACTCTTACCTATCTCTAATGATCCTCTGGTTCCAATCGACCCCTTCGATGATACTATTCCGCTAAGATACCGGTCTGGAAGTCCTCAGCATAATGACATAATGACACTCATACCCCACCTCCATTAAACGGAAATGGATTTATGCGTTGACGAGCAGAATGAAGACAGTGAAATAAGTAGAGAAGATGGTGACACACTGTGGCTTTTAGTCCATTCAGGGACCTTTTCAGGGAAGTAGTGCGCTCAGTAATGCAACTCAACCTTGGAAATAGCAGAGATTTCCTGCCTAGATGGACTTATACCTACCCATTCCGACCCCTGTGGATATTACAGCGCTGTTTAGTGCAACTCAGTAATATTCTGTAGACTCGGAACTCCACTACGGATATGAAAACGTTCTCGTGTTTGAGCCAACACGCTAGCTGGCAGCCTTGTCGCATACCGTTTATACACGTACCCTGCCCAGACAAAGGTCGGAGCGTTCGGTGATACGGTCCACACTAGGATCCATTGTTTGAGTCTGAAATATTTTGATCCGGATACGGGGTATGTATCTGTTGTGCAAATTGAAGCTCCAATAGTTGTATTTCAGGTGAGCCCATTAATATGAAATCTCCTACTCTGAGGTTTCTCCGCGGTTTTCGTCCAAGCTATAGGGAGGCCCTAAGGGTGCACCCCACTTATAGGATTCGCCAATCTCCGCATTATTCCAGCACGCACGCTCCTTGAGATAACAAGGGTTAAGATTCGCAATTTCGGCTGCGTGCATCGCTTTCTCGCGATAGTAACGGATTGCTCGTCCACACTCGTCGTACCAGATGATGAGGACAGTCCCTGCGTCAGGGCCTTCGGAGGCCAACGTTTTTTCATCAACGATGTAGATGTGTCCCGCCGCTAAACAGAAGAGGTACTCCGAATAAAAGCAAACCCAAGGGTTGCCATCCTCCTCTGGGTCATAACCGCTTTCCTCGGCACGCTGGGGATCCGTCTCTTCAGATTCAATTCCCTCTTCTAGGGCCTCCTGAAGATTTTCTTCGTATTCTTCGAACAAACAAGTATTATCCAGTAGCTGTGGGACACGAAGAAAAATCTTCTCCCAGTTGGAACCAAAGTTATACAAAGATGAGTCGTTGAAAACTGTAGCTGGGCCGACGACCTTGGTATCGATGTAATCTTGAATCCGGGCCCACGAGCCTTCTGTAGAAGGGCCGTAGCAGGTGCGGAGCCAACATGGATTCTCGTTCAATCCACGCTCAGCAGGTAGGCGGATACGATCCAATAGCTCTTGACTAGGTACTGGAAGGCCTCGAACAGACCTCTTCTCTAGTCTTCGCTGCTGGTTTCGATACGGCTAATCCGTTATATTAGTTTTCTAGTTGGAGCAATAAGGGGCCAAAATCAAATTACCTCGCGACTGCAGACTCCGAGTGCCACATATTTAGCGAAAATTTCCTCGCGTTGGGCATCAACGGATAGCGGCGAGTCTTCTTGCCAATGCTCCTAAATTATCGTCAAAACATGCATATAATCGCTGAGTAATAGGTCTTACCAGAAGGAACAGATCAGCCTGCCAGGCCGTAAAGGTTGACATCTTGCAGAGTAATCTGAAGGATGCTGGTGGGACAGAGTGAGAGAGTTATTCGAAATCGTCTCGGTACTTGAGCCCTGGAGATGAGATGGCTTTCTTGGCAAGAGCTTATCCAAGGTGAGGTGGGGAATGTCTTAGAATCGATGAAAGGAATTGTGCAAGCGAAGCGGAGTTCGAAATAGGATTAAGAAAATCGGATATGAGTGGAAAGAAGAGAAAAGAAGTGAGGGGATAAAAAGGATTTGAAGATGGTGAGCTAAACCTATACTAAAGGGTCCTCCCCACTATTATAGTTTGGTCCGCTCTCGCTCGTCTTCCGGCCACTTTTCGACCCGGAGTTCCGCGATAGATTTCATTACGAGATGGCCGCTCAATGATGTTCTACATTGTTTGAATTTCTTCTCATCTTGACTACTGTGAATTTGAACATCATCTTTTCAGTCCTGAATTCATTCATCTCATTTTATAAGGGAAGATGGGTGCCAACACCAGGTCGATCTCGATCTTGGGATCAGTGACGGTTGTTCTAAGTCTGGCTGTCGACGCCGTAGCATTTCAGTTTTTCAATTCCACTCCATCCGGCATCCCTTCAACTTGCGGCGATATCCTGGTGAGAAATATCACGTGTGATGAGCTCTTTTAGTCTCTGCAATCGCGAGTCAGCTATACATTGTGAACAAAACCCTCGAAGTAATTTGCGTGCCAGACTGCAAAGACTTGTTCTATGAGTATCGCTCAACCGTGGAAAATGTCTGTGGAACCACAGTGTATGATTTCCCGGGCGTCAACCAAAATGTCCAAAGCTTCTTGGACCCTCTGGCATGGGCTTTCAATGTTCCTTGCCTGACTAGCGGCGATGAATACTGCTATTTGGGCATCACCAACCGCAAGAACAGCATTGAGCCTTGCTCTGACTGTTTTCTACAGTATGAGGCTGCTATGCTAGGCTCTGTGTATGGCAGACAGCACGTTGATCCAGATTCATTCTCCTCTCTTCTTTCGTCTTGAAGTGTACCAGGCTCAAGCTACCCTTACTCGACACCAACGAGCACCAGTGGTTCAACAAACTCATCTGCTACTAGTTCGCCTATTGCAACTTGCACCCGGTCCGCTTACACTGTCCAGGAGAGCGATAGCTGTGACTCCATTTTGGAGGCACATGAAATTGCTACGGATATTTGCATTCGGTTAGAGATGAAGATAATATAACTTAGTTTAAGCAGCCTATGGGATTTGATATAGCCGGATTATCCCTGATTTCAGGAAATACTAGTAATTACATTTAGAAAAAGATTATTATTAATGGATAAATCACAGTCTAGAAAATTATTCTTCATATTATTCAGACTGTCAAACACCTGTGCCGATGACATGGTGGTAATTTAGATATAAATGTATATATAGTAAGTAGTAAATCAACACAAGATACGAAACGCGCTATACTAATAATTACTTAGTGTAGTATACTATTTATCGCATTACGTGATGAATACTAATCCAAACTAGAAAGGCGAAGGGTGCGGTGTAGATGAAGCCTGGCTGGTGTGGCGGTAGCGCCTCCCATTCTCAGCTGTATGTAGCCTTTTAAGGTGATGCTCTCAGTGGAATCAGTGACACAGTGCATGACCGTCGACTACTCTTGTTTGACTGCCCACGAGTACTGCACTTCACATCAATGAGGCGTCAATCCTACTAGAAGGAAATCATCTCTGCCAGGCGGTCCCTCTTCATCACTGGTCATGTGACCGTCCGCATGATTAGAGCACGTGATGCAGGTATTTGCACTGTTTGTCTTACGGCTCGGGAAAAGTCCGGGTCTCAGCGGAAGGGACCGGATCTCTACTTCCGGGCAAGTCTAGCCTACGCGGTTCCACGGGGCATTGCTCATCGGGCATCATCATACGATTATTGTCTATCTATTCTATCTCAACATCATTATCATCGTGAGTAATAATACATGTTGCAACAATAAGGAACAAGAAATCGTGATCATGTCTACTGGCGAACCAGCACACCACGGTATCTCATCTTACCCTCGCGCAGGGTCTGCATCGCCTCCTCAATACCCTCCTTGTTCAAGGGGAAAGTCATGATAGTGGGGTAGATCTTCTTCCTAGCAGCGAACTCGAGAAGGCTGCGGATGCTCTGGCGAGAAGCGACCAGGGAACCCTGGATGCGGACACCCCTCCATACGAGGCCGAGCATGGGCACCTTGGCAGGCTCGAAAGCCACGGTCAGAGGGTAAATGCTGCCGTGGGTGGCCATCAGGGGAATAAGACTGCATTCATGTTAGCTAACTAGCACGAACAAAAATAATAAAAATAGGAGAGGGGATAAGGGAGGCAGGAGGTCAACGTACGAAGGGTAATCAACACCAGCATTGCCGCAAAGCAAGAGGTGCTTGACGGGCTTGAAGCCCTCAGGAACCGCGCCACCAGACTTGAAAACGTGGAATTCAGAAGCACCAAAGTCCATAGCTTCCTGGCGCTTGGACTCGGAGCTGGAAAGGACAACGACGTGGCAGCCCATCGCAGCAGCCAGCTTGATGGCAACGTGACCAAGACCACCAATGCCCATGACGGCGACGCGGTCAGTCGAGCGAATGCCATACTCGCTCAGGACGGTCCACACAGTAGCACCGGCACACATAAGAGGAGCAGCGTACGCGGAGTCATAGCCATCGGGGATTGGGTAGACGCAGTTGGCGTCCCAGACAGCACCGTAGCTGAAGGTTCCATTGTCGAAGTCGTGGAAGCCGTACTGCTTCTGGTTCTCGCAGTACTGGTCCCAGCCTAATTCGAATGGGTTAGCCTGGACAATGATTGATTTGTTATGCATGTAGGGGAAGTACCAGTAGCGCAGTTGTCACAGGCAGTGCAGATGCTGTGGGTGTATCCGAATCCAACACGGTCTCCAACCTTCACCGAGGTAACACCGGGGCCAAGAGACTTGACGATTCCAATACCCTCGTGACCGAGCACCTGGTTGGTCTTGAGGTAGTGCTCATCTGTGCCGCAAAGACCAGAGTGAGTGGTCTCAATGAAGACCTCGTTGTGTCCAAGGGTGGAAGTAGCCTTGTCAGCGACAATGCGACCCTCGGCAGAGCCACGGAAGACGTCGTACGTAACGCTCATGGTTGGATATTTTATTTATTGGAAAATATGAGGGGTATCTAGAAGAAAGAGATGTGGATGGATCAACTCGAAAAAATGGCCTTAACCAGTCTTTATAAACGCCCCATGTCTACGATTTTGATCATACATTATTAATAGGGACTGCTCCGAGCAAACCGAAACGGCTCACGGCGTTGCTGCCATTTGAGTAACATTATCCTGGTGGAAACCCAAAGAACAAGTGAAGAAAACTTCACGTCGGCCTCTGTGGAGTGCAATTCAAGGAACGTTAACGGCAAGTTTGGTCCACCAGATCCACCTTCCAACCGCAGATTTTCCGAACCAAGTCCGCATGTCGCATTCGAGAATCCAGGGCTTGCTCCTCGCGTCTCGAATGAAAAGAATGTCTTTATACGCTCTGTATATCATATCCCTTTGGCTCACCTTGAGTGCCAAGGTACCGTTGACAAAATTTAAGTAGTTTTTGGTTCGAGATAAGGTTTTTCATGACTCTTTTCGCATCGGTCCCGACAACGGGCCGAGAAGAGAAGAATTCGAGAAGAACTTTTATGGCGCCACGGATCCACTCGCTGCCGTGCCGAGGCTGTTCGATAATCAATTATCGCCTTCCCGAGACGTTGTTGTCGATCCCTTATTCCGGGTTTAGAAACCCAGGGTCGAATTCTCACACGTGGTATGATCCAGCAGATTATTCGCAGAATATTGCTACCTGGACGTTATTGAAATATTCACGTGGACCACTAAGGACTCTTCACGTCATACAGCCATGGATTATTATATTAAGAACGTTGCCGCTAACGCACATCATTGTGGGAAGTGGAAACCTCTCGCGTTAAATTTTTGTCTCTGGCCGGGATTAGCCCCTGTGGCCGTGCTTTGCCTTCACCCGAGCCTTGTTAACGTTAGCCTGGAAAGAAGTGAGGCTATGTGGTCATGGCTTGTATCAGTCACATTGACTGGTAGAACTGAACGGCCCTACTCACCGCAACTCTGTCTTGAATATTCTCCCAGTACTCCAAGAAAGCTCAAAACATTTCGATAAGGCAAACGTTGTCAAACAATCGTCCACAAATGCTTTTTGTAAAAATGCTCTGACTAACACAGACTATGAAGTGCGATAACTATCTTTGAGACATTGCTAACGTTCTCATCCCCGCATCATAATGTCTTCTCCTTGATAGCGACTATTGGGTGTCGGCATTGGATGCTGCTGTGAAGCGTTGTCCGCTGTGTCAAAATCTTGGAGCAGTTTATCGGAGACGAATCATGTCTTCCTGGATATGAACTGGCTTGCTTGATAAAATTTCGGATGTGGAGGTTCTAGATCGTAGCCTACCTTGCAGAAGCCAGTAGGCGTGTCAATTGGAGAATCATGTTTACTTGAATGGATCCGATCATGTTAGTTAGACTCTCCTTAAATGAATTTGGTTTGTGCGGGGACCAGAAGCCACTAGGATCGGAATGCTTCATTATCAGGTTCATACATCAGACGAGTGCCTGTATAATTACTAGGATGGCTGTAATGGATGCACTACGCCTCAGGTATACATAGTCTTCTCTTGTGGATATTTGATTAATCGAGTGTTAAATCTCGACTCGTCCCGATTTGCATCTGTTTTTTCTTCATTTTTCCCTGTTCCTCAATTTCCCCTGGACTTTCCCTTTCCCTGTTTTGTATCTCCGCATCAACCATGGTTCCTGCCAGCCTACCACGTCTAATTCATATATCTCCATCAGGATTTGCATACCTGGACACCCCAGCCACCGAATCATAGCCGAAGCTTATCACGTCCCGGTTGTCTCATCTGATGCCGTAGAAACGCGCGCCGTGTCTCTGACAGATTTTCCAGTTAGAGCAGTACTGCAACGTTGCACCGAATCACGCTAGCTGAGCTCTATGTCCCCTTGTTTGGATCTGGAGTGACATATTTCATGATTCCTTGTCTCCCGTCCAGTTGACTTGTTAGCAGTTACACGGATGTCCAGTTTTTGTGGTTTATGTCCAAGGTCAATATTGACCATGCTGCCCTTCATCACTGGCTGTCTTCATTCTACGATCATGAAGTATATTATGACGTGTCATCTATGCAGCTTCCTCTATATAGAGTGCCTCTCCTTCGCCGATGAAAGTCTCCTGCCTCAATACTTAGTTGATAGCACAAAAAACAAATGGTTTCGCCCCAAAGCTTTCCAGACACAGTCAAACTAGACAGCCAAAAGCTTGCATATAAGATTCATCGATGCCTATATCATGACTAAGCCAGAATATGTTTTTACTCGTGACTTCCACGACGACAACCGGGACGTTTGGCTTAATTTACTCCATGTACACCTGCTAACTAAAACCGCAGGATTAACCTTCAACATTACCTGTGGACTGAATTGTTCGGCTACCACATTCACCCTTCCATCCCTATCAGCAATCCAAACTTGAGAATTGCCGACGTTGGCACCGGAACAGGGTAGGTGGAAAAGAAGGCAATATGACAAAATGGCTCGCTCACTGCCAACCCTCCACGCAGAATTTGGTTGACAGATCTATCTCGTCGACTTCCGAGCACCGTATCCCTAGACGGCCTTGACATATCATTCAGCGCTCTTCCCCCAAAAGAATGCCTTCCTTCAAATATGACACTACATTCATACAACATACTATCCGAGACGCCTGATCATCTCCGTGGCGTCTACGATATTGTTCACGTTCGGAACTTTTCCTTCGTAGTAAGGGACTCAGAGGCTGAGAGTGTTATCGGAAACGTTTTACAACTATTAAGTATGTATCCACTATCAATCGTTTGGGCCCACCCCAAACCTTATATTGCGTGCTAAGTATATCACAGAGCCGGGCGGCTACATACAATGGGCCGAAGTAGATGCCCTTTCATATCGCATTGAAAAGACCAACTCGAACTGCAAAGACAAAGCCCTTGAGGAACTCATGCGCTTAGGCAGGGCGACGGATGATCGGATCACTCCTCACTGGGTTCCTGAGATTCCTTATTTCTTTCAGCAGGCCAAGCTACAAGAGGTGCAAAATGAAGTCAAGGAGGCTCCGCCGTACATGGCCGTAGCAAAGCATGAATGCAACCTGATTGTTCCAGAAATGCTCGCCCAGACGACGCAGGATTCGGCTCTAAGCGAGGGGCTTTCACGGCTCTTACCCGAAGTCGTGGAAGAAACTCATGGAGGGGCCTACTGGGCTTTCACTCGGCTTACAGTAGTTGGTAGGAAGCCCAGCGGTTAGCTAGATGGGTTGATCTAAATCGATTCGGGTGTAGGTGGGTTCTCCTGTTTACATGCAGTTGAATTCATTCAGGACATGACTGCTAGAGTGAAACAGAAAGAGGAAGAAACATCCACCCGACACATTTTAATGAGCAACGTATCGCGCCTTGCACATCAAAGGCTATCTCGTTTGCTATGAGCAACCAAGCTGCAGCATCTCATTCCCCTCTCTCTCGCCTAGAATAACCGGGTTTGATTCCAAAGGACACCGGAATAGCCATGTTCAAGCTTTGAATTTTGAACCTCCTACTCATGTCTCTAGTATCCATGAACTACCAACTCCTTAGCTCCTCAATCTATTAACGGCCGCGTTGGCAGTAGTATTGCGTCTCCAACTCAGCCGCACGGTTAAAACTCGTCCCATCCGTTACACTCTGCCGTCTGTCCTAACATTTAAACATCATAGCTCTGCCAGCTACTGACGACCACAACATCTATGGCATCCAGGTATTTCAGGCGCTGAGTCCCGGATATAGAGGGTGACGATAGCTTCAGAGAGCTGCATATTTCAATGCTGTCTTCATAAAAATTGTTAAGCCGGCCTGTCTTTTCGGGTGTGGGGATACAGTCGGCAGTATGTCATGCCATGAGACTATTTCTGGCTGTAGCTAGAGTTGAGGCTGACGAGATAAGATAAAATGGCGTGACTGGCCCGCCAAAGTCGAGTTTCGATCACGTCAGTACACTAGCTAAATGCCACCTACCCCCGCCTCCACCGCCACTCCATATCCATATCCACAACAATCAAGACTTGATTACCATCAACCATATCCAATATAAGCTATGCCTACTTCCATCGAGACTACCGTGAGCACACAGACCAAGAACCGCCCCACCGTCCGGCTCGCGGCCGTTGACGGGAATGCCGAACAGGTTCGTTATAACCCCGCTTTGCTTGCTGAAATACAAAGCATTTCGCTCACCACGCTTGCTACAGCATCCCAATTGGCTGGTCGAACTGCACACCAAGGGTTGGACGGTTGTGCGCGGAGCCCTACCTAGGGACCGAGCACTGGCGTATGCCGACAAGGGCTACGAATGGCTTGAAAGCTGGAATCTGGGGTTCGACCGCAAGGACCCGTCCACTCGCAAGACAGCAAATCTTCCCTGGCACACTCGGGGAGGGCTTTACAACGGGTTTGTCATGAACACGGGTATCATGGACAGCGTGGTTGTCAGCGGCAACACTAACACTGCCGGGAGCATAGGTACGGCATCGGTCACGAGCAGTTCGTATGGGATTTGAAGTCAGAACCGAGTCTTGTGGAGAAGTGGGAACAGATATGGGGCACCCGCGAGCTGCTAGTGTCATTTGGTATGTTCTACCCATTCTCTGGTTATGAAAATTTTACTGACTGCGCAGACGGGGTGAACCTTTCCTTACCCGAAAGGGAACGTCCCAAGTCAGACCCTATTTTCGCGCCGTGGGCGCATGTCGACCAGTCCCCGTTTAACAACAAATTCGACACCGTTCAGGGGATTGTGAACCTGCTACCCAACGGGCCCGAGGACGGCGGTCTGATGGTGCTTGAAGGGTCAAGCGCCTACTATACTGAGTTGTGGCAGCATTTTGACCAGAAGAAGGGCGAAAAAGGATGGAGCACGTGGGCCTTTCAATATGTTGACGACGAGATGTGCCAGTGGCTTGAGGCGAAGGGGTGCAAATGGATCAAGGTGTGCGCAGAGCCGGGCGACCTGCTGCTCTGGGACTCGGTGCGTGCTCCTGTCTTCAAGATATCTTGATTTCGTGGTTGGCTAACAGCGCACTAGCGCACGATCCATTACGGCGCCGCCCCTTCTTCGGTTAATGACCGCTTCGCTGCCTGTATGACCAACCCTTCATTCCATGCTAGTATAGGGATGCTAACGTTTGAACTAAGATGTCTGTTACAAGCCGGCCGCTGCCATCTCAGAGGAGGCCAAAAAGGTCCGCCTGCAGGCGTTTGAAGCGAAGCAGAACACAACGCATGATCCAGCTGATTTCCGAGCCAGGGAGTACCTGCCGCCGGCGGATCATCCTACATACGAGATGGCCACCAAACGGTCTCTACCGAGCCCAATGCTTTCGAAGCGAGCGAAGGAACTGATCGGGCTGGATCCTTACTGATGGGCTTATTACGGTCAGAGGTTATTTTAGCTAGCAATTCACAGTTAATATCTTGATACAAACTGCACTGGAATGCCTATGCTTTTTCTATCTATCGAAGCCACATATCAGATACCTGGCCAAGAGTAGATAACCGGGCTAAGAGACAGCTGCAGCTGATCGTGCAGCAGAACAGCTCAATCAATGGGGCATGATTCACCCCCACCCCACCCAGTAGCTACCCCAGACTACCTCATATTTGTGTACTCCAATCAAGGCCACTGCTTCGCCGGGTCGATCCGGGGACAGGCGGTAAGCCTTACGCGAAAAACAGGTGCTGGCTCGCTGCGAAGACCTCCCAGGCCTTTCGATGACGGTCAATGCTTGAGCATGACAAGCAAGTACCCAGACCTTGGCACTCTTCAAGCCCGGGGATACGGACAAACTGGCCCCGTCGTACGCAGTTTTGACTGTTCCTTGGGAAAACACCTTTCCAATCATGAGAAGCTCATGAGATAATGTCTTTGATAGTTTTGTAGCGGTGACGATATTGGCTGGTTCTTCTGATATTTCTGTGAATCGTTGGTATCGGCCTTAGCATACTTCTCCGGATAGTGTCTCTAGACAGGTGAACCGCAGTCTGTTGGCTTTACACAGAAGGTCGCACAGGGTGTTCCTGTTGTGCTCTCCGGAGGCAACAATTGTAGACGAATTTGTGTGAGGAGAACACAGCCAGGAGCATCATTCTAGTTACAGACCTCCCGAGCCGTCAGCAACCACGTCGTTCATCAAAAACCCCATTGTTGGGGGTACAGATGACAACACCGTCAACATGAAAGCACATGCAAAGGCAGGATTCCTCTCATTCTGGGCTCGGGGAGCGCCATTGATCTAGAACGGTGAGTACGGTTTTGAGAGGGTATGAGTCTGAGCTGGTGGATAATTAGGAGAAGAGAGATCTTGGGGAGAGGCTAGGTTGCCTGAGATGGTCGATTGGATAATTGATTGATTAATTCTATAGTATAGTCTGGTCGAGCCCTGCTAATGTTGCTCGGTGGCTACGCAGATTTTCAACGACTAGGATATAGGCAGTATCTTATCATATGGATTATCTTAATAAATTTTATAATTCCGTTTCTAGCGCTAACATGCGTGTATAGATGAACAATTTTCACAGATAAAGTCTCAAAAATCTATAGAAATCTTTTCTTTATATTCAGTATAGAAATAGCAGTGGAGGGAGATATAATTGAAACTTATACTCTCTAAGTCTCTACATATCTTCAGGGTATACAAAATGCATCTAAGTATCCTTCCTCTAATATGGTCAGTTATGGCAGCTGCAGGATTCAAACCTGCTGTATATTTCAGTACAGATTACACCATCAAAGCCACGACAAAAATTATTCGTTTCGTATTGGCGCTGCCCGGAATCGAACCGGGGCTGGCACGGCCACAACGTGACGTCATACCACTAGACCACAGCACCTGTTGTTGTGTGGCTTTTCTGCCAAAAATGGTTAGTGTGGGGATGTAGTTATCTTGGGGGTGTGTTGGTTGTTAGATATTCGGGGGTCCATTGAGCACTTGAGGACTGGATCTTAGGATCATATAACGTCCTGAATTATCGGGTAATGCCTACTTCCTCGGGCTACGATTCGCGAGAAATGATCAAAGTCCCACTAAATAATGACAAAGCGGGATAATCTAGCCAGTATCCACCACCGTGACCTGACTACACTTGAACCTGAAAGCACTAAAAGCAACCTACAAGCCGCCTCTCGAGTATCATGGTTAAACGAAATTTATTGAGAGGCTGGGAGCAGGGCGTTGAAGATCTGGTGTTGTTGTTGAATCAAGTTGGCGAGAGTACACGGATTATTGAAGCACCATATCGCTCAGAGTTATATATTTCACACTCAGCCATGACTATACAGCACATAACATGTCATCTGGATTAAAAGTCCAACAATCAATTTATTTGCATAGCATTCCTAGTAGTCCTTCTGAGATCAGTTGCCCACCTCACGCTTTTTTGAAATGTCACGATTACTCAAATATACCGCCGCACTCTTCTCCACGCTCCCTGCAACCCTCGGACAGACCTACACCGATTGTAAACCTCTAGAAAAGACCTGTCCGTTCGGCACAGGCTCCACACATTCTACTTAAGGCCCCCAAGCTAAATAAATACCTTCTACTGCGAAACAGGAAGTCCTCGGAAGCTACACAACCCAACTCAAAACCGACTACTTCGGCGAAGGCGACTCATCCACCTCCAACCGCTGGTCCTGGGAGCCCATCGATGACCCCCAATCCAAGTTTCACAACTACACCCTATCTTGGACAACCGCGGCCCTGACGTGGAGCATCGAAGGCACGCCCACAGGTTTCACGAAAAAGACTACTGATATCCGAGGTGGAACCAAGCAACAAGCTTGGACCAGCGAGATGCGTGATATGCCACGTGACCCTGCGGCCGGGCGCACGATGTATTGACACGTGACAGGCTTCATCTGGTCGGAGAATATAATAGTCTCAATGATAGAATTAAATTTCTTTTCAATCATCGTTATTTATCATATGGCCGAAAGAATTGATCTAGGGAATCAACCAACAAGAAAAATCGTGGGTTATAGCTATACTTGTAGTGGAAATAGTCTGCGTCCTGTGGGAAGACATGGGAGCCGAACTCACTCTTTCTCCTCATTCTTTGCCAGCCATTTCCTTCGATGACTTACTATCGTGTCAGTATGTTCCCCCGCTTCGAACATCTGGATGTGATCATTCGATCCTCTGATGCGTGATGTATGCTTAGCGGTTCGCCTCGGCGAATGAGATCGCCTCATTAAGCGCCGGCCATGCAAGTCCATCACGATAGGCTTCCGGCTATCAATTCATCCCCACCTATCTAGCAGGCTTCACTGTTCAGCGATCAAAGTATGAAAGGAACTCCTCGGTCGGATTTAGCGATCTGAGAGGTCGTCTTTTCCTTCACCTCCCTCTCTTCCGGCCATGTCCTTAGACGGCTCACTATGGGCACGCTGAAATTGACCCTGCCCAGCTCTCCTTCAGTCCAGGTATTTAGAAGAAATCGGCAGAGGAAGTTACTTTATACGGGGCTATCATTGGTTTTTCTCCTCGTGTTGTGGGGTACCCTATTCATAAGTTCTGGTGGACGGTATGCTGGGGTGCAGAGACTCGGTTCCTCAGACAGATTGAGCTTGGACACAATCAGGAATGAAACATTAGGGGTAAGCTCTCATTGCAACGTACCATAGACCCGAGTATTAATCGTGGCGTAGTTCGAAAGGATCTTTTGTATCAACCTTCCCAGTCGACCTGATAAACGGGATGCAATCACACTAGGCTCATCAGTCACGCAGTTCCGCGTGGACTGGATCGATGGCGTATCTTCCGAGGATATGAGCCCAAAGGCTTATCCACCAGTAAGATTCCTTCGGCTACTACACCTCAACCTATCCGCTAAGACCTCTCTCTCAGCGATACGATGAACCGGATAGACCTCGCATGTTAGCCGGTGAAATCGGCAGCTGGCGAGCTCACCTGAACGCAATGCAACGGTAGCCATATCCCCCACCAGTATGTAGACACATAACTGACATTCGTTCAGCATCGTCTCAGAGCGCATATCCAGCGCCCTAATCCTCGAAGACGACGTCGACTGGGACGTGACACTAAAGAACCAACTACAAGGATTCGCGCTGGGAACCCTCGCTCTCCAAGCCGAATCCCACCCCAAGACCACACCCTATGGCGACGAGTGGGACATCCTCTGGCTCGGTCACTGCGGGACGAAATGCCAAAAGAACATCCCTTTCTACATCCTTAAGAACGACCCAACATCTATCCCCGTCTACGGCCTCCCACAATACTGGGCCGGTCCAGCCGTCCACGAACTCGTCGACAACATCAAACACAACCGCATTATCTGCAAGACGTCATTGACAGTCTGCTCCAGCGCATATGCAGTATCGTTCAACGCAGCACAGAAAATCCTCGCTGCGTTATCTGTCTTACCCGATGATGAGAGCATGCCGCCTGGTCAGAGCGTCGTGTATGATGTTATGCTAGGGAGATTGTGCGAGAGTGGGTACTTGAGGTGCATTTCGTCGCATCCTTCGCTTTTTGGCAACTGGAAAGGCGCGGGATTGCCTTCTAAAGCGTCGGATATCCAGTATAAGTATGATGGACCGAGGGAGCAGAAGACGTTTGAGGGGGCGAGTTTCCAAGGGTTGGTTTATAGTACCATGTATAATTTGGGGACTTTGCTCGACGGGGAGAGGGTGGTGGTGTCCAATGTTAATGATGTTATGAAGCCGAAGTTGGATCTTACGAAGGTGAGAAGGGTGGAGGGTGGGTTACATCTGTTGGATTATGAGGAGATGGTTTTGAGTCGTGTAGGATAGACAAACATTTTGAGATATCTTTCAAATTAACGATGCATACGAAGGATGAGTTCTACTAGACGAGGAAAGACAATATTCATATGCTGCGATCCGATTTTGCTGCTGCATAGGGCATAGGACAACCATGACAACAGAACTATTTGGGTCTGTCTTACCCTCAATAGCGTCGTCCGTCTCTAGATATGCCGTCCGTATCCTTGAAAATATATGCCAGAATACATTGCATGATGTTTCAATGCTACATGCATGTCAAGTCCCCATCTTCCTTTACATTAATAACCGTACCAGAACTTCTCTTTCTCATTAATGAGTACGTATCATTGTGATATCACGACCATGGTATATACAAAAGCTTCATTCATATCCAACATGACTCAATGGATGACAGTCACTTCGCTCGAATGGTTTCACGAATCGATCATCTGCGGAGCTATTCAATAACAGTCAGCTCAATCCTAACCAAATGAAGCTCGACAGTAGCATCTTTGCTTACCTCGACTTGCGGCTCGTCAGGGCTTTAGAAACGGCCGGGACCTCCGTGGGGGCCACCAGGGCCACCAGGACCGCCGTGAGGACCACCAGGACCACCGGGGCCGCCGTGAGGGCCGCCGTGGCCACCAGGGCCTTCATGAGGACCACCAAATTCTCCAGGGCCGCCGGGACCGCCAGGACCGCCGTGAGAACCACCGGGGCCACCGGGGCCGCCGTGAGGGCCGCCAGGACCTCCAGGACCGCCTTGGGGACCGCCGTGGGGGCCTTCATGGCCGCCAGGGCCGTGCTGGTTCTCGTGGTGGTGGTGGAAAAGACCCATGTTGATTGTTTGTAGGAAGGTAGATTGAGAGTGTTTGTTAAGAGTGTGTGGCTTGAAGATGTTGGAAAGTAAGTGAGGGGTCAACGAGAGATCGTGGGGGATCTTATACTCGTGGCCCTCTAGGAGGCAACATTAGGCGTGTGGAGACCACATAGGGTCTGCGATCGAGCGAAGAGGGATAAGAGATAATTTTGGGTGCAAATGACGCTCATTGAGGGGTCCATTCCCCAATTTGGATATTGCATCTGACGACATAGGCTTCGAAAGAAACGATGTTGCCTATGGCCGATGGGGGTTTATCGACGAGCTAATCGGACTATGACGCTAGTGAACCTTCAGGCCATCGCCCGATTCGCTTGCGATGCTATAGTACCGTGGGTTAAGCCAGGAGCAGCATGGCTCAGATCTCGTCGTCGCCCCGTAAGGGGGCAATGGGGAAAATCCCGATCCAGAGATGATGGACATTATGAAACTTTGATGACACGGCTGTACGCGTTGACTGCATTGTGATGCGAATCGAACAAAGCCGGCTAAAAGATCTGTGAAGTCCGGACAATTGTCCGCTACAAAGCCCTATGGTCACGGTGAGCTTCATTGCCACAAGTGGATGAAAAAGCGTACGTACTTCGACCCACTTCTGTTCAGCACAGGGCTGGCTAGTGCCCTCAATAGGAGGCGCCAAGCGGAGGTCATACGAAAATCATGGCCTCAGCCACACCGCTGAGTGAGTTGCGTGTTGCTTCATTGAGTCATAATGACCGTTATGGGTACATCAAGGGCCTGGGGAGGTCTCGTTGAATTGTTGTTGTGGCTGATATCCGACCAGATGCACGCGGTCGAGACGACTCGGCCTGGCATTCCGATTTCGGCATGAACCGGTGCCGATCTCAATGACTAAGCGGGATCGGGCGCCATTGCCAAGCCACTCTAAGACTTCGCCAAGCGTTGGCATTTTCCTACTGGCAAACAATGCAAACACCCCTCGCTGTTCTGCAGTCTTGTGAACATAATTTCATTGTTAGAAGGGGTATATGATAGATCTTTTGCTTTGGGTAGAACAAAGCACGATGTTAGTCGCATATGTAGCCCGGCTTAAGAGGCAATTGTTTGACATCGGTCCTTCCTGTCTCCGAAACCATTCCTTCAGTGCATATTCGGCAACCGGCCACTAGCTGGTCCTCTCAAGAACCCTCTTCTACTTCTTGAAGCTGCTTTCATAAGACATCACCTGAACACCTCCTGGAGACAGACATCTTCATCCGCGGAGAAGGAGAATTCTATTGGGACCGGATGTTCGTTCTAAATGACTCACGTCGACACCAGCCCCGCCAAATCAAGCTTCATCATTAATGAGAAGCCAGTTACTAATCGCACCATATGTAGACCCTGAAAGAGCTGGACAATATATCAGGATGGGTCGTTCTGAAATATTCGTCGTTCCTTTTGGAGAATCCTGAGATTGTCAGCACGCGCAGCTATCCTACAGCGCAGAATCATGCCTTCTCCGCCTCCTCCTGTGGACTCTGGATTGAAGGCAACATCATTGAAGAAGCCGAGCGCCGTAGCACGCTAAATCCAGGCATGACAGTCGTAGAAGCCACCGGTGGCAGCACTGGTTCTTCTCTTGCCTTCATCTCTCGGCAAAGGGATACCGATTCCGAGTTGTTTCGTAGAATGCCTTTGCAGTTGGGAAGCTGCGAACTATGAGCGCACTGGGCGCCACTCTTGATTGATGCCTTCTGTGGTACGGTTGGAGGTGCCGCTATGGTTATGGGAGTATCATGCGTTCTGAAGTCTATGTGCCGGATACGCGAGTTGTGGTTTTAGAGCCGGCCTCTTCTCCTGTCATTACTGAAGGTCGCACTGGATCTCATAGTGTTGAGGGAATTGGGAATGGCTTTGTGCCGCCGCACCTGGATCCAAAGCTGTATGATGAAGCACGAGGAATCTCAGAGAGAGAAGGCCGTGCTATGTGCAGACGGTTGGCTCGTGAGGAAGGCTTAGTGGTCGGAACCTCGACTGGTCTTAATGTTGTTGCCGCCATTGCTCTTGCCAAAGAACTCGGCCCTGGCAAGACGGTGGTTACCGTCGCCGTGGATACGGGCCTCAGGTATATGAACGGAAACCTCCTGGCAGATGCTTGAGTTCGTCAGAATTATAATAACTAGATAATCACTATTGAAGATTCTATAGGCTTTGCTGCCACGGAAATTTCAGATTCACACACATCAGCTGTGCCAAGGAGTCTAAAAAATATGAGGGGCCATGGCGTATTCAGCATCAACTATAGCACTTGCTATCGTCACATTTCTTAAAATTATAGAGTTAAATCTGAGACTGCGATTTCGCGTGCACGCTTCTTTTGCAATCCGGCTACTCTATCATGTCAAATGTGTCATTTCCATGCGATAAGCTTGGCCAGCATCAAGTATACGAAATACACAAATGAGCACTAACTCAGAGAGGCTAATGTTGCAGTATCTCTCGATAAGCTAAATTTCTTCTATTTTCACCATGCTAATTCGAAGCGCTCATCTTCAAAGCAAGCAATGCCGAATCTTTTTGCGAAACTGGCCTCTGCCAGCCCCATCTGACTTCGATTCGAGATATGACTACTCCTCGACCGTATTATGGGCCTTCCGCGGTCCAACCGGGCTCGACAGCAACCATCTTGTGAACAAATCCATTGGCGCCTCACGCATAGTTTCGAAGCTATAAATGCGACTGTGCGCCACGACCAGCTTTCCATTGTGCATATGCGCCTGCAGGATCCGGGCATGTGAGGGTATCATAAATGAAATCATTAGGACCTATGATCGTTGTCAGTGGTCAGCGACTTTTGACTACAGTCACAGGGGAAACAAAGACATACAGGAAGCATCCCCTCCGAATCTTCTTCATCTTTCTCTAGTCGGGTGCGCATCGTCTGAAGTACGCCCAGGAGCTCAAATCGCATCATAGAGTCCTCGGGACATGCTTCTTTGCACCAATGCTGAGTGATCATGACAATATATGGGTACCCATCATCTATACATTCGTAAATTCGATTCACGGTATACAGATAGTCTCCGAGCTTGTCGTAAATGTTCGATATCCGGCCGTATAATTTGTCGATTGTACTGTTCATGTCATCGGTATGTTAGAGTTGTGAGAATGTATTTAATGGATGAATTGAGTTGTACTAAGTACTCACTTGGATGGATACCAGGGTCCAATATGCGTCATAGTACAGGCGAGGGCGCTGTAGCGATGAGTTCGTGGAGCGAGATGGATCCATCTCTCTAGCTTGATGGCTAGTTCTCTCAAACGGAAAGGCGGATAGGACTTGCACGGATCGTCCTTGATGGTGTCGTAGTCGTGAATCGAAAAACAGGAGCCTTCACGCTTGTCTATTGAGGCGTAGGGGTGCGGGTCGATGGGAAAGGCGTACAAGGCTTCGATGGGGAGAGGATCGAAGAGGAGGGGCGTGGTCGATGAATTACCCTTATAATGGTGCTCAGCTTCGAGGTCCAAGGGCAGCAGAACTATGTTGTTTGCCTCGCAAAGAGAGGGGGATAGAAAGTTGAGGACATCTCGACTTTCTAGGCTCTTCATTATCTTTGCGATGCTTCTTAGGGTGCGGAATCCATGCTCCGGGTTGGGTGGCATTTCGGGTGGCTGATTAGTCTGCATCCTTGACAGCCTGTGATACCTCAGCAGGTCTGGTGTGAGGGATCATGTTGAGATGATTGGCGTTGGTTTTCATCGTGTATATTCTGTGTGAAGTGAATGCATTCACGCTGAGTTTCAGGGCTTCCAGAAGCGTAAGCGAGCGTTCATCACTATTTGCTTTGTATGCTTATGTGAATAGCGTCATGGGCGATAAAGTTCACACTTTCTATCTCTATAGCATTGTAATGGATGCGCTGGAGTCTCTTCGTAATCACAACATGATCTGTTGATCTCAGATGAGAACGTAGAGGGTATTGCGGGCCTAAAATATTGTGTCCAGATTAAGCAGGACAACCTCATTGACTTTGTAGGTTTTCAATTGGGAATTTGGGGGTGTTAATTATCATGTGTGAATTATCTTGCGATATTTGTTATGGATCAAATATTAGTACATTACATGCAGAAAAGTGACTCTTTCACTTCCTCAGTACTTGCTGCACACCCAAAAGTCAGTAGGATGGGTAATACGAGTCATCCGCACCCTAGTGGTCCCCTCCCGAAGGAGTGGAATTGACAACCCCTGGAATAATGCCAAAGCAAGTACACCCAGCCAGTCCTCTAATTTTCTTAGTGTTCTTCACACATGCCTCGTGACAAATTGCATTTTCAGAGGCAGATAAGGTGAAGTCACGTGGAAATGTTGTGAATGCGACATGCTATCGGAGTCACCGCCCTGGGAGAGGCAGCTTCTTCCTCTCCCTGCGAGTGATCAAGCCAGACGTGCATGAAACGTTCGCGCCAACCGATGGCGTGATTCGCGTTGATCCTGCCAACTCTTCCCCTCTTTCCCATCCCTTCAGCGTCATTAACATCCACTCATTAACCTGAACAACTGTCATTAATTGCCCTCCATGTCTCCCCACGATCGGTCGGAGGAGGAGGGTGTTCGCCGCCCACTCCTGGCCGATTCCAGAGGGACCGATGGGACCGAACCCGGGGCGGAGTCTACTTCCGCATTGGGCCCCAAGTTCACCCGCAACCTCGGAGCCATCGAGGCATTCGGCATCGTCATCAGCATCGTGATCGGTAGTGGTATCTTCACTTCACCCGGTTCTATCGACACAAATGTTCCATCCCCTGGAGTCGCGCTTATCGTGTGGCTGGTCGGAGGCATTCTGGCCTGGACCGGTGCCAGCACCATGGCCGAGCTCGGCACTGCTATTCCGGGAGAAGGTCGGTTCACTCTGCTGCCATCAGATATATCGACAGAATTGACTGTACAATAGGAGGCGTGCAGCCATATCTTCGGTACATCTATGGGGACGTTTTTGGCTTTCTTGCTGCTTGGACTTGGATCATCGCCGTGATGCCTGCAACGCTGGCCATTTTGAGCATCGTGTTCATTGAAAGCATCTTCTCCGCGGCTGGCGTCACCGACCAGGCTGGAAGCCTTTCGCATAAGCTGCTCTCCATTCTTGTATTGTTGGTGATCGGAGTGGCCAACTCCATCAGTACCAAGGTCAGCACCCGATTGAATGGATTCTCCGTCACGACCAAATTCATCGCCATCGCCGCAATTGTGGTGGCCGGCCTAGTCGTCGTCATCCTGCAAGTTTCGGGAATCAACCGCGATGCTGGGTCCAATGACTGGCTCAAGCACTCTTGGTTTGGATCTAGGAACACTTGGACTCCAGACGGTCGGGAGATCGACTGGAGCTCCATGCACGGATGGGAATCGCTGGGTTACTATTCAACCGCGCTCTACGGTGCTCTCTGGGCCTATTCGGGTTGGGATAAGGTGAGCATATAGCCTCTTTCTAATATAATTCGACAAAACGCTCACCATGTTTTGGCAGGCTATCTACGTCAGTGCAGAGCTCTCTGCTCCTGCCCGTCAGCTCCCACTGGCCATCAACACTGCCATTCCCATCATCATTCTTTGTTTCCTTGCCGCTAATGCCGCGTACTACATCCTTCTTCCATGGAAGATCGTTTCGACCACTGATAGCGTGGCCGTCGTACGTAAAACACCTTTTTATTGATGGCTTGTGCTAATATGATACAGACCGCAATAACCCATCTTCTAGGACCAGCATGCGGTATCCTTGCTGCCATAGTGATCTGCCTCGTGGTTGCCGGCTCCCTGCTCGGAAACTCCTTTGTGGCCGGTCGCATGATTGTCGCCGCATCAAAGCTGGATTGGTTTCCGCGGTTCCTGGGCGTGCTTGGACATGTGGGAATGCCTCCTGACCCGGAGCCTCCTTCTCAGTCGACCCCGCGATCGGATGCGCCCATAAATGCCACGATCATGGCCACTCTGCTACCAATCCTGTACCTGCTGTTCGGAAATTTTCGCGCTCTACTCACCTTCAATGGTCTGGGGGAATACTCGTTCTTCTTCTTGACGGTCTTGGGTGCCATTCTTCTGCGATTCCGGCAGCCTGATCTCCATCGGCCGTACAAACCTTTCATTGCAATTCCGCTGATATTTGCCCTTGTCAGTGGCTTTGTGGTGGTAAGGGGAGCTGTCTTTGCGCCTCTGCAAGCTGTGATTCTGATTTCGGTCTGGATCATCGGCATGGGGTTCTATTACCTCCGGGCTTACCTTCGGAGGGAAAGGGTGACTAGAAGAAGCGAATAGACTCGGGTAGAAGTGGGTGCCCTGGCAGTTCCTTTAAAATTCGGGCACGCGTCTAGAGAAACGTTTCTCCTCGTCACAATTGGTTCTTTAAGTCCTGATACACTTTTTCAGCTGACACTTTCCAGACATGCGATGTACTTCATACAACACTGTGATTACATGACAAGGCTCCGTTGTGGAAACCGTTATCCCTCGTATTAATGCGGTGGGCATTAGGAAAGGGGGAAGGAACTGGAGAATTCGATGTGCATAACTTTTGTCTGCGACGGCAGTAACAAATACAAGTTGATTAGAAGTTTTCGGTTGTGCAAGATGGTAAATGGCTATATTATCCATGGATCAACACGTAAACCCAATGTCGCGCATCTTATCAATCAAAGGTAGCCTTTCTTGGCGAATTCACTATCCGCAATCGTTATCTCCAGTCACCGCCCGCATCCAATTCTATCTCACGGACATTCCTTTCCTTCCACGCGATTTGGGGGTAAAACTGAATCCTCGGACTGAACGAATTGACACACTCTCCATAATATCCACGTAAAAACCGATCAATCATACCATACCATTTAATTCATCATTAATACCACCACCATGGACCAAACAATCCGCGTCGCCGTCGCCGTCTACGTCTTCAACAAACACGGACAGACCATTCTCGGCCAACGCAAGGGGAGTCTCGGCGCCGGTATGTCTTACTCTCCATTTCACCCAACTGCTACAGCAATTTCATCCTACTTAAGACATCACTCTAACCCATTGGAAGGATCATGGGGCCACCCCGGGGGCCACCTCGAATTCAACGAGACATTCGAAGCCTGTGCAGCTCGCGAGGTTCTCGAGGAAACAGGCCTCGAAGTAACTGATATACGCTTTCTCACAGCTATTAATAATGTTATGCTGGAGGGAGGGAAACATTACGTTACGATTTTTGTGGGCTGTAGGCTTGTGGACGAGGATGCGGAGCCTGTGGTAAGTATACTTATTCTTTTCGTTTACCTCTTGGCTCTCTGAAGCTGGTATTTGAGAGATTGGTTACTGAAGTTTTGTATGTAGGTAATGGAGCCTGAGAAATGCGTCCGCTGGGACTGGGTTACTTGGGATGAGATGAAGGCGACTATTGAGAGGCAAAGGGAAGCAGAGCGGTTGGGGAAGATGGAGGAGTTTGAGGGGAGGGTGCTGTTTAAGCCGATTTTGAATCTTTTGCAGCAGAGGGTGGGATTTGATCCGTTGGAGATTTATCAATCTGTTGGGCGGTCTTGATTGGTATGGTTAAGTCTGGTTCTACTTGATAAATCATTTCCAGACGTTGTTACGCAGAATAGCAATAAGGCGCATGAGTGGTAGTGGTCTTAGATTCTTTTGTATTGAACAGAAACGAAACTGCATGTAATTTGGTGTCTCATGTTATATATATTAGAAGACAGAAAATGACAGAAACCAAGAATGAGAAGCACATATTAATTACAGCAGAGAGGAAACGCCAGTAGAACAAAATATACATGAGCCATTCACTCAGCTCACGCCTTGGCAGTAACACACTTGAACGTACCCTGGCTATCATGTAGCTCAGTCATATTGAACTGAATATCCAGCTCAGACTCGGCGAAATCCGCCGCTGTGGCATAAGACACATCGAGCTCGTTCTCAACTTCTTCTTCATCGCCCAGCAGCAGAGCAGCCTTGGGGTAGAAGTCCTGCACATCGAAGGACTTGTTTTTCCACCCCTTCGGCACGATCTTCATAAGCTGGAAGGCGAACACAATATCATTTTCGCCCTTCCCCTGATGTTTGTCTGATTCCTTCGAATAGATCTTATTGTCCGTGCCAACACTGACATCGCCAATAACCGTTCCCGATGTACCGGCTTTACCCCCGGCATTTGCTTCCTTGGAGCTGGAATGGCTTTCAGATACACGAAATCCCTTCGCAATCTTGACGCCCGTGATCTATAGACGGGCTTGGAAAACACACTATCCAGACGCATCAGATCCCGGATTTTGCCGTCTTGGGTCCGTCGAATGATCTCTTCGTGGGAGGGCTCGTCCCTGAAGTAGCTGGTTGTCAGGGAGTCGACAGTGTAGTCAGCATCAAGTGACCTGCTACCCTCAAAACCGAGATCGACGCCCATGGCGTTGAGGAAGTGGGTCCAGATGCTTGACTTGACGCCATTCTCTCTTTGGTGATGTAGCGACCAGTCGGTTTCGACTACTGTTTCGATGGGAGCAGTCGGGATGTCTGGGTCAGGTCTTGTCAGGACCCGGTGTGGTCTGAATGGATCGACGATGATTTTTCCGAGGGCAATGGGGCCATCTGGACGAAAGTCCCATCTAGGCGCGAGGACGTATGTATATGTCCGCTGGTGCATTGTGGGCGGTGAACAGGTAGGATAGAGAATTGATAACTCATAGATAAGTTGGCTGGCTAATATTCGAAGATGTGTTGTTGAACGATATATTGAATCATGAACTTGTCTGAAATGATGTCTGAAGGGCGAAAGGGCTCTCCTTATATGTCTTGTCGACATTATCAATAGGCGCCGACGAAGTCTCACCTCGCTCGATGACAAACAAAGCCACATCAGCACGTTGTATAGGGCGCTTAGGCTCTCAGCGAGTCGGGGTCAATAGACGGGACCGATCATACTGCGGCGCATAGGGCTTCCAATCGATAGCTGGTCCTATCCGCCGACTAGGTATCTCAGCTCATCAAAGTCCTACAGCGCGTAAATAGTGTTTCACGATCCTTACAAGTACTCAGCTTGTTGTGTAAGGCTGTGCCGCCGAGTGCCAATAGAATCATCGGCGGGGTGCACTTGAAAGCGCTTAAGGATCCCATCGGTCAGTTTATGCAAACTACTAGCGACAGCGCCTACTTGTAATATTGCATTGGACTGTCTATGCTCTCTACGGAGTGTTAGTTACTGATTGATGCATTGTATCAGCTTCTAATTATGGAAATCATAGTTCTCTCTCCCTCTCCTTTCCCTTTTTTCCTTTCACTTTCCTTTTCGGTTCTTCTCCCCCCTTCGGTCTAAAGGAGAGTTACTACTGATACCTTCAGTTCTTACCCCTGTGCTCCGGAATAGAAAAATATCGTTGTCTCGAAATTATTCATCACATGAACAAAATCAACAATTACTATAAATAAGAGCCATAGGCAGGCGAAGTTTAGATGCGACTCTTTCTACAGAGTCTTTTCGGGTGGTCAGCAAAGAAGGAGGTCCCAAACCAAAGAGTTAGTACTATGTGCGAAAAAATAATTTATAGAGCGTGACCGATACTAAAATTCAGGATATCAGGGGATTGTTGTTGCAGAGGAGAGTTTAATGAGGAGGCTGGAAACCCCGCCTGGTCGGGGAAGGTGACCAACTGGATCCGAACCACCGGTCTTTTCTGGATGATCCACCTTGCCTCATACCACCACACTCTTCCTCCCAGTTACTTCAAGCCAGTAAACAGCAGAATGTTACGTGATCGAACGCACTTTAATTACCCAAGGGGAGGGAGGTTATTCTCAATTCTCTCACTCCTCCAAAAGGCCCTGTGCTGGTCAAGAATGAATCGGACAAGGTGAAACCGTCACCAAAAAGCCCATGCATCAGCTCCTGCAAATATCTGGCATCCTACACCCGGCTGAATTGAGGGAATTTGTCTATCTTAATTCTCGGTATAACTTGTCTTCAATACCACACTGCCTCTGCAATATCATGAACTCACTAGATCTCAGGCCGACCTCCCCTTTATACTCCACGCAAACATCTGAAGCTCAAGGCTGACCCTGACCGTCCAAGGCGTCCTGACCTCAAGCCCATCAAGGAACATGCATATACCTGGGAGGCATCTTTTGAAGCCATCCGGCGGCAGGATCCGAGGTATGTGAGATCCGCTTCATTATGGAGCGCATTGGCGAGACGGTCGTGTTTGTTCGACGAGAATATCCCCTACCGGGTTGGCTGGCTAATCAACATAAATACGAGGCCGATTTTACGGTCGAAATTTACTACATGGGAAGACGAAGCCGCTAAGTTCAAGGCTCATCAACGCATTATTCAGTATAATTTCGTAAATATCCATATGGTCGTTCGCTCTGCGTCAGATACCTCTATTCAAAATCAGGAGTTGGACTCTGAATATGGAAATGCATCCACCAACACCACAAGGCTAACATCAACAGTCCTACTGAAGGCATTGGCGGGCTGCAGGTACATTAAGGCGGCGAGCCAGTTGCTCAAAACAAAATATTCCAGATCGATGTGCAATTTCATGTACAACGACTTTGGCTACATTCGAAGACTACACTCGGGTGAAATGATAGCTTTCCATAATTACAAGCTTGTGGTAGTTGAACCAAACATTCATCAGGCAAGACTATGATTTGTATGTTGCATTTCAAACAACCAAAATAATCGGCAAAGGGCCACGGTGACCACAATAATAGCGCGTAGTTCCTATATCATTCCGTCTGGACAAGAGGCGCCTCCACACGACCCATGTCTTGCAGAAGATCAACCACGGTTCTAAAATCAACATAGTCACTATGTTCGCGTACTTCCAACGTCTTACTTCCTGGTACTGCGGTAATGCTTTTCACCTGATAAGCCAAGATGATAGGATCCTTCCACTCGAAATGATCACCCCTACCAGCCCCCGCCGGTACTCTTATCCTCCCTTCCATGAAACGCACCTCCTCTTCAGGATAGTTACCATGACCCATACGAGCTCTGCTCTCCGGCCACTGACGCCACACGCTATCCATAGTTTCCCCCGTAGCGACTTTAATCCCAGTGATAATATAAAGAGGCCTGGACGCAGGGTTACTATGAATGTCTTCCAGGGCTTCACTCACTCTTGGCTCCGCTGCTCTCGTCCGAATACTCTCCAGTATGGACTCATCATTGACAGTGGTGATTTTGAGAGACCTGCAGAAACAGTCAAGACTGACGGCGTCGCCGCGTCCATAAATTTCAGGATGTTGGACGTTACTGGCACCTCTAGTGAGAAGGCGTTCTGAATTGTCCATGTTTGGCAACTCGAAAACGGTAGTGTTGAAGGCAATCCTCGGGTCATGCGTCGAGATGATTTTTTTGTCATTGCATGGATCTTTGGGATCCAGGATCATGTTGAGCAATCTCAGGGGTCCGTTTGGCTCAATATCTAACTTTGGCACTGGAAGCCATATGTCGTCCCAGAGGCAAGTGTCGAGTACGACATCGTCTTTCATGGTTCGGATTTTGATGGCGACGGAGAAGTTCGAAAATAATCGACAGGTGCGGTGCTGTGCTATGTTGCTGAGATGATGGTAATATTGTCCAGGGCCTCGCGGAATGTATGAACTTCATATAGTAATAGCCATGAAGCAGATTTCTGTAAATATAAGGGAATCTCCGGCATTTCAGCTGAACCATTTGTGTATACACGCGGCCTACCGAAAGAACGGAATTCGTGCTGGCTAAGATAGGAAATATCCGGCCAAAAGTGGTTGGTTGAGTTATCAGGCTTTGCTAATGTCTAGAAGAGATCTGTCATTGTTTTATCTGGCCACTTCAGATGTCTCTTACCGTCTCCTATAAGGCTCAAACGGCTAGTTTTACTCGGCAATAGTACAGATAGCATACGTTTTTCACTGAGCCGTTGCGTACATCACAACGTTCGTTTCAAAAGGTTAATGACCAATTTGGGCGGGCCTTAAAAGCCCGCACTTTCTGGGCTTGTCTCATCAGTATGTGTTGTTCTAACCTATCGCAGAGCTAATAGTGTAATCCAACTCTCCTATTACATTGTGCGTTTCGAGATGGGGGTAGGTTGGGCAATATTACAGCGCCGGCACACTGTTTCATCGGTTGTAGAATTTATCTGGAAAGAAATAGTTCATCAAGCAGAAATTACTTTTTCAACACTCAAAGCATCCACAGATAGAATATCATAATATGTTGGATCAGGTCTGTCAGCAGCACATCGTGAACGCTTTAACGACAAAATGTTGAGTGCCTCTTCTAGCCTCGGCAGTGACTATTTTTAGTGTAGTGATTTTTGATTATTTGATCGCGATAGGATAGGCCGACCGGCGGATAGAAACCCCCGCCCACCTTATCACAAAACACGATCTCTATTTCACGACATGGATATCGAGTACATATTGTCACAACCTTGTCTGTTTTGCCATCGAAATGTGCTCTTTCCCAATCAGGGCATCCTTCTTTATCCCATAATAGGTCGCGATAGCCTGACTGTCGAGCCAGTTTCATTGAACGAATCCTTCGACCCCTCTCCTCCACTAATTGAACCAAATGTTCGAACTCCACAACATTAACAGGGGAGACTGGTTGGGGTCCCAACGGATAGCAGATGAATTTGAACCCTATACCCTGCTACCAGCGTGGAATCCCCTCTGAGTTCTCTGCCCAACAGCATTGGCATCAAATCTTTCCAGCCAAGCGATGAATTACTTGCAAACCCCTGTTCCCTGTACGGGTGATTCCGTAGAATAATCCCATTGGCCTCCATTGGGGAGGGATATTGTCCCTTCCATTCCCAACCACTCGCTGCTGCTATTGTCATACTGCGAGTCATCACTTTCCTAACGTTGGCCAGCTTGTCTGTAGCGGAAATTGACGCCATGCTTCGGAGTTAACGATGGGCCTTTGACTCAACAGTCTGCTCGTCCTGGCTGTCTGTTTCTCCCATATATAGTAGAGAGCGCGCAGCTTCTATCAAATACATTACAAACACGGAGCATCATACAATCCAGAGCAAGCCAGTCACAATGCCAGGCGAAACCAATATACCCCCTCGTCGAGACAGACATGTCTCCAAAGTCCACATCGCCGACACCCCCATCACCCTCCGGAACTGGCACAAACATGTCAACTGGCTGAACGTGACCATGATCGTCCTGATCCCCCTCTACGGCTGCATCCAAGCTCTCTGGACACCTCTACGACTAAAAACCGCCATCTGGGCAGTAGCATACTACTTCTTCACAGCCCTAGGCGTCACAGCAGGTCTGTCCCACCACCACCATACCCCCCTCTCACATCCCCTCTTCTAACCCATCGTAACCAAAAGGCTACCACCGCCTCTGGGCCCACAGATCCTACACAGCAACCCTCCCCCTCCGCATCACCCTGGCCCTCGCCGCCGGGGGCTCCGTCCAAGGTTCCGCACGCTGGTGGGCACGCCTGCACCGCTCGCACCACCGGTACACAGACACGGAGCGGGACCCTTACTCCGTACACAAGGGCATCTTCTACGCGCACTTCGGCTGGATGATACTGAAGCAGAACCCGAAGCGGTTCGGCCGAACCGACATCTCCGATCTCAACGCCGACCCCGTGGTCGTCTGGCAGCATCGACACTTCCTGAAGATCGTGGTCCTCATGGGGCTTGTCGTTCCGATGCTCGTCGCAGGCATCTGGGGTGATTGGTGGGGCGGGTTCGTGTACGCGGGCATCCTGCGCATCTTCTTCGTGCAGCAGGCCACTTTCTGCGTGAACTCTCTGGCTCACTGGCTCGGCGAGCAGCCGTTCGATGATCGCAATTCACCCCGTGATCATGTCGTCACGGCGTTGGCGACGATGGGTGAGGGGTATCATAATTTTCATCACGAGTTTCCGTCAGATTATCGCAATGCTATTCGGTGGTATCAGTATGATCCGACCAAGTGGGCCATTTGGTGCTGGGGACAGATGGGGTTGGCGCGTGATTTGAAGATGTTTCGCGAGAATGAGATTGAGAAGGGGAGGGTGCAGCAGTTACAGAAGAAGGTGGATAAGAAACGGGCAGAGTTGGATTGGGGGACTCCGTTGAGTGAGTTGCCGGTTATGGAGTGGGAGGAGTTTGTCGAGAGGGCGAGGAGCAGGGCGTTAGTCGTTGTTGCTGGGGTGGTGCATGATGTTGAGGACTTCGTAAAGGAACATCCTGGTGGGAGGGCTATGATCCAGGCTGGTGTTGGGAAGGATGCGACCGCTATGTTTAATGGTGGGGTGTATTATCATTCGAATGCGGCGCATAATCTGCTGTCGATGATGCGGGTGGCAGTTATTCGGGGTGGGAGTGAGGTGGAGATTTGGAAGAGGCCGCAGAAGGAGATGTAGATTAGTTGCATGGCTTATGGGTGTCTTGTTCTGAATTTTTCTGATAGACAGATATGGTAGGGTTTGTCCCAATTAGGAAAGCCGGAGGTCGAAGTCCTCATACAAATGCTTCCGAAGCTTATACTTTCTTTGCCCTGCTGTGTCTCCGTAGAGCATACTGCACGAAAATTGCATGTCGGCTAATTCCACGTGCAATGCGACCGAATAGACGCTCAGTCATTGCAACCTTCCTGAGTCAATCCGAGAGTTCAGAAGCCGCGGCATGACGGCATCGCAACCCAACGATAGCCACCGTCTTAGACATCCGAGCAAGCCGAAACTCTTATCATTTCACAAGTACTCCTGTTCATCCCCGGCCTGGAGACAAAGACATAATTTAAGATTGATAAGCATTCTATCGTCATCGACCCCTACATTGAAAGGAGCTGCCCGTATAACCGGACGAAGTTGCCATTGATCCACCGGTTCAACCGGGACTTGACCCAGAGCTTTGTATCCACCATGTTGAGCTCATTGCAACCTTCCATCGGTGATTGCTCAATGGAGCTTCGAGTTCTCCACCATGAATTTATGGTGACATCATGAAGAATGTCTTCCCCTTAGTTGTCCTACGTTATAAATTCGGTTTCCTGGGGACCTCGCAGACGAAGGAAGACACTATCTGATTCCTGCAAGGTAAATCAAGTCTAATTTTATCTACACCAATTAAAACCAGACATTCATCATGGGCTACGACTTTACCGTCTTCAAAGGATCCAAAGATGGACCCATACAGAAAGCAACCACCCACCGCGACGACCTCCAACGCGACCAAGTCCTCGTCCGTCTTACCCACTCCGGCGTCTGCTTTACCGACGTCCACTACCAGCATGCAGACATGGCCCTAGGCCACGAAGGCGTCGGCGTCATCGAAGAAATCGGCCCTGAAGTCCATGGACTGCGCAAAGGCGATCGCGTCGGCTGGGGCTACCAACACGACTGCTGCGGTCGATGCGCCCAGTGTCTAACGGGCTGGGAGACAATGTGCCCGGAGCGCCAGATGTACGGAAGTGCCAATCTCGACCAGGGATCATTTGCCACGCATGCGGTGTGGCGCGAGCCGTTCTTGTTCAAGATTCCCGAGGGAGTTAGCAATGAGGACGGTGCGCCGCTAATGTGTGGTGGCTCGACGGTGTGGAATGCGCTGCATGTTGGTGGTGTTAAGCCGACGTCGAGAGTGGGCATTGTTGGAATTGGAGGACTGGGACACTTGGCTATCCAGTTTGCGGCAAAGATGGGCTGCGATGTGGTTGTCTTCTCGGGGAGTGATAATAAGAGAGAGGAGGCGCTGCAGCTCGGTGCGAAGGAATTTTATGCCACCAAGGGCGTGACGGAGCTTAAGATTGGGAAACCGTTGAACAATCTGATCGTGAGCACGAGTAGCCAGCCGGACTGGAAACTCTATGTTAATGTCCTTGCTCCGGGTGCCGTTATCTCGCCGCTGTCGGTGGATAATGAGGACTTCAAGTTCCCGTATATGGCCCTTTTGGCGAATGGGTTGCGTGTACAGGGCTCGATTGTTGCCGCGAGGCAGGTGCATCGGGATATGCTTGATTTTGCTGCGCTGCATGGTATCAAGCCTATCTTGATGAAGTATCCTCTCAGTGTGGATGGCGTGAACGATGCCATGAAGACAGTGGAGGATGGGAAGATGAGATACCGTGGCGTTCTGGTTGTGGAGTAGATACAAACTGAAGATGGTGTTGGTGTTGGCGTGCGGTAGCGATGTTGAGATGGCGTTTATTTTATCATCTATTGGGTATCTGTAATTACTGCTTTGTAGGATATGATTCCGGGGCTATTATCGAATTTAGATTTCGATTTCATGAACATTGGCAGTCTCCCGAGTTCGAAATCAAGGCCACGTTCACCGCGGCAAACCTGGAAGGGTCAGCATTGTCGTGATAGAGTGTTCCTGGGCGATAGATCATTAACTCACGCAGTAGCCGCCGCAAAGATCTCAACCCTTCGAGCTCTGACCATCAAGCCCAGCGCCAGCGAAAAAGCAATGTTGTACAGCATGATAGTGACCATCCTGATAGCAGTGTTTTTGATGAAGTATAGCACTATCATCGATGATGCAGGCAACACCGCAGCGATAATGACACTAAAAAAGTGGGTGCATGCCTTGATCTTCTTGTCACTATACTGCCAGGCGCCATTTTCATTGCGCTGATTTGAACGTGATTAGCTCTCCGATGAAAAAGTAGAGTACTCGAAAGATACTTACTTGATATTTTTCGCCCCAACGCTTATGAAACCATGGGACGACTCGGTTGAATATCAACCGAGTTAGATTGTCGACACCTTCATGTCTACTAAACAGGGCGATCATATCACTATCGTTCCGTTCGTTGTAGACGTCCATCTCGGCAGCAGATTCAAAGAACATGTCCCCGCCTTCAGGCCGGTCAAGCCACTCTCGAAGCACAGTCAAGTCACATTTATCTGGCGTGCTGAGGCGCATGAGCTCCCGTTGTTGAATGATAGCATGGTCTACTCAGTCAGATCTGGGTTCTTCCAAATACCACAAGTGAGTGGTAAGAACTAACTAAACTTTTCCATCAACTGCCGCGCTTCTTGAAATTTCGACCACTGCGTAGGATTGCCCTCTTTCAGGTCCCGTACTGAGAAGGGATACAGCTGCTTCTTCTCGTCCTGTGAGTCCTTGTCATCCTGAATGATGAAATCAAGGTCCTCTTCGAGGTTCGCTATCTCGGCTTGATAATAGAGAATACTTTTGATATTGAGTTTTGTGAAACGTCGGAAAATGGCTAGTCCCGGGTCGGCTTCTATGAACGCGGCGAGTTTGTCGTATCCTTCGACGGGACGGAGGTTTGCGGTAGACATTGTTCTTGTTTATTATGTTTTCTCATATTTTTATTATACTTGAAAAGAGGTCGATTTGGGGATGACACGAAATTTGAACTACTTATACATTCTGTTCATCTTGTAGGGCCTCGACCTTCTCAGCCTGGTGTACATGTACGAGCCCCCATGCTCCGTGTGGCTGTGAATCGTACCCCTCATTCCGTAATCTTTGAGCAGCCTGAGAAGCTGACTAGAAACTAGTTCCATGCAGAGTGAGTGGGAAGGCAGACACGCAGATGAACACCATCTCCTCGGGTAATATTCGTCTTCTGCGACAAGGCTTTTTCCAAACATACGAGGCTTTTTCTGTCTCCCCCACTGGGCTATCCTTGCACTCGTACGGTGCAGGGTCATGTTGTTATATATTCATTATCCGATGAGCATAGCACATGACGTGAGGCCTTTCCCCCCCTCCCTCCTGCTGTGCTGATGACACTTGCTGCCCTCTGACAGTCTCAATAAGGCTAAATAAGAGTGACAGCCTGATATGGTCCAGCGAAACAACATTTGAGTTTTGTCCCTGTAGTACGGTGTGATTCATGCGTTCCAACATGCGCACTAGAAGCGTGATAGAAGTTGCATTTACGAACCCCGCATAAATGACTTGGTCTTCTGTGACTGGGTGATTCACATGATAGTCAGTCTTATTTTGACAAGCCGTTTAGTGCATAGGGCAGCTCTGCAGATTGGCCAGCACATACTCTACTATTAAGTTCTAAAATACGTAGGTAGCAACACTGCCAGGTAGCAATTTGATATTGTTCCAATCAGCCCGTCCCTGTGTTCTCCGAAATATTGTATGAGATAGAGCCAGTCTTTTATCCCAAAACATGTACATACAGTAAACGCCAGCAAATAAAACAAACCCTGTCTATGAATACATTATTGTAGTCGCTATGTCTGTTCCGGGTTACCGAGTCGTCTGGCAACCATAGGATCCATACGGTAAAGACCGATATCCCGGCATGAAGTGGTGCCAAGGATGATATCAAAACTGGTACCTCGAACAACGTAAAATTCGGCACAATATGGCTTTTCGTGGCCAAAAATAGTCCATGTTGCCTGCACTTTACCTACGGGCCTCAATTCCCCCCGAGTGGTAAGTTGGGTTGGCGGGCCATCATAGGGGTCCATGCGGACATTCATTCTCTGGGAGACATCGTGATCCATGAAATTAGCCTCTGTTTCAAAGTCCACTAGCATGCGTCGTCTCAATGGCTTGTCGAAAGTGAATATGAGAATATCGTAGATGAAATCACAATTTAGTACATCCTGCTGGTTATCGCGGTTTGGTGGATTACTGACAAGCACGGTCTGCAGAACTCCCGTTAGTCTCTCACGCTCTTCGGTGTGCTGGAAGCCCTCGCGGGTCTCATGCAACACCTCCTCCTTTTTGGCTGGCTCATCCAGAGGCATTTGAGAGCGTTGAAAGTCCTTTATACCCCAATACTCCGGCGAAAGTGGACGCTTTTCTGACGGATAGTAATCCTGAGGCGAAGGCAGAGACGCTTTCTGTTGCCCGTGCGTTTGGGTGGACCAGAGGGGAAAGAGAAACAAGTGTTTTGTCCCCTTTAGCGCAATCCGAAGGGCCTACTTCGCACTTTAGCACCAAGTATGTTTAAGATGAAGCCGCAGAACATACATGGCTTTTTATATTTCCACTTTGGTGGTGGCCATGGCTCATGGCCATTTTATGATTTTTCTCATTTTTCCTCCATTTGCCACGCTCGCGTGGTGCCGTCGGTCTCGGGGCTAAAAGCCGGTCAATTTCTTGTCGGGTGTTGCGTGTTGCGGAGATTGCAGGGCAGGACGACGGTTGACAAGAGCAGCACTTACATGGGTAATTGCCAGGCATGGAGATATCAGTCTTGAGGAAATCCCAAGTATATACAGAGGTTGACTAAGTACCTGGAGCCATGATGGGCGGTCGCGGTCGCGATGCCCGGGCGGCGCGGGAGTTATCAACCCTGAGCCTCGCTTGAAGGCGGGGGTCACCACCTTCCAGTCAAGCCAGGGAAGGGCTGGAGCAAAAGACAAGTTTTGCTTGTGGCACAGGCACAACACAATCTATCCCTGGCGCCTGACCTTATGTGACGATAGGCCCCAAGCGATTAGTGGCTCTTCGGGTATTACTGTTCTGTTTCGAACACGGAATGGAAGCACTGGGAGGCCTTCCGCGGATGCAGCTCAGCCCACCAAGGAACATCTCTGAGAGGCTGACCGTCCGGCTTGACCAATCATTTTCATAATATGCCTGGAGGCTTCGCCTTCTATTCATTTGCATGAACAGAATTGAAGGATTGCTATCCCTGCACACGCTTAGCGTGGGGCCAGACTCCCGCATGGTGGCCTTCAGCCGATCGTTAGACGCCCCAAGTGTTACATTTTACTCTGTCCAAAGTACATAAGAACCTACCCTGCTCAAGGCTGCTTGACTCTTCGAACAGGGCTTCACAGTCTCTGGAGCCCGGGAAAACTCCATTGCGCCACCTTCATTACTCCCCCGTGGCAAGGCAGTGATGTATGCTTGCTTTTAGTGCCCTTGTGGGTGCCTTTTCGTCTTTGCTTTGCTACACTCTCACTAATCCCAACTACCTCTCGTGATCGACTCTTCTGATTGCTAGTTCCCTGACTGAATCCGAGAAGCCTCCGAGAATTTCTTTTACCAGCGGTGAGTAGTGCTTACTGTGCGGGACATCAGCCCGGCACTTGACGGCCTGAACGTCCGCCGAGCGAATGGCACACCTCGGTGAGTTAACTAGAGAAGACTAGTTCTGCAGGTGCCACCTGATATGTCTCGTTTCGTCTTCCTACAGCGGGATGATGTGGGAGGGTTTGATCCTACACAACAGTAGGACAGATCGTCCCGAATGGACAAATCAAGTCCGTGTCAATCCCCGCTCCCCTCCTAGCGCCCAGAGACTATCGCTGTTGGAGCGCCCATTACCCCCTTCCTACGGAGTACAGTCATTATGCGTAAAGGTGATCTCATACATGTGACAGGTTGTTCTCAAGTTTCAAGGAGCAGTTATTCACATCCAACAGATTCATCAGCTCAACGGCATACAAATGTAGCCTATTCGCCGCCTTTGCGTCATCCCTCGCAAGCCTGGCGATAATCCCGGCACAGTGAGTTTTGCAATCGACGCGCTTCATAATTTCGCCTTGTCGCCAATCCAAACCCATTCTGTTATCTACCCTGAGAAGCCTGCTTTTTCTGCTGTTCACGCAACTGCTGGTTCTTCTTCGCCAAAGCTTCCTCTTTCTCCCGCTTCTTTTTCTCCTGGGCCGCCTTATCATCTAGAACAGTGTTCAGTTTGCATCACTTCTTCGTTGGCTAAACAGAAAACAAGACAGACTCACTTGCACTCTGCGATGCGAGCTGGGTAACAGCAACTGGAAGGGCATTCTTATCCGTGAACCGTCCGACACTGCACTGAGTCCCTAGAATCGCATCATACTGGGTATCCAAGCGCGCTTCGTCGTCGTTCAGGGAAACGTAGAAATCTTGTCTCCACAGTTTGGTTTCGCTTTTCTTCCCAATACTTAGGCGGACTACATCGCGCACGGTGTATGAAACGCTATCGGAATCGTAGAACGTTTTGGGTATCTCATTGCGCTGCAGCAGAATTCCTTCCAACCTTTGGAGCCCCCTCTGCGTGAGAATATTGACGTCCAATTGCTCAGAGAAAGCAGCCTTTAGATAGACGGTGTCTTCATCTTCTGGCCTGATGCAACGGATTTCTATGCTCTTGGGTCCTGTCTGAGTGATTATGACTGGTGAGCGCGCCGAGGCTATAAATGTATAACTATAATAAGGAAGGGAAAAGAGGGTTCAGAAGCCCTGTGTAAGGTACCAAACGTACCATGGCTTTGCGTTGGGTGTACTTGCTTGCTGTTACGGCTCTGTCGGTTCACCCCAGAGGAAGCGTAAGCTTCGAGCTGCTGTCTGTGGATGGCCTCACACAGAGAACGCTGCCACGTTCATATACACCAGACATTATCTGGTCTACCCAAGAGCCGCAGACTCGACGGACTGACTGACTGACTATCCACGCGCAACCCCTCGTAGGTGGGATGTGCGACTGCTCCATCCACCATCAATCCGTACTCCGTAGATCGCATGCACTCCTATTTTCTTCTTCCTTCCCCATGCCCTTTGTTTGTTACGCGAGGCTGCACACACTTCCCCCCCTTCTTCCCTCGCCCTTTCTATCCACCAAGCAGCGAAGCTCTTGCCATAGTATAGGCTCAGCTGGTGGTGGTTATTCGACATGTCGTGCAGATTGGGCATAAATGAACAGGGTCCGGCTGGGTATTCATGTCACTAGACGAAGCCAGCCCCTCACAATCATTGGCGCCAGTAGTTTCTTTTGCATGAAAGGATCGTTGCCGATAGCGGTGCGGGGATGTGCGACCGGAGGGAAACGAGAAATGGCTGCAGATAGCCAGCACTGACGTGCCACACACACACGCAAAAAAAGATCCATTCACATTAAGTACGTAGTTGACGATGACATGTCCATATCCACATTCATGGGAATTAAAAGTGTCACTGCATGTAACACACAGTGGTCCTATCGTTAATCAACAAATATCCCGCGAATCAACTATTGAAACATGCCCTTGCCTTGTCCAATGCCCTCCCAACCAGTCAAGATAAAAACCCCTTTCCACAAAACGCCGCCCAAGGTAACTAGGTTCAAGAGACAAATCATCAACACACTTCCAATGCGCCTCAATGGGACATGTACATCGTAGTTAATCATAAATCAAATACATCCGGTCGTATTAAAATTGCGAGTCATTAACTGGTCAAAACCCTTTGCTGTGTCCGTGCAAAGCTGGGCAGCCAGCACCTGCCCAAAAGTACCGGTGTGATGCAATATCCGCAGCTGTCCTTACTGGTATCACCATCAATCATAAAATAGGTATAAGAAATGCGTGTTGCCTCCCAATGGCGGGATGGGCTTGGTGTTCATAGACAATGGGTTAGAGTATCGTGATGTGCAAACATGAAATTGTTCAGATTCATGCACAGGACGACGACCGGATCATCGTACGCCGTTCAAGGCCAGGTCCGGATTTGAGGATTCTCAATCTCTTGATATCCTTTCTTCCCAGGATGATGTTATAATTCTTCATATCCACAACCAGGAAGTCGCTGGTGAATGTCTTCTCACGTTGTGCAAAGTGCCATTCAACGCCTTTTGCAATGCCGATCGGCTTGATTCTGTCTTTGCCGGTTTTTGTCTGCAATGGGACGAGTTCCTGATCGCAACGCTCGATCTCTAACTTCAACTCCCGCTGTAAATCAACATCCATCAAATTGGCTGATGCTTGTGTGTCCAGGGCCATCAATGTCGGGACCTTCTCTTTAGGGTCGCTGCCGATCATGAACACCGGCTCGTTATACTCGCTGTTCGTCGAAACCGGGGAGAGGTTCACCTGGGACATGCGGTCCAGCGACGTTGCTCTGATATCTCCATCATCACCAGGTAGTCTAAATTCGGTCTGTGGGTCCGATGGGGTTGTTTGATCGGTGCTAATGCCTGTGCTGACTAGGGTGGATGGTCCTGGAGACACTGCTGTGCTTATCCCGCTACTTGATGATGCGGAATCGGAGTTGCGACCGTCAGTTCTCCGGCTGGAAATCATAAATCTGTATGAATCGGGGTTGTCGTACGTTGGGATGTCCGGGGGGTTGCTCTGGTCGCCCATTACGGGACGACGGTTTCGATTCGACTCGTGAAGCTGTTGCCGTCGGTTCACCGTGAACTCACGGCCGATCATAGGCTGTCTGGCCTGGGGCCCCACAGGGACGAGCTCACGGCCGGTTTCCCGATTGTTCATCTTCACTTTATCTTCTGATCTTTGTTGGTGATCGAATATCTTTCGCGGGAGGAAAGGGGAGAGTATGCGCTTCGCAAACCGAAGCAGGCCGCGAACTCGTGAGTGCTTACCGACGTCACCGGAGCTGTCTGAAGCAGGAACCGTGGTCAGTCATGAGAAACTTTTATATGATTATCATGATGCAGCCGATACTCACGACCTTCAGGTATAGATCTAGCCAAAGAATTTGCCATTATCGATGTTGAATGAAAGGCCGTTGTCTTGACGGCCTGCTCCGCTTCGCTCCCTCTGATGACGTACCCAGCCAGACAGCTCCAGATGAGAAGGAGCAGGGTGTGGGAGTCTTTCAGGAAGAGCTACGGACCTGGATACCAGTCGCGATAGTGCTGCCAGCTGCAGAAAAGCATGGAGGTTGTGCGAAGAAATGCCACCGCGAAGAGAGAGATGGAGGAGGCAAGAAAGCTTTTTGCACCACGTCTGAGCGGTCTCTTGGGGCTTTTCCCTCACAGCAACGTTAAACGACGGTGGAAGGGCGCTGTTAGTCATCCAGTGTGCCTGGGTAGGCTTGATTGGGCACAGATCAGACCTCTAATTGTAGCCCATGAGGGAGGGACCCTGGCCAGCCTGCGAATGAGAATGAGGACTGGTGTCAGGGAGAGGATGGGTTGCCCATGGAGAAGTAAAGCTTCGCCGATGTAACAGGAAGCGGCACTTGACTGTAAGAGCCGCCACTTGTATGCTCAACCCAAGTCGGGGTCGGGCCAGTCTCGCCCGCAGGCTGGTGGCATCAGCGGGGAATGGGATGGAGACCCTTTTGAGCTGGGCCACCTCTACGTCACAATACCAGATCTCGTTCTTCAGTACGGAGTAGGAGCTGCCACCGATAACAAGGTGGGTCAACAGAAGGGTCTACTCTGTGGCTAGAGCTCTGACTTGGTGCTATAATTCTATTCTGTGGACAAGCATGACGAGCGACAGCTCCTACGGAGTTGCAATGTGCATACCTTAGCTCCCGGACTCTAGTCACAAATGCAATTGTTTGTGAATCTCTTTATTGTCTTGCACCGCCTCTAATCACAGCCTCATGCGGGCGGAGTCTTCCTTGGCCAAGCAGCTCCCAGGGTCTTTCTTTTCTCCCTGCGGTGATCATGAAATTGTGCCAGTGGGCACGATGCCCAGAGGCGGAGTCGAGAGGGGGAGGCAAAAAGCCAAGGCTGTCCTGCGTTGTCACGAATTGCTTTTTCTTCCAAATCCCCTCGCGATCCCCCCAACGAATTCATATCTCCTACTAACCTCGGCATCTTTGACGAGGCCATTTCTGTGCGGCGTGCCGTCAGAGTCGTTTCCAGAGAGGATTCGTCGTGTAGCGCTCTGAACATGGCAGTGAGAGACCGGCAATCCGACATTGCAATCCCACCATAATAGAGTTTAGGAGGCTTTTTGCTTCAAACGTGCGATGCATGCCATTTTCTGGAATCATTCCGCTCTCGGGAGGTATTTACCTCGCTTTGCTTTGCAGTGTCACACAGCCGCTTTTTCTCCTATGTGTCTAAGGAACAGGGAAGCTAGCAGAGAAAATAGCTATCATTTTCTGCTATGGGTTGAGGTTGGTAGGATGAATGTAGATTTTGCCCTCATTTTTTGTGCTTATTAGTCTCTACGCTATCTAGTCTGTCTCGGACCTTTTACTGTGTAACAATCACCACCAGTTATCATAATTGACAGGTGAGAGAGGCACTCGTAACTGAGCTACAATGAGTGTGATAGAGGCAGTGAGAAGGGAGTAGGAGCAGAGTCGGCCGCCCTGTCTATGAAGGATCCGAATCGATAGAAAAGGCTGTGACAACTGTGACAACTATGCAGCAGGTGGGCGGTTGCCTCAGCAGTTTCAGTGTCAGTCACACGCGGGGAGGAGAAGGGCACATGCACGCCACCGATTTCGGACATGGCCAATTTCTACCCGGCTAGACATTGGCCATCACATCTGACAGGCTGGAAGAGTTTAAGATCTGCAGGTTGATTCCGAGGAGCAGTGCGGAGTACTCCGTACATACAACAATAAATCCATTGTTCAGATCCCTGCCTCTCATAATTGCAATAATAAATAATGACTTGCATACTGGAGCACAAAGACTTCTGTCTCAGCTCGTTCTGGTCTGATCCGTTCCAACCGAGCTCGGACGCACTCAATTGACGACTCTCATTTGCCAATGAATTGATTGGATGGATTGATGATTGGATCGGTTCCGACTCGACTAGATCGGGATTAGTTACTTTGGTTAGTGTTGACTAACTTAGCCAATTTGACTACTCCGTAGTTACTTTGTCGTGATTATTGTTGGGTGGAGATGAGAAGTCTAGAAGGACGGGCCATATGCAAGCCACGTCAGTGTCGGAGACTAGAGAGTTGGTTAGTTTATTGTAGAGGAGTTAGGATAGTCTACTTTGTAACTAGTAGCGGAGGGATCGCGAATGAAACAATTCCAATGTCTTGACTCTTGAGGTATTTAGTGACTTTTATTTTACCCGGGCCGAGACCATTGGAGTCTAGTTTGCTTACTTACTTAGTTTAGAGTAGACCATTCCGTTGTGATACTAGATAAGTTACTTGGGGACTTAGTGTGGTGGTTAGATTAGATTGCGAGCCAACCCCTATTCCATTCATGGTGGAACTTCCGGTGTCGCGGCGGTGCTTGGCTTTCGGTTCTTCCGTGCTTACGGGTACACTTACACTGCTTGTGCTTGTTGCTGTTGCTTGTCTCTCTTGCACTGCATATGACTTAGATAAGGTGATGTCTCTTGTACGACGAACCAATAGTTCATCACACGAGCTAGTTACAGAGTAAAATAGCTTGAGGGTAAATAATGTACATGAAGTCCACAACCAAATCCACGGAGAAAATCCAGTATTATTGCATCTCATTCATCCACCATTAAGATAGAAGAGAGAATATACGAACGTTCAGTTATTAGAAAACTAAAAGAAAAGAAAATCGGACAAAAAACAAGGGTATAATCATGTCTCCACCTCCTCACTAACCACCCACGTCCTCACCTCCCGAATAATCCCCGCCTGACTGGACTGACTATCATCATCCGACAACCTCGCTGCCGATACCGTCGTGATGTTCCCCTGTCCAGCCCCCATCCCCACCAGCTCGTGCTCTCCGCTGCGTGTATACTTGCTCTCCGTGCGATTCGCCGACCGTGTCGTCGACCATTTTGATCTGTTGTTCGTCGATCGGTAGTCCACGCCTTGGATCCGGAGGCCGTTCGATTTGAGCATGTTCAGGAATGGTTTCAGTTGCGCCCAGCAGGCTGTCACGATGCTGAGACATTGAATCGTTTCCACGCTGATGGTTACCCCCCAGGTGGAGAAGGAGGGGTCATGGGTTGCGTCGTTTTGAGAGACTAGGATGAGTTCCACGATGCTGATGAGGATGACTCTGTTCGGAGGATTGGTTTGGTTAGTGGGTGATACATTTAAGTAATGGGGGACTGGACTGACAGAACTCGAGATAAAAAGATACTTGCGAACACGAACTTGCGTTTCCAGGACGTTTGGATGCGCGCGATCAAGTAGAGAGCCTGCAAGGTGATCATGGTGTCGGTCACAATGTTCATGATTCCCGTAAAGTAGTGCCATGCTATCTGTTGGGCTGGTTAGTGTTGTTCGCCCTCTTGTTGGTGTATATTGCGAGTGGTGGGAGATAGTACCAGGTTCATGCATTTCCCCGTGTAGTAATTCCAGGTCCTCGGTACGCTGCATTGAAAGGCGGTTCCCAGTAGACATATCACGGCCATAACGGTCACCGATATTTGCACCACGTTGGCGACGCGATGATCTTTGGCTGTCGGCGTCAGGTTGCGGATGAAACATGAAAGGGATATCTTCGAGAAATAGAGACTAGGGATGTAAAGGAGAGCGGCGGCGTATTGCGACTGAATTGATACCGATTGTTCTTCAGTGAGGGTCCCGGGGGATTGAGGCGACTGCGGAAAGGCATATTTCATACTGGTGCAGGTGTAGCTCATACCTTCATCATGTTGTCGAAGCGCTCCGGGGTGAGCGTGGAGAAGTGGTATCCATATCCGTTTGCGACAGCCATCGATACAGCGATGGATTGGCCGATACAGAAGATCTGTGGCGCCCCATCCAGAGCAAATAGTTAGCCTGCTGGAGCTTTGTGAGGGTCTAGGCGGAAGATCGACATACCAGCGATACAACTATGAGATAGTCATCGTTTGTGAGCGTGCGGAACGAGCCGTACTTGGTCCCCAGTCGAAAGATCACGCTCAACGACGCAGTCACGAGCAGGAACCATGTCGATACATTGACGGCCGGATCTTTGGTGTCTCCAGTGAACCGTCCCATGAAGGGCAATCAGAGTGCTGACGCTGATTCTCGGCGGGAATCATGTCACGCCAGTGATCTGGATTGCTGGAGATAATAAGAGTCGGCTGACGGCGCTGGGTTGGGTCTTGCGAGACCGGGCACGATCTAGAGTAAATAATAATACGGAGTACCGGTGCCGAGAAATCGATCGATGCAGGGCCTTTGACTGAGGTAGATTATCGCCCGGAAGCACCAGGGAAAGGGAGGGAGCCGGGCAGTCATTCTGGTGTGGACAGAGACGGTTCTTGGAAAACGCCCCCTCCTCCTGAGGAAGGATGGGAAATCGCATGGCCAGCTGGGATCAGGATCCTGGTGCGTTCATTTGTCAACCGAGCGGCCGTCATCAATTGGAGTAAAGCCAATAGACTTTGGCTACTCGAGAGAAAGTCTGACCAGGATGGTGGTTGATTGCATGGAAGCCGACGGTGAGACGACGGCGGGGGACAACCCTGGTCGGGTTTAATTTACTCTGGGCTGGCCAGTTTTTCTTCGTATCTTGGCCCGACCTTCGACCGGCGGATTAATTGTCCCCCTCCAGATATTCTCGATATTAATGTCTGTTATTAGTCTTCGCGCCGACCACGGTCCCGTCTTCCACTCCATC